TGGATGACTTTTTGAATAACCATTTTATCATTGTCAGGATACATCATCTTACAAAAGAGTGGAAGAGGATAAGGAATTTGAAAGACAAAGCAGAAGTCACATCTTGTCGAAGCAGCTATTGGTTCCACTTCAGCCGGTTAAGTTGGGTTGGTCCTTGTGTTAGGATTCCGGGCCATGCCTGGCTAGCCCATGGACCAGATTCATTTGGTACGGGTATGACAAAAAATAAGGAAAGGAGAATGATAAAATAGTGGTGCTTTTCAAGTTCAGTTGGTATCTCAGTAAATCTTTTTAGAGATATATAGTCTTTTTTTTTTCTTTTTTCTTTTTTGCCAAAATTAGAGATATATAGTCTATTTTGCTAAAAATAAACCTGAAAGAAAAGTATTACTAGTATTATTATTTTATAAAAGTGGATTTTACGTGAATTATTCTTAAAACATGACATTTAATAAATATAAAATTCATTAGATGCCATTTTGATTAGGATTAATTAATTATATAGCGAATAACCCTTAATTAGGACTAATTATTGAAACAAACAAATTTTGTAAAATATAAAAATTCAAAATTGAGGAGTATTAGGAAAGAAACTTCACATGATAAGTATGAAATATATAATCCAAAAAGAGCATATAAGTCCCAAGTAGAGGTTGATGTGATTAAAGTGTGCTTTATTTGTCTCATTTAGATGGCAAGAAAAGCATCTGAAAAATGGCCAAGTTAGAGGATAAGACAGCGTCGTACCAAAACCTTCCTTTATCCTTCATTTAACTTTTTCCTTATGTCTTGTTTGTGATTTTCAAACCATGCTTTAGAATACACTCCCTCTATTTCCATAATTAATCTTTGTAGCTTATTAGATATAATCTAATCCCACATTTCAGAATTCATTTTTATTATTATTATTATTATTATTATTATTATTAAACCTCCAATTTTTCTTTAAAAAAAAGACAACTATTTTTGTATTTTTTTGACAAGACGCATCGATCCTTTTATTTTGAATTTTGATCTCAAAAAGGAATACTAATAATTTTTTTGGTGCATAACAAGAAAGCCAACTTTTTTTTTATAAAAAAAGTTATAATCTAAAAATTAAAAAAAAAAAGATTGGAAGCATTAGGATTTAAATTTTAAATCTAAATGTCAGTTTTATTGTTATATATATCATGATACAAATATTCTATATCAATGTCATATGTGTAGATGCTAAGATTCCATTGATAAGGAGCCAATTTGATCCCCATGAATGCATCCATAATTAGAAGTACTCTATCATTGTTGTTGGGAATAATAAAAAGGACAAAAGAGGATAAATATAAAGAGCATTGCTCATGTCCACTTAAGCTTAATTCAAATAGTATGTAGCTAGTGAGATTTTGTTAGAGATTTTTTCCATTTGTAATGCCTTGGATCCAAAGGAAATTAAAAAAAAAAAAAGTTACTAGAGAAAATTAGGATTTTTTTTACATTATTAAACTGAGATTACCCTCAAAGCATTAAAATTTGGAACCCTTCTGTTTGTCCCCTTTAATGTAGCAAAATTTCATTTATTCATTTTGTATTTATAAATAAATTGATTTGTCATAAATTTATGTCAACTTTTTTGTTAATTTTGAAGTTAAAATAATTTTTTTTAATTTTTTTTCCCTTTGTCACTTTTTATTTTTTCATTGAACTTTCAACCCTTTTCTCTAATAATAATAATGCGTGCATACATATATATATATATATATTTTATTGTGTTGATTTGAAAATTAATGAAAGGAATCATAGGATAGTTAATTATCAATTTTTAAACTTCAAAGATGATTTTGTTTGGCCTCTAATCACAAAGATTTTTTTAAAAATATAATTTAACATTTTGTAATTTTAAAAAATAAATCAAAGAAAGAGGTTTGGCAATCATACAAATTAAGGTACATGAATGATGGTTTATCCTCCACAAAAATAACATTGAATATTTTTATGTCTATGCTAACATTGATCACAATGGCATTGAATATTTGATTATCCCATACGCATTGACATCATTTCACAAATGGAAGTACGGTCCAAATTATATAACCTTTGATACTTGGAATTTATTCTTTATAAATCAACCGCGTTTGATCCACCATTAACTTCTCAAAATTTCATTGCACCATACCATGACAACAATACAACTTTAAAATAATAATAACAATAATAAGAATAAATAAAAATGTTTGGTTATTGGTAGGTTTGATTCATGATATAGTAAATATTTTTTTTATAAAGAAAGTTATAATATGAGAATAAAAAAAATTATAAATGTTAAAATTTAAATTTTAAATTTACATAATATTATTTTTTAAAAATAATTATATAAATTTTTTGAGTTAAATTTCGGATTTTATGTAATAGTTATTCCAATATATAAAATCTTAGACTCTATGCATATATAAAAGTGATTATTATTATATCAAATTAACTCAATTGATTTATATACAATAATATCTAATAATTTTAAAATTTAATATTTACAATCATTTTTTTTTTAAATTTTCTTACTGCATTTGAACTCTAGATTAATCGAGGAGGAAATTATTTTTGTGAACAAAAAAAGTTTGTCCGAAATAGGACAAGGCAGAGTTATGCAGGCATCCAGACGACGTAGCCGACTTATTGTCCTTGATACCTTGTTTGTATTATGAGACAAGTTCAAAGTTTCCCTGCATTCAATAAACTAACTGCCATTTTCATAGGAAAATTGTCTGAAAAACGGCCCAGAAAAGATGGCAATCCAGGGACCCACATTCATTTAATATACACATTTTTCGCTTCATAGTTAATTACAAATTTTGTTTTTATTTCAAAGATTTTGTACTTCTTTGATTTCCTACACAATCTTTTGAATGTAACCATGGATGTTTAGCTTTGAGTTTTGGTTTGTTTGCCTCGTATCTTCCTTCGCCTGTAAGAAAAATATAAAAATCGTTTTAGAATTTGAAACTTGCTTTTCAATATGGATATATTTTTTTTCTGGGATTCTTTGATATTTAAAAGTTATTTTGAACATCGATTAATTCAAAATTAAGTCAGATCAAATTTTATAAGAAAAATAAATTCTTAAATTTATTATTTTTATTCATAAAATTTGAAATCGAAATTTTATTTAAAAAAAATTGAATTCATTATCACATAAACCAAGACATCGATAATATAAATTTTTGTTTTAAGAAATTAGAGATATTTTTGAAATCTTAAATTTTAAATCTTAAAATTTTTAATACTTTGCATATATACCAATAAATAAATAATCACTAAATGATAATCGATGCTAATTTAACATGTAAATCTAAATAACCTAACTCCTATTTATTAGAGAAAAAAAATGAAAAGCCCTTCAACCAAATTATCGAAATCTTATTTTTTAAAAAAATTGAATTCATTATCATATGCAGACATCATAATATAATTTTTGTTTTAAAATTAGAAAATATTTTGAAATCTTAAATTTTAAATCTTAAAATTTTTAGTACTTTGCATATATACCAATAAATAAACAATCACTAAATGATAATAGATGCCAATTTAACATGCAAATCTAAATAACCTAACTCCTATTTATTAGAGAGAAAAATGAAAGCCCCTTACAAAATTTTATATAGATTCAACATCAAATATTATTAGAATTTATAAAAAAAAAAAAGAAAAGGTTGAGATTCGTATTTGAATATTAAAATATTATATGATGGTCAAATAAAATGCCTATAGAAAAAAAATAATTTTATTCCATGTCACAATCAATAAGCACTTGCATATTTATAGCATACCACTTGTGGTAGCATATTATTAATTATCAAAATGTTATGTACGTCTCTAAAAAAAAATGTTATTCCTCGGTTTTTTTCTCAGCTAAGTTATGTATCATTATTAAAATCCCTTATTTTTTAAATATATAATTGGATTAAAATAAAAAAAAAAAAGAATTTTCTCTTATACTTAATTTAGGATACAAAAAGAAAGAAAATTTCTCCCTTTACTATATTGGGTATTAGAGTCGATTTGGCTCTAATTGGCCATCGTGATGTCAACTGTGCTAGATCCGACCCTTATAGATGCTAATTGGTTCTTAAGCAACCGACAAGAAGAGTGGGAGAAGAACAAAGGAAAACAATAAAAAAGAAAAATATATATATAATTTTTTTTTAAGTAATTCGTAGGTTTTTTTTATTACAACTAAAACTTTCATTATTACACTCAAAGAAAACCATTACAAAAAACATTATTTATATTTTAATAAACCACCAGCCGTTGATTTATTTCCATTTTATTACGGTCAATGGTTCAACTCTTTTCCTTTGATTTCAATTTATTTAATATTTTACTCTTATTTTTAAGTAAAAAAAAAAACGATTATGTCAAACTTTTCTTTTCTTTGAATCTATCCCTTAGGAATGATGCATTCCCTTTGTCAAAATGTTGAATATAATAATAATAATAATAATAATAATAATAATAATAATAATAATAAGTTCCGTTTTGATAATGACAATATATGTCATTATTTATTTTGACTCTCCAAATATTTATGACTTAAAATAACTGATTTTATTTTTCTTTCAAGAAAAATTTAAATAAAATTTGTTTGGTGAATTTTGTAAATTTTTTTTATTATAAATGATTAAATAAAAATAAAAATTAAAAAATTAAAAGATTTTATTATATAAATTATGTGTGTAAATTTTAAATAAAATTTTATATATTTTTTAAATAGATATTTTAAATAAAAATATTAATAAAAATATTATCATTGAATAAATATCAATTACATTTAAATTATAAATAATATTTTTAATTTTTTATATTATTAATTTTTACATTAAATTTTATCGATTTATCGATTTAAGTTTTTATTTAAATTTTTATTAAATCTTTTTTTAAAATTTTACAAATTTTACCTACAAATTTTCATGTAAATTTTGTCCCTTTCCTATCTCTTTGTCTCTGTCTCTCTCACTAACACTGTTAACTTGATTCCAAAGTTCCGTCTATATTAAGCTTTCTGTCTTCTCTTCATTTCTTTCAAAGAATTTGATAAAAAAATGGCGGTTTCTGGGTCTTTGGTTAGACCAAACCAATGCCCTGCTCCATTTCTCAAACCTGCAAGGCCAAAGCTTGGTTGCAAAAAACATGTTAGTAAATCTAATGCTGAGTTTTCATTACCATAATAATTGCCATATTCTGTCTGATCTTTTTTTTTTTTTTCATTTAACACATGATGTTATCTCATTAATGTTTAATTTGCTTTGTGTTTAAAAAGATTCTGGTTTTGGTATTTATGATGTGGGGTTTTTCTTTTTTATATTAATGTCTTATGGATGGTGCAAAATGGTGGTTGCTTCTTGTTTTCAGTTGTGTCTGAAACTGAAAGCCTCTGCTGGAAACTTGGAAGATGATCAGGACTGCAAAATGAGCATAAGGAAAGAAAATGATGGCTGGAAGATTGACTTCTCCGGGAAGAAACCGGCTACGCCATTGTTGGACACCATCAATTACCCTGTTCATATGAAGAATTTATCAACAAGGGTAAAACTACAGGATCATCATGGGATTCTCTGTCTCTCTGTTAATGGGATTCTTCATCTCTTCTCTTACGATTGGCCAGCTGGTTCCGCTTAGTTGTTTTTTGTTTGTTTCTTGTAGGAACTTGAACAACTGGCAGCAGAGATTAGAGCTGATATTGTGCACACAGTAGCAGAGACCGGTGGGCATCTTAGCTCAAGCTTGGGAGTAGTGGAACTGACAATAGCTCTGCACCATGTGTTCGACACACCTGAAGATAAAATTATATGGGATGTTGGCCACCAGGTGAGAGAGTCGAGCCAACTTGTTTTCAGATCGAAGTTTACAAATAGCATATTTAAATGCCTCTTAAAATAAATAGAAGATGGTCCTGAAAACAACAAAATTGCAGGCATACCCTCATAAAATTCTGACAGGAAGAAGGTCGAGGATGCGCACCATGAGAAAAACTTCAGGGCTTGCTGGGTTTCCTAGAAGGGATGAGAGTGTTTACGATGCTTTTGGTGCTGGACACAGTTCTACAAGCATATCAGCTGGACTTGGTATTTGGTTCTCACTGTAAAAACCCTTTCATTCCATAAGCTTCTTGTAAAATGTTAAAAAGTTTAAGATATATAACTGAGAACTTTAGAATATAACTAACATTCAATTAAATCAATTAAAAAAAAAATGTAGGCATGGCAGTGGCAAGAGACCTTCTGAAGAAGAAGAACAATGTCGTTTCAGTGATTGGAGATGGAGCCATGACTGCAGGACTTGCATACGAGGCCATGAATAATGCAGGATTCCTTGATTCTAACCTAATTGTCATATTGAACGACAACAAACAAGTATCTCTGCCAACTGCAACACTAGATGGTCCTGCACCCCCCGTTGGAGCTCTCAGCAGGGCTTTAACAAAGATTCAAGCAAGTACCAATTTCCGCAAACTTCGTGAAACAGCGAAAGTAAACCTCTAAGCTTTCTTTCTTTCCTGTCCTGTGTCCCAATTGTTCATCTCCTTTCTTTGTATAAACAGAAATCTGACTGGGAATACTACTACTTGTGTTTAAGGGCCTCACTAAGCAATTTGGCGGACACGCACATGAAATTGCAGCAAAGGTAGATGAGTATGCAAGAGGAATGATCAGTGCTTCTGGCTCCACTCTCTTTGAGGAACTAGGGCTATATTACATTGGTCCTGTTGATGGACACAGTATTGAAGATTTAGTAACTATGTTTAAGAAAGTGAAAGCCATGCCTGCCCCGGGGCCAGTCCTAATCCACATCGTCACAGAGAAAGGAAAGGACTATCCGCCAGCTGAGGCAGCTGCTGATAAAATGCATGGTAAGATTGCAACTCTTAATCCATTGCGATGTTATGACTTTTCAAAATGATCATTATTATTCTATCTGCTCTCAGGTGTTGTAAAATTTGACACAAAAACAGGCAAGCAATTTAAATCCAAATCCTCTACACTGTCATATACACAGTACTTTGCTGAATCGCTCGTCAAAGAAGCCGAGGCTGATGACAAGATTGTAGCCATCCATGCAGCTATGGGTGGGGGAACAGGTCTCAATTTTTTTCAAAAAAGGTTCCCAGACCGCTGCTTTGACGTGGGGATTGCTGAGCAACATGCAGTTACCTTTGCAGCTGGTTTAGCCACTGAGGGTCTCAAGCCATTCTGTGCCATCTATTCATCTTTCTTGCAACGAGGATATGATCAGGTGTGCTCACAACAATGGACATGCTACATTGGATATGATCATATTTCCTTCTAAAATTATTCTCTCATTTCTCACTTTTTCCAGATTGGCGCTTTTGTTGGAAAATTTTATTCCAATGGCAGGTGGTGCATGATGTAGATCTTCAAAAATTACCTGTCCGCTTTGCCATGGATCGGGCTGGTTTGGTTGGAGCAGATGGACCTACCCACTGCGGGGCATTTGATATCACATACATGGCTTGCTTGCCCAATATGGTGGTAATGGCTCCATCCGATGAGGCTGAACTTATGCATATGGTTGCAACGGCAGCAGCCATCGATGACAGACCCAGCTGCTTCAGGTTCCCCAGGGGAAATGGTACTGGAGTAGCTCTTCCACCTAATTACAAAGGATCTCCTCTTGAGGTTGATAATCAATTTTTTGATATCCAAACCGATCAGGACAGAGCAGATGAACTGATAAGTTTTTTCTTCTTTAATGGTTGATCAGATTGGGAGAGGAAGAATTATTACGGAGGGCAATAGAGTAGCTCTTTTGGGATATGGTTCTATAGTTCAACAATGCATTGAAGCAGCGCACATGCTCAGATCTCTAGACATTTATGTAACAGTAGCTGATGCAAGATTTTGCAAGCCTCTAGATAGAGATCTCATCAAGCAATTAGCAAATGAGCATGAGATTCTTATTACTGTAGAAGAGGGTTCTATTGGAGGTTTTGGCTCACATGTATCACATTTCTTGAGTTTGACGGGTATTTTGGATGGATCCCTCAAGGTATATATTCTCCCTTTTTTTTTTTTCCTTTTCTAAATATCAATTTCTAGCTTCTTTTTTAAAAAATTTACCTTTTTTCACTCTCGGTTTTGTTTCTTGTGTATCTAATTAATTTTAGAGCTCTTTGCAGTTGAGAGCAATGGTGCTTCCTGATAGATACATTGATCATGGATCACCCCAAGATCAGATAGAAGAAGCAGGGCTTTCCTCAAGCCATATATCTGCGACAGTCCTATCTATGCTAGGAAGACCAAAAGAAGCCCTGCAATTCAAGTAAGCACAAACAAAACATCAGAATCTAGCACTGGGAATAATTGAAAAAAAAATCGATGAGAAGTCATCAAGGAAATTAAATACGATGGAAAACTCACCAAGGGTCCAAACCAACATTAGGTCTGGTTTCCGCTTTCAAGGCTTAGGGAAAATTGTACAAATCTAAACGTAAAGATTTGTATATGGGTTGTTGATATAGAAGGTCATAAATGAACTAGTCAAACCACAGTTCTATTTTTGTATATTCTTTGGTTGTATTATAATGAACATCACATAAAAGAAAGAGTTTCACAGTAGATGAAGATGACAATCCTCTACGCACCCCCAAAGAGGGGGACAGTTATTTGTTATGTTACTCTGTTTGTTATGTCAATAGATAGACAGCAGCTTTTGTGTCACTGGTTTTGGTCTGTTGGTCCATTTAAAAGAAACAATCAGTTTAGTTGATCAGTCCCTCTATAACTGGATAATGTGCCCCGGCTGAACCTAGAAGGAAGGATAGATATCATTTATAAATTATGATTCACTGATAATCTCCACAAGGACAGAATCCATCTTTAAAATGATGAATCCTTTTGCATCTCCGGCAATTATTTCTCTTCGAACAACCTTGAGGACCATTTATCCACGAGTGACAATCCCCAAAAACTATAAAGTTATTAAAAATCCTGATGCTAGCTCCTGTTACAAGTCTTCCATAAAGCAAAAGCAATGGCAATTTTTTCACTGTGATAATACAGAGATCTTTCCTTCTTATCCTCATGTATATCCTGTAACACAAGTTTTGTATCAGGAAAATAACCAAATATTCTTATCTTCTCAATCAATTCCTCTAATGTTTCAAATATCTCCATAGAGTTTGGATAGGACCAATCCCCTGGCTCCATTTACCTTTTGAAACGTAAAGATTTCACAGCAAAAATGAGTCCTCTCATCCGCCGGAGCAACCTCAAACATTCTGCTTTTAATCCTCTCTGCCATCACTATCTCTCCATGAAACCTACAGGCATTGAAAAGGATCGTCCATAATACCACTTCTGGACTACTGACCAGCTTCATCCAAGTTTCCGCTTCTTCAAGTCTACCAGAACGTCCCAACAAATCAACCATGCAAGTGTAATGATCTGTGGATAATTCAACATAATTATTGTATTTTATGGAGGAAAAGATATCACAGCCTTCTTCAACCAACCCTGCATTCTTGCATGCCAAGAGAATGCTCACATATGTTATATCATTTCGCTTAAGTCCCAGTTTTTGCATCTTGTTGAACAAATTTAGAGCTTCATGCCCAAGACCATTCAAGGCATAACAATAAATCATTGAGTTCATAGACACTGCATCAACTTCAATTAAGGAGTCAAAAACCAACCTACCCATGTCTGGACTTCCACATTTTCCATACAAGTCAATAAGTTCTGCTCCAGAATATACATCTCTATCCAATCCAAATTTGGGACCATGGAATGTATTTGTTTCCCTTATTCTAGCATTGCAAAGCTTGAGCACCCAGGAAGAATGCTAGATAATGTAAAGGAATTTGGACTAACTGAACCTTGAATTATTTTCCGAAATTTCGATAGAGCCATTTTTTCTCTTCCATTTTGTACAAGAGCTGCTATTAAAGATGTCCAAATCACCTGGTTTGGACTATGCAACCGTTTAAATATCTTTAAAGAATCATCAACCATACCACATTTAGATTACATGGTAAAAGGTGGAGTTTGTGATGCAACATCAGATTCAAACCCAATTTTAATGATAAGGTCATGAATCAACTTATCATTACATAAATCCTCCAAATTCCCACACGAAATCAATATACTTGCAAATGTATACTCATTAGCCTTGATTCCCTCCTTGATCATAGTCTTAAATGCCTCTGAAGCTTCAGCATCTTCTCCCTGCTGAGAACAACCAACATCGCACCACGTCTTTCCACAACTCTATTCAAAACCATCTTGGCATCCCTCGTGTTAAATTTCACATATATATCAACAAAAGCACTACTAACAAAAGCATTCAAAGAACCCCATCCTAAAACCACTGACTATCCATGAGCTCTCCTGCCCTCTTATTCAAGACCTAGCTCAGAGAACGCCTTGAAAGCACTCGAAAATGTGTAATAATCAGGAAAAACTCCATCAAAACCATCTTTTGATAAACTCTTAAGTGCCTCTTTACTCCTTTTATGACTAATACAAGAAGCAATAAGAGAATTCCAAATAACAATACGTCTTTCCGGCATTTCATGGAATAGTTTTCGAGCGACAAAAATGCTACCCCATTTAAAGTAACCTTCAATGAGTTTATCACCCAAACGTAGGAATGGAAAACCTTAAATGATCATATGGGCTAGAGTTACTCCTATGTGGGCTAGAGTTTTCTTTTTTATGCATCGTCGAATGAGAGCAAAACAGAAAATTGAAGCTCTTTTGAGGGCTTTAGTGCCAGAGAAGTTTTGGGCAATGCAGGAATGGGAATGAAGGTAGCGGATTTGGTTCTGTTTTGGCACGGTTGCTTTGAGGATTGTCATGATATTCAAAAGTTCGGTGAAGCCAACTGCTACATTTTGGAAACTCTTTACCATTATTTTCTCTTTCCAAAGGCTTGTAAATGACAGGTGACAACTTTGTCCATGTTCATAAATCATGGTAATGAACAATGGATTTTATTGACGATCTCAATTCTTCATCAAAAAGTTATAATTCTTGCAGACAATGCGTTAAAATGAAGTACACCATACTTACCGATCAAACAAGGAATAGATGAAAGTTGCAGCCTAGAGATTCCAAACGCTGAATTTAAACCAGCTACGCTAAACAAGAATTCAAAATGACCGACTTTAATGACGATGCAAGTAATATAACATAACGCCGAACATTTACAATTCTATAATTGAAATTTTCAAGACTGTAATCTATCGTGTCATTTCCATAAGAAAAAGAATAACTAGACCACCTCCCTAGTAGAAAAACAACTCCACGTGAATATAATTTGATCTTTGTTTTCAATTTATTTGCTAAGTTATTAATAATTTACCAATTTCGTATTAACAGTCACTCCTATAACCTGTTGTCATTTTTCTGCGTGGATTCTACATGTGGAACTATGATAGCTCTGCCATGAGTAATTCTTCCTTGGCCTGGACGGATTGCAAAAGGTGAGATCAACTATCTGGTGATGGTGATAGATGGTTGGGTTTGATGAAGGCTTGAAGCAAGCTTTGTGCTACTAGGGTTTGATCTGGAGTCCCTGATATAAAAACTGTCCCCTCACTTTCACCAGGACAAGGATCCTGAACTTCAACTTTTGCACCTGAAATCTGATTTTGCAGTACCACATAGATGCAGATAATTCAGGAAACAGTTGGACTATAATACAGCATGCTCAGAGGCCAGTGTTTTTTCTAGTGTAAATAATAATTACCTCTTTGAGACGAGCAAGGTTGCAGCCATTTTTGCCGTAAATAGAGCCAAAAACATCTTCAGGAACTATAATCTCTACACTTGTATTTTTCACAATAACAGATCTTTTACCACTGCAAAAATGAGAAACTGAAAATCGGATTAAATTTTGTAATATATATTTTGCAACAAAGGTACTTCTGCTCGTACTCAATCACTCAACAGGTGAGGATAAGTCAGATAGTATGGAACATGATGGTAACTACCAAGAAACCATATAATGGCAAAAAGGCACTATTTATTGGAGTCTTAAATCAAAATGCCCTTTAGTTGGGTAAGGATTAACACATGTGAAAGGAATCGAGTTCCCTATAATCAAAGGGTGTGATGAACCCACCTCCAACAACAGGTAAGCAGCCATGGCCTACTGTCTCAACATTACTCATTGCAACAGCTATCATAAAACCAACATGATGAATGTACTTCAATTACCAAAATTTTGATTTTCCATAACCATAAAGATATAAAAATAAAACACTTTCCTTAACTGTGAAAATTGGTAGCAAGGAAAGCAAAAACAGCTTTGGCACTGTTTTCATGTAATACTGACCTTTCAAGTTCTACACCCCCTTTACTGTCTGCATTGGCCAGGCCATGTCCTCTGCTCACAGTCTGCAATCACGGCCAGCCCAAAACACTTAGGTACTTTGACACAATTAATGTCCATGGAATACCAAGGCAATGGAAGCAACAAATAAAACTGCACAAGAATAAATAAACAAATGTCTTTCACCTCTAGTAGCTGAGATTTTGACGGACAGCCTACACTGTCAGAGAGTCCAATTTTACCCATTGCTCTTGTTAAAGCATTCTCTTGATCAGAATCAAGAGACGTATCTAAACATTGAAGCAAACCAGAAAAAGTATTCTCACTCCCTCCCTTGTAAGGGCTCCTTCCTCCCATTTCATTAAGCACTTCATGTGGATGTAGATAATCCAGTGACCTCTCAAGGTCTAAACTCCCTCCAAAGGTAGTTGAGCATCGCTCAACACCTTGGATGCCAACCGTATGCCCATTTCCTGCAGTCTGCAAGTAAACCCACCAAGCATTGAGATCCTTGTACACATTCCTATAAAATTAGTAAAAGTAATATTTCAAGAGGAAAAAGAAACAAAATGCAAAAGAGCTTCCACCTGTTGTGGCTGCAGCTTTACTGGCAGAGAACCAGAAGTATTCTCTGAGTGCCCGGGGTGCATTCTTTGAGCTAAATTAGATCCTTGATCATTATCCAATGTCAACCTCGTTGGTTGGTGCACTTGAGGTGGACCTATCTCCCTTACTTCTCCACAGCAGTTCCTCACTCTAATTTCATTCAGCACTTCGGAAGGCAACAGATTATCCCTTAGTCTACTAGTTACTTGAAAGATAGCATTCTGCACACTTTTATAGTCACCAGTAATCTGCAAAGATAAAAGTAAAATAACAACGAAACCTCCTTCAAGATGAACTTGATAATCAGGGTGGCACCCAAAAGTTCATCACTTACTGAAGTAACAAACAGAAACTGAAACTTATTCAAAAGCCTGAAAAAGCCCAGGCAGCAAGGAATCACCTGTCATGACAACTGAAAAGATAGAGTGCTGCAGTATTCAGGATGAAACCCACTATTTTGAAGCATCCTCAAGAAATTGACAATCTTGAGTCAAAACACAAATGAAAATTTCCATGATTGTAAAAGTCAATTTGTCAAATGAAGATTTGCTATCGATATCGATCAACCAAAAAGATGGAAGGAGTGAGGACTTGTATTGCAAACCAAAAGGGGGGGATTGCACATGGAGCTAAGAAAGAGTCTTGTTATATTTTAAAAATCATGTCTCCAACTGAAAATGTTAATTATACTATAATAATGCAATTTGCATCATCAATAAAATTGAATCACATTATCTAAGCATCTACTTATGTTTGACTCGAACAATAAGGGGAACTCTGTGGTCCTTACCGCATTGCAACTAACTTAAACAGTGATATTGCTAAAAAAATTCATATTTGCACCTGTACTACATTCTCTGGAGAATGGTCCAGTGAGAGCTCCTCATCCAATATTTGTACATCAGCACAATTGACTTCTACAATCTCAGAAAGTACCCTGCCTCCTTTGTCCTTCAAGCAGCTGACTAGGTCTGATGCGACTAGAAGCCTAACAGTCACAACAGTACCCTTACTCAGGCCTGACGGAAGTCCTTTTAAAATGTCAGCCTCAACAGATCTTGCAAATACAAGAACAACAGCATTTTGTGCAGGAGAATACCATGATTCAAGGTTCTACAGTAAACAAAACCCCTTTTTTAAGTAAGAAGGTATGCACAGTCAATGCTTTTGTGTATGCCCACATGTTGCAAGCAGGAAAAAAAGGAAAGAGGAGCGAAAGATTGAACAAGAAACAGTGTAGAGCATCAGTAAAAACAACTGGCATTAGTAAAACCTCCACAATCAGCTTTGAGACTAACCTCCAATGCAGAAATGGTGACAACACGCTCGCCATACTTGATTATTGGAGGCGCAAATATTATAGAAGCACCTGTTTGATTTTGCAAAGATCTGACTATGGCCCCCCTCTTACCAATTATGGCCCCGGCAGCACCATTGGAACAGAGCATTCTAAAGACAACTTCTTGTGTACCATTTGAATCCAGTTTGGAATCGCAGTCAGCATCCAAAGATGGAAGGTGGGCATTTGAAGCACCAATTGAAGAATTTGCAGGCATAGGTGGCAACAGCGAACTAAGGTTTGGAAAAAATTCTTCGTGTGCATCAGGGGAGGTCCCACGTGAAGGTTGCTCAGTAGGTGTACTCATAGGTTTTGGTTCTCTGTCCAAGGACGGGCAAGCTTGAAGACAGCCAGATACAGCAACCAGCGCTTTCTTGACAGCTAAAGTGCCACCAGTTATCTGCCATATTACAAAAACAATCAAACAAACAAATTATAGAGATATTACCCATATCCAAGACCATTTGTTATGCTAGTCTTTCTCTACCAAATTATCAATTTGATTCTTAAATTCTTCATTCAATTGCCTCTCCAATTCCACGAAACAAAGGAAGTACCAAAACAATTAAGCACAACATTTTTCAAATTCCGACAGCATAAAGACCATTACATAAGCTTCCACCAGCAATTTAACATCAATATCTTATTTCTTTTGCGTCTTTTTTTTAATTTTATTTGGTACATAAGGAAGCTCATTAGACTGCAAGATACCAAAAAAAAGTAGAACCTTTCAACTTCACACATATTATTGTTATTGTTATTATTATTTGATTTTTTTTTACTTTCTCGAGAACCAAACAAACACAACAATAACCCCTAACCTGAATTAACTGGTCGTTTTTTCTTCCGCATAGCGGCGGCGGCAAAATCCTAATTTTAGCTCCACTCTCCGTCCTCATTCTCACAATATTCTTCCCTCCTTTCCCCACAACGGCACCAATCAGTGTCGTATCAGCCAGTAGACCACAGAAAGCTTCTTCTTCCTCCCCATCACACGCGTTTCCCCACTCCCTCTCCGCTTCCACTTCCCACACGCGCTCGAAAACCTTAATCATTGCTTCCTGAGCACACGACACGTGACATTCTCCTCCCTCACCCAAACTAAACCGTCTCTCGATCGATCCGGATCCGACTATCAATATAACCCTGTGAGCCGACCCGCGCACCGATTCTTCGCAGTGGATCCGAGAGGAAGTCTCGCGGCGAAGTTGAGAAACAACGGCGCCGGAGTTCCCGATGACTCCGCCGATGGATGATACGTGGCAGATAATACGAAATGACACCTGGCCGGGTAAGGGAAAGATCATTGGCGGCGGGCCTTGGCGTCCCTTCCGATAGCTATAGGGGTTTTGCATTTTTTTCTTTTTCTCTTTTTTTTTCCCTGGCGTACAGGTTACTGGGTTGGGACTTTCGGAGGGTGAGTCACTGAGTTGCGATTGAGAATATGGGAAACCTGGTGTACGGAGCAAGGGAATTAGGGGGAGGAGTGTTCCGCTGCGGTAATAAAGGAAAGCTAGCAGCAATAGCTTTGTAGTGCATTTTTTAAGGAAAAACTTCATATTTTTAACTTCCAAATTTCGCTTTAAAAGTCTGTTTGGTTGGATTGAAGTATTTATAAGAAATACTGTTCAATTTTTAAAAATTGAAAATATAATATAAAAATGTTGTAAAATATTTAAAATTATTTTTATATATTTAATAACTAAAAAATAAAATAATCAAAATTTTAATTAAATCCAATTTTTTATGTGAAAGAAATAAAAAAATAAAAAATATTTTTATTAATTAAATGCTGCAGCTGCTGCCCTCTTTTGCCTTCTTAGTTTTTCTTCTTCTTTCCATTAATGGATCCTCCACAATCACCACCGTCCGAACCTTACGAAGAGAAATCCGACGGCCATTATCAATACAGGTGAGACCTTCCATTCCCTCTGCTTCCTCACAAAACCCTTCTCCTCATTCCCTTCATCTCTTCCCGTAGACCCTGACTCACCCGATAATGGCCTCCTTTTGCTCCTCCATTCCATCCTATCCAAACCCAATTGGCGAAAACACCCTTCCCTCCCAACTAATACCTTCCATATCCCCTTTCCATGTCCATTCCCCATTTTCTCTCAACCCTTATCTCCTTCCCCAAACTGCCCTCGATTTCTCCTATTGGATCTCCCAAAAACCCAACTTCAAACACTCCATTTTTTCCTATTCTGCCCTTTTAAACATCCTTGTCACTAACAAAATCTTCGGCCCAGCTGAGAAAATCCGCCTTGCCATGATCAAATCCTCCTCTTCAATCGACGAAACCCGGTTCATTTTAGAATTACTAAAAGAAATGAATAAAAACAACGAACTTGATTCCAATTTTAGGCTTTCTGTTAGATCCTATAATTTTTTGTTGATGTCATTATCGAAATTCTTGATGATTGATGATATGTTAAACGATAAGGTTTCGCCGAATATTTTTACTTGGAATACCATGGTTAATATTATTGTAAGATTGGGAATGTGGTTGAGGCTCAACTATATGTTAGTAAGATTGTGCAGGCGGGATTGAGTCCTGATACGTTTACTTTTACTTCGTTGATATTGGGTCGTTGTAGGAATAAGAATGTAGACAGCGCCTTTAAGGTTTTTAGAGTGATGCCGGATAAGGGTTGTTGCAGAAATGAGGTTTCGTATACTAATCTTATTCATGGTCTATGTGAGGCTGGACATGTGGATGAGGCTATTAAGTTGTTTGAGACGATGGGGAGGACTTTTGTTATCCTATGGTTCGTACATACACGGTGATTATTTGGGTTTGGGGTTTGTGTGAAGTAGGGAGGAAGTCAGAAGGAATGAATTTGTTTGAGGAAATGTCACAGAAAGGGTGTGAGCCAAATGCCCATACTTATACGGTAATCATTGATAGCTTATGTAAGGTTAATGAAACAAGAAAAATGTTAGATAGGATGTTAGAGAAAGGGCTGGTTCCAAGTGTGGTCACCTACAATGCTTTGATTGATGGATATTGCAAGCAAGGATCAATGGAGGCATCAATGGAGGCTGCACTAGAAATTTTGTGTATGATGGAATGTAATAATTGTTGTCCAAATGATCGAACATATAATGAATTGATAGCTGGGTTTTGTAAGAAGAATGTTCAAAAGGCAATGACATTTCTTGATAAGATGCTTGAACTTAAGTTGGTACCGAGTGTGGTCACATATAATTCATTAATTCATGGGCAATGGGGCAATTAGATAGTGCCTTTAGGTTGCTTGATATGATGAGGGAGAATGGTTTGGTTCCTGACCAATGGACTTACAGTGTTCTTATAGACTCTCTTTGTAAAGTTGATAGGATAGAGGAAGCTCGTATTCTCTTTGACTCTCTCAAGGATAAAAGCTTAAAAGCTAATGAAGTTATATATACTGCTTTGATCGATGGATACTGTAAGGTTGGGAAAGTGGAAGATGCTCGTTCTTTGCTTGATAGAATGCTTAATGAGGGCTGCTTGCCAAACTCATGCACTTACAATGCCCTTATAGATGGGTTGTGCAACATGAAAAACGTGAAGGAAGCATTGTTGATGGTGAAAAAGATGGTGGGGATGGGTGTGAATCCAACTGTACATACCTATACAATTCTCATTGAACAGATGCTTAAAGAAGGTGACTTTGATCATGCTCATAGGACTCTTGACCAGCTAATTTTCTCAGGGTGTCAACCTGATGTATTTACCTATACTGCTTTTATTCATGCATATTGTGGCGTAGGGAGACTGAAAGAAGCAGAGGATCTGATGATAAGGATGAAGAAGGAATTTTTCCAGATTCTCTGACATACACATTACTTCTAGATGCATATGGATGCTTGGGATTAATGGATTCTGCATTTGATGTTCTCAAGCGTATGTTTGATGCTGGCTGTGAGCCTTCTCATCATACATATTCTTTTTTAATCAAGCATCTGTCAAAGAAACAAGGGACAAGGGATGACAGCCCTGCAATGAATTTGGTTTCAAATGCCATGCTGGTTAATCATGTTGATGTGTGGAAGACAATAGAATTTGTCACTGCTTTAGAGTTGTTTGAGAAAATGCATCAACATGGTTGTGTACCCAACATTAACACTTACAGCAAGCTTATTATAGGACTTTGCAAAGTGGGCCGCTTTGTAGTAGCACAGAGGTTATTTGATCATATGAGAGAACAAGGAATATCTCCTGGTGAAGATGTCTACAACTCTCTTCTTAGTTGTTGCTGTGAGTTGGGAATGTATGATGATGCTATGATAGTGGCGAATCTAATGATAAATTCTGGCCAGTTACCATATCTGGATTCCTGCAGAGAACTGGTTTGTGGACCATATGATCAAGGGACTAAGGAGAAGGTTGACATACTTTTCGGTAACTTGCTTCGATGTGGTTATAATAGTGATGAAGTAGCTTGGAAGATTCTTATTGATGGCTTACTGAAAAAGGGGCTTGCTGATAGATGTTCTGAACTCCTAAGCATCATGGAAAAAATGGGCTGCCAGCTCCACCCCAGTACATATTCAATGTTAATTGAAGGAATTGAAGGAACCTAGATTATTGATTCTTGGTATTGTTTCCTTTAGATTCTTGCCTTGTTATTGAAAAGGAGGCCATTGCATTGCTTCACAGGTAACTAGATAATATCTTTAATGTTCTTTCCCCTTTCTCGTTTTATTTCGCAAAGCTGATGGCAACAATTGTCTCCTTTAATTCCCGACCTGCAAAAATTCTCGCCTGCCCACGAGAGCTACCAAGCGCTTTGTGCAATCGAATCAGTTTGAAAATTCAATCATCAAACTGAACCTAGCACCATTAGTGCTCACTAATAAAACCTTGGTTTTATTTTATTTATTAAAAAAAAAGAAAAAAAAAAAAAAAAAAAGACCTTGATTTTATTATCTAGATTAGAGGTTTCTAACTGGCGGATCATGTCTTAACGTGTGAAAGGTTTGAGAATGTACCGTTGCAGCTGTTAATTAAATTAACTCACATTTGTGTCCAGGTAATTATTGACTAGTATTTGATTCGAAAGTACCAAATCAAAAAACATCTTAGCCAAATTAAAACAGATTAATGGTAATTGGTTTTCAAACATCTGTGCCATAACTTTTTTTTTTTTGGTTCCAACAACTATTTTCTTAGTCGAAAACTACGAAAGAAAAAAAAAAACGCTATCTCTTTTTATGAAATTACAAGATAAAACATGAAAACAATTAAGTGTATTATTTTAGTGTTATATATTAAGGCAAGTAGCTTCTTCTTTTTTCGAAAAATGAAAATCGAAATTTCATTAATAGAAATCGTTGCCAATACAATCAGAGATGATAGTTCAGTGGTTACAGTCAGTGTAAGCCCAAAATCGGCTTATTGGGCCTCATTCAAAGAAACTAAAACAATTAGGGATTCTAAAAAAACGCGCCAGGTAGGGGTCGAACCTACGACCTTCTGCTTAGGAAACAGACGCTCTATCCACTGAGCTACAAGCGCTGGTTACGCTTCCTTTCACTAACAATTTATTCTTCTAAAACTTTTTTATTATATTATATTTTATTCTGTATGTAAGTTAGGGTTTTTCATGAATTCTACCATGAAGAACCAATCTTAATTACTACAATAATAAATCAATATTAAAACAAATACAGACACCACTTAATCATAGTAAACAGGACACAGTGGCAAGGATTTTGACATATTCTATACATAATACACATTTTTATTTATAAATTATTCAACTATTTTTATATCTCACTCTGTTAAGAGAAGTCCATGCAGCTAAAAACGTCACAAGTTATACTTTTGTTTTAGGCCTATTTTTATAAATCAAACAATGATAAGGTAGGTAAGGAGGGCTTGTCTTGATGGTCCTTGAGTTACTTTAGCCATCATGACTTGATCAATAATACACAAAAGGAGCTAGCCACTTGACTTGGCCAGAGAATTTTGCAATTCAAAAAAGAAGGATTCATTGAGAACCATGAGATTATTTTCAACAAGGTCATTTAAAGAATTAGGTTAGTTTGGTTCATTTAATGGGTACAGTTCATAAATGGACCTTTTATAGGGAAGGTGAGAGGAAGAGGATAGTAAAGTGAGGAGAGCTTAATTTTCCAACAAGTTTCGAGTTTCAAGGTCAAGGTCAAGGTCACTTCAATGTCAGGGTCACTTGAACTGCAATCCTCTCCCCATCCTCATGCTGGGAAACTATCTACTTAGAGAAAAGCCTACAAACAATTTAATTGCTTCACTCTCAAAGTTTGTGGGAGATGTAGCCTAATGTCAAAATCCCTAATTAGGAGAAAAAAAAAAGGCCAAGAAACCTTATATCCTTTCATCTTTTAGCTGACAAATCTTGTTGTGTTACCTTTATGTATATCTTCTCCAAAGACTTACTTTTCTATGTTATGTTCTTCGAACTCAAACAAAGAATTCTTGCGATGATCACAGCCTACAAGGAAAGGGAAAGGGAAAAGAAAAAGTCACCTTTACTCCAGGAATTTATAAAATAAAAGGGAAGAGTCAAGGTGGCAAGCAACCTATATTCAGGATTGTAGAACATTGAACATAGATTACTTGCTATTAATTTCAAGAATGTGATCGAATTCCATGTTCTTTGTAGATGAAATTGATGGAACAATGAACAAATTCTCTTGTATTGCTTCAGAATCACACTATATATCCAATAGGGAAAACAAAGTCATTGTCCCATAATAGCTTTTTGCTTTTTACAAGCTTTAACATGTGAGCAAGTTGCTTCTACTTGCTAGTTTTCATGGATCAATGAGATATCGTGTCAACTTCTTTTCCTAGCATCTCACACAACTTTACTGACCTTGCAATTATCAAAAATATAATTCCCATTACTTGCTTCCCTTTCTAGTTTTCTTCTTATTATTTTCCTTTTCTTTGTAGTTTATCATTGATCTCTCCTTGGGACTTTTCCAATTGAAAAAGGGCTTTTAAAAAATTTGCACTAAGAAACTTGTCATCTTGAGCATCAAACTCTTCAATCGTATTCTGAGAATTTAAAACATGTTAACCTCTGTTTATGGCGAAATCTTGTTATTTACTGCACTTTCTACATTCTCTAACTGATCTTACCCTAGCTTGTACTAATCAGAATGTAATTGCTAGAGTCACCTCTGACCACCCTTATATTTTATTCTTTGTTTTGCAAATTTCTTAGTTACATGAAATACGCAATATAAGTGGTTCTGGTTGCCCAACAAAACACTATAATGGAGCCAGTTTTGCACAACCATCCAGAAATGGATGTTGGTTTTGACCCCAATTTGTGAAACGGTTAGAGTTTCTTCTATTGAACAAGCTGATATTAACACAAATCTGCAGGGTAGGCCATTCCCTCTACTAAGATTTGTTGACCTCAGTTGAGCAGAACTTTTGCTTGGATGCCAGGTTATAAAAAATTTGCTACAGGAATAGAATTAATCCATGTCTCGGAACCATCCCTTGACAGTTGGATTGGTTCAATTAGCCCTTTTATTTAAAACACTTGCTCCACTTATCCATTGTTTGCTAAATGTTAGTAAACCAATTTCCCTTAATTTTTGAATGTTAATAACAAGATCAGACACTGATTTTCTGATCAATCAATCAGTTGGAACAAACAGATCCCTAGCATTGGTATCATCCCAATACCAATTTTTATCCCATCTCTCCTTTCAGAGTTGTTGTCCCACCTTGAACTTAAGCACCAAATACAAGCCAGAAGCTTTAACAATGAAATTTGTACCAAAAAACTACACAATCTTAAAAACTTAGTTTTATGAAAATTATCATGAAATCTTGATTGAACTCAATTATAATCACACAATTTCAACTGAAAACAAATTTTTTTCATGGTTTATTAAAAACAAAATATATTGTGATTAAATCAAATGTAAAAATTTGGTGATGTGCTACACTTTACAGGAAGGGACTGCTGCATCATCTGGGCCTGATAGTTTCTGATTTGGAGTCAAACAAAAGGATGAAGACTCACCTTGATTCTCGGTTTTGGAGTATCTGTCATTGTGGGTTTCTTTTGAGCTTTTTGAATAGTTTAAAGTTAAAAGAGAATTCAGTTAAACGCACTTTCTCTAACTGAAGTGACATTGGTGAGGTAGGTGAGGTTTGGGGTTTTCAGGATTTGGATTATGTTAAATTTCACCAAAGTCATATTAATGGGGTTTAGTTCACCAACTTACCTATGACTCTCCACTTAACCATTTTATCATGCTTTTGATAGTGACTCCCTTGGGTAATGGAAGATGACTCATGCAATCTCAGTCTTAATCTCATCAATATGAATTTTTTTCATTCAAAGTTATTAAAAACTAAAATCGGATTATTAAAATTAAAAATTATTTTACGTTATTTATGTCAATTCAAATGATAAATGCAACGTGAGATTTGAAGAAAAAAAATCTAAATTTGAGTTAATCATATATAAACATGGTTCAATAATGCATTTCAAGTTTACGGGTAGTTTCAAAGGAGAGTGCTTCTCTTCTTGAACATTTTTGTTCATTGATAAATATCTTCCTCATAAGCCGCAATCAATTGCCTCCATTTTATCATTAATTAGTCTAAAAAATTTGACCAAAATTTCATGAGACATCATGATTTATATGAGAGTTTGAATTAGAAAAATCTTGGGTTTAATTAGATTGTAAATAGTAAGTTCGCTATGGTCAATTGAAAAACAGTTAGTAAGTGAAATTTAAAGTTCTCAAAGTTGGCATGATTGTGATGGATTCCTACTATGAGAGACAATGTTAGGCCATGTCTCACCAGCCCTTCTCACTAGTTGCTCATGTTAAAAAACACAACACCCCAGATAAACAGGGTGATCCAATCATTCTGTTTCTGCCCTGCCCAAGTCTACACTTGTTTCAAATGGATAAGCTAAAGCCAACTGCCTGTCGCTTATTGGCAGTTTCATTTTTTCCTCCAATTGGAAACGGAAACTTCGCTTGGTGGCGTTGGCAATGAAAGGGCAATCCAAATCCTTCATCAAGGTTTTACATCCATAATAATATCTATTGCACCCAAAAATGAGATCAAAAAAGAAACAAAAAATTATGATTGTAGATTGTTTCATGCTGCCATTGATTTTTTATTTTTTTTATACAAAAAAAATACAGATAAATAAGTTATTTAATTTTTTAAATATAAGATGTGTCGTATTTGATAATTTAAAAAATAATATTTATAAATTTTATATTTCAAATGATCCAAACAAAAAATTATCAAATTATGATTGTGAATTATGCATTTAAATTGATCCAAATAAAAAATTACTTAATAATGATTATAAATTATATATTTAAGATGATCCAAATAAAATATTACCAGTTAAATTTAAATATAAAAATAATTATTATAATTTATGTATTTGAGATTATCTAACAGAAGATTAATAATTTGACTTGAACTCAATACCACTAACGTACTAAAAAATAATCTTATTAATTGAGCCAAACGATGATATCCTATCATTGCATGTGGAAATTATTCAATAAAACCTTTTGATGGTATTGAACATATTTAAAATTTGGGAAAGGAGGGACCAAACATTCCATGTGTTCTGAAACTCGAATTATTAAAAGGTGTCGAAATTTTATTTAATCATGTCAGATTGAAAAAAATAATAATAAAAAGAGAATATGCATTACAATTGCTGACAAATGGACCATTTTTCTCATATGGTAGTGCAAGATAATATAGATGTTAATTCGTTCAAGGTACAATTTTTTTAATAATATTTCAAATGCAATGGTTGCTAATGAACAAGACATGGCATCTCCCTATCCCAAAAAAGTTGTTCATTTCAATTTTGAATAAATGGGTTAATTGTAATTTAGAGTTAAGAAATAATTAAACCAGATTAGGTATGAGGTCAAATATCCCCAATTACTATAACATATTTTAGAAATATAAGAGAAATCAATTTGGACTAATTATTTCTTGATAATGTATTAAAGTAATTGCAGGTTTTGAAAATTGACATTAGTTAGCTAAATCCAAGTGAATATCATAAGTCTCTTAAAACAAAAACATGCTTGTGTTTGATGCTTTTTTTTAATTAATGATAAGATAAAAGTTATTTGTATTAAAATTTAGATTCAACGATCGTATAATTTAGTGATGAAATAATAAATTTTTAGTTTTAATAATTAAAATTTAAATTTTAATGGTATTAATTATAAAAAAAATTAATTTTATTTTTGAGAAATTTGTTGTGTTTAAATTAATGGATAAAGATTAGATATACTAATTGAAATTTTTTATTCCAATATTTAGCCTTAATGATTTGAATCAAACCCAATGGTAATAAAAATATTAAATTCTTGTTGTTAGCTTTATTTGCAAAACACCAAGTTGGATTTTTAAAATATTTTATTTTATGAATATTAAAACTAATTAACATAAAAAAAAAAAATCCATGCTCCAAACTTTAATTTTTTGGTTTTCAATATTGCTTGAAGGTATTTCAAAATTAAATACTTCTAAAACCCATTTCAAAAGTAGACTTTGACGTTCGACCCTAAACATCTAATTAACAACAAAAACGTCCCTATTATCCCATATTTTGTTCTTATTGTTATCTTTTAATTGTAATTAATTAATTAATTAATTAATCTAATCAATCCCGTAATCCTTCCCGCCCTCGGAGCTTTCATTGCATCGGTTATCGTACGGCCATGGGAACTCTCCAGCTAGAGACCCTCGACTAAAATTAAAATTTTAATATTATTTTTTGAAGAAAAAATATATTATTAGAATAAATTAATGTTTTTTAATAATAATAATAAAAGTCCCACCACATAAAAAGACAGTACTATCTTATACCCAAATTACCCTCAAGAAGTTTACATATTACCAACAGTTGGTCGGGTCGTTAACCTTTCCCTCCTTTTTACAAGCGTCAGTTGCGGCAGAAATCTCGAGCGCTAAAAACCAATGGTCGGGATTTCATCCGAAAAACATGTGCTGCATTAAAACTTAAATAAATTAATTTGATTTTTTTTAATGAAATTAAAAAAAAATGGTGGAATAAGAGAAGTTTTATATAAATATAGATGAGATTCCAAAACATTCTGGTCAAGCTGGTTTTTTAACTTCGCTTTGATGTTTTTAAGAATAACAAACTTCCAAAGTTACACCATTTTTTTTTAAAAACACTCTCTGTTTGAAATTCTTTGGTTGCAAACCAATCTGCTCTAAAAGATTCCGGTTGGAAACCCCCAATCAAAACATGAACATGTTACTTTAGTTGATTTTTTTGTTTTTGGATTTTCATTCTTGTTAATCATCCAAGAACTATTCAAGTTCAATGTTGAAGAGGAATTTGGATTGAAAAAACAAAATTTTCTTCATTTTTTGAGTTCTTGAAAAGTGTTGGATAATCATGGCTGTGGAAGGTATTTCAGTTTCTTTTTCAGTTTGGGGTTTAAGTATTTTTTCTTGTTATTGGGTTTTTTGGACAGTTTTAATTTTTTAGTGAAGTGGGGTTGTTGTGTTTTGGATATAAAGATAGGGTTTTTTTTTTTTTTATTTCTGTTTCCTTGTGAAATTTGAAGGGAACATTTTTATTTTTGATTGGTTAAATTGTTACTTCATAAGTTTTGTTTTGTTTATGCAGAGACAGGAAGAGAGACAGTAGAAGAGATAAACCCAGAAAAGGAATCAAAATCCGGGGTGGTGATGAGAAGTGAATCACTGAATGATCAGCCATCACCAAGAGGTGTACTGGAGATTCCAGTCCTGGGATCAGACTCTGATGCCAGTAGTTGCAGCAGCAATTCTAGCTCCTATTCTCCAAAGAAGCCTGTTTTTCAGAAAGGGAACCGAGATTCCTATGGTTTACAATGGAAGAATATAATTGAAAATATTAAGAAGAAATCAGCCAGAAGTTTCTCTATTATTCCTTTGCTATCAAGTTACGAGATTTCCAGGAAGAACTTGAGGAGGAAATTGGCAAAACTTCATGGCTCTGAGGAAGAAGATGTTGATATTGACTGCATAACCGTGTCCAAACCATCATGGAAGAATTTTTCTTACTCAGAGCTTGCTGCTGCTACTGAAAATTTCAGTCCTGGTAAGCTATTACATATTAGCTTTTTGTTTCAATTAACGTTAAGAGACATCAGACTATCAGGTAGGAAAAGAAAAAAAGGAAAAATTAGGATTCATGCCAGGCAGTTTTGTATATGGTATTACAGAAGTCGGCTTGACATGTCTTAAAAATAACAAATTTGTCAAATATTGTCATGGAATTTTAATGCATCCACCACCAGCACCTACTCGCTTGTGATAAATATTTTGGTTGAATTAGCTCAGGAAATCAGGTCTTCTCTTCTCTCTTTCTTGCATTTACTGCTCTTTCTCAAATGGTTGAACATTGAATTTCCCAGCTGAAGGACCTTTGGCGCTGTAGGGAACATTGATTTGGCGGGTTCTGGTTATTCTTATCTCTGGTGATGATTTGGGTTTTTCTTTTAATCAGGATTAGATAGATGAAACAAGCTTTTTAAAGTTAGATAAATTTGGACTTTGAATATTTGATTTAATTATAAGTTATACCAACTAATACATGTACGAAAAATAATGCATTGGCAGCCAAAGTCAAATTTTCCTACAATTGAAAGCTGCTTAAGGGTTTAAAGAGAAGTTATTGTCGACTAAATTGAAATGAAAATGATGTGGCAACTAGGCAGGTTGACCCCTGCAGTCAGCAGTTAAACATCCATTCAAATTTTCATGACTTAATGGTTTCCTTTGATCACGGGGAAATGAAGATGACTATTTACTGAGTTGGTTTTTTTTTTTTTTTTGTACTTTTGGATATACTGATTTGAAGTATGATTCTAAATATGCATCAAAATTTTGTAGAGAATTTGCTCGGAAAAGGAGGCCATGCGGAGGTATACAAAGGGCGGTTATCTGATGGTCAAATTGTAGCAGTGAAGAAGCTAATGAGGAATAAGAAGGAAGAAGAGGATAGAGCCAGTGATTTCTTGTCAGAACTTGGGATTATTGCTCACATTAATCACCCAAATGCAGCTCACTTAATCGGATTCAGTATTGATGGAGGCTTGCACTTAGTCCTTCAGTTTTCCCCTCATGGCAGCCTTACCTCTGTGCTTTTTGGTAGTGTTCCTGTTTCTCTATTACTATTGATCATCATAATCAATTCTAGCTGGACCAGGGGAAAACAAGAAAAGAATTAAATCTAAAATGGCTGAGAAATTGAGAATTGTTCTACTTTTGTCTGGTAAATATACTTTCAGGTCAACCATTATATATCAATTGGACTAACGAGGCAATGTTCTGCACTGCAGGTTCACCTGAGTGTCTAGATTGGAAGACAAGGTTCAAGGTAGCAATTGGGATAGCAGAGGGATTGAAATATCTCCATCATGACTGTCACAGGCGCATTATACACAGAGACATCAAAGCCTCCAACATATTGCTCACCCAAGATTATGAAGCTCAGGTAAATAATTTCCATGCACTGGTAATGACTTAATGCTATATTATTTGATCGAATGATACCAAGTTTCTAATTTCTTCTACTCATTGCAGATCTCAGATTTTGGTCTGGCAAAGTGGCTACCAGAAAATTGGCCTCACCATGTCGTCCATCCCATTGAAGGAACATTCGGGTTAGGCATGCAGCTTTTTGCCTTCTTCAGTTGATTTGTTATTAGCATTGATCATTTCATGAAGTCAATAAAATTGGAGCTAATGTGTATGGAAATTGAAAATTGCCTCAGGTATTTAGCTCCAGAGTATTTTATGCATGGAATTGTTGATGAAAAGACTGATGTATTCTCATTTGGAGTTTTATTACTGGAGATCTTAACAGGTCGCCGTGCAGTCGATTCGTCCAGACAAAGCCTTGTGATTTGGGTACATCTTCTGCACCAAAGTCATCAAATCAGCAAAATAATTTCAACATTTTTTATTACTCCTAAAAGATATGAACTTATTTTATGTTTTGTATACAGGCAAAACCACTTCTGGAATCAAATAGCGTAAAGGAATTGGTAGATCCTCGACTAGAAGACAATTATGATCCAACTGCAATGAAACGTGCTATGTTAACAGCTTCCATGTGCATTAATCACTTAGCAAGCATGCGTCCAAGCATGATAAGGGTATGAAACAATTTCGAAAACACCTCCTCCCCTTGTCTAATCCTTTCAATTCTCTAAAAATTCATGCCAACAACCGCGAATTGTTAATCATTTTCAGGTTACAGAGTTGCTTAAGAATGAAGATGGTCTTGCAGAGTTTCAGCAGAAGACTTTTGGAGGGAAAGCAGTAATTGTAGACGGTTGTGACTTGCAAGATTATACTCGAACCAGCTACCTAAATGATTTAAATCGTCATATGCAGCTGGTTATGGAGTAATGGCTTTAGCTGTGTTGTGTGAAAATTGGAGCAATATAGCCCTGCAGGGTGTGGTTGATAAAATCCATGAAATGAATTTGAGTGTCTTTTCTTCAGCTAATTTTCAGCTTCCTATTATTTCCTAATCCAAAGGGTGGGTTGCCATACATCTCTGAAGAAGATTGAGAAACTGGCATCAATGTACACAGCCATTGGTGTGAAGAAACTAAAGGAAAATTAGAAATCAGATGCCATTGGGTTAATATTATGCTGAAATTTACAAAAGCAAGAAAATTTTTTGTCAAAAAAAATTATGCTTTTCATAGAACCCATCTGTAAATTTAAACACATAACATATAAGATTGTTGCAGCAAACATTATCTATGAATAATATTATGACAAGTCAAATCAGTTTGCAATTGGCACGCAAAAAAATTACAAAAAAAAGCTACTCCATATATAAATAGCCAAGTTAACAGTTACAAGGAAGCATTTTTACAGAACTTCGAAAGCCTCATCCAAACAATTCCATATATCATGCACCCTTTTTTTTTTTCTTTACAACTTTGGTGAAGGAAGGTCGAAGTTAAAAACTATTAAAAAATTTAGTATCGAAAATCAAATCTAATCTTATGAAAATTCACCTCTTAAAAGAAGTGAATCAATCGTTTAAATTAAATTTTATATTTCTATGTCAAGTACTTTCATTTTCTCAAGATTTTAAAACTTCAGAACATAGAAAGTTTGATGATTTTAAATTCTGAGTCATAATAATGTTATAATTAACTTCCTAAATGTACATATTAATTGATATTAAATATTTCGTGACAAATTAATTTATATTTTTTAAAAAATTGAAAGCAAAATAGTTTTCTGATATTAAAAAAAAAAAAAGCATTGTCCCATATAAGATACTTTTCATTAATTAATTAATTAATTAGTAAATTTTTTGAAGTTGAATCATTTGATGAAGCAGAAGCAGACCAAGGGTAGAAATAGTCAAAATCGAAAGGCGAAGAGAAGTTGGAAACCATGCAACTTCAGCTGCTTTACATTTTTCTTTTACCTCATCCCCTTCAGAGACTTACCATTTCTTCAGCTTTGCCCAATTTTTTGTCTTCATATTGCTTCTACTAGAACGCTTTCGAGGAGGATCTTAAGAAAAAGATGGAGCCTGGGTCTAGCATGGCTCGTCAGGGCTTGGTGGAGCGGCTGAGTTATCTTCAACATTTGAAGATAAGAAATATTAAAAATTAAAATTCGCAAGAAAATGGAATGGATTGCCCATTTCAACATGTCTTAGCTTTAGCATTTGAAGATAATAAAGATAATAAAGATATTTTACAAAATCCAGCTTCCTGATTTTAAAAACTAGAACCTTTAGCCTTCAAAACAAAAAACCTCTTCCCTTAAATCCTACTCTTGCCAAGGTAAGAGGTAGATCAGGTTGTGATGGTCAGATATGGGGCCAGCTGGCCGGAAGCATGCCGCCTGTTGCCACTACTGTTAGCTGAATTGTAAACTAATCCTTTTTAGACTGCTTTGGTCGTTTTAGTAAGACTGGTGAGGCCAAAAGAAAAACTCAGCTGCAGGCTGCGACATTACAGTCATTGGGGTTGCCATTGTTGAGGAAGAACCTGGGGGATCAGAGATGCCGATGTTGGCAGTCTGGAGGTGGTGGTAGAGATTCTGCTGATAAAATGCAGCCGCTGCTGCTGAGTCGAAAGGGATTCCGCAAGGAATAGCAGATATTGGCTGCATGGGGGCAGAACTTATACTGTTACTGTTGAAGCTGCTGTGGGGTTGTTGCTCATGGTTTACTATTGGTTTTTGCTCCGTTTCAAGTGAAAGCTTTAGCCGCTTTGCTGCACCACCAATGGGAAGAGAACTCTTGGCAATGGCTTCAACATCGTACCGGTTCATCTCAAAGTTGGTTACTGCATTCACACCCCTAAACTTGATGGCCGCAATATCATATGCCTCTGCTGCCTCTTCTTCAGTAGCTGTCATCGTAAAGAACATCATGATCAGTTCCGAACAACAATATTGTATATGAAAGTTGTCAAGTGGGAGAGTTTGTTCATCTCTTGTTATTGCAGCCTTACCAAAAGTCCCTAGATATAGGTCCTTGTTTCCAGCAACACGGCCTATCCTTGCTTGCCATCGGCCCTGTTGATGATGCCTGCAAAATTAATGTGATAAACCCGAGCTTCAGTTGTTCGCCATAGAATTATATATCACATAAAATTGAACTCATCATAAAGATATAATTCAGACAATGAATAATTCAAATTCTACACAAAATGTTCTAACCTTGTAACACCTCTGTAAATTGATGCTCCCCTTGAAAATCCGCTACTCTTCCTGTTACATATCAATCAGGCAAACAAAAGATTAATCAACTGCAATTAACAAAAACAAAAAACTGCAAACCAATAAAGGATACAAAGCTTACCTCCTCAAGGATGCAATAAACTCTTGCTTGGTCATATGTTTCATCTCCTCCAACTCTTTTGAATAATTTGAAATCTAAACCAAGCAAACAGTGACCAGTCAATAAGTTCATGCTCTAGGGCACGTAAAATGTCATGCAGAAACAAGAGAAAGATCAAATCGATTTGGTTAAGATACAAGAACTGTGTGTATATATGTAATACCAGGAAGTTGGTCGTTGCTGTGGGACCCCAGTATTTTAGAGCAGCTAAATCATAAGCCCTAGCTGCCTTTTCTTCCTTATCATAGCCACCTGAGAAATTACATGGTATTATATTTATATTCAGTCTAGAGATTTAATTGCAAAATTAAACTTAATACAAGAAAATAGGAAACTGTAGGAGTTTCTTACCCAAGTACACTGTAGAAACAATAGATTCGTACATTGAATGACAGCCAGACATCCACGAACCCACATTACATGCAAAAAGTAAAGCAAAGATTGTCAATATCAGGTAATATGTCGGTCAAAATTTTCTGCTTGGAATCATTTCTATAAGCAATGCAACGCCAAAATATTAGCAGGACTGATGCCTGTGCATTAGTTGGCATGTGAGTTGGTTAAAAGAAAACGATTTTTTAGTTCTTAATTCTTCCTTGGAATTGACAATCAATGAAACGTGAGTGAAAAATCGTAAGTATATTCTTTAATCTTGCACTGCACTATTGTGTTGCCCTTGATTTAACTCCAAATCTAAAACAATCCATAACGTACTTTGACTATTCTTAGGGGTAAATTTTAAGAAATTTTCACCAACTTTCAAGGTAAAATAAAACTTACTGGTTAGAAATTTTATGTTAATTTAGTGGCCTGGTGGGAGTCTTTCGTCTTTAAATCTTGAAAAAAAAAAAAAATGGTGCCTTGGTCAAACCTAGACCCTCTCTCCCACAGACTCTACCCGCTGTCTGTCTGGCTTGACAACAAAAGTAAAAGCAAAAGCCAACGCAGTGAAAATCAGACTGTTTCAGAGTTCAGACTTCCGTTCAAGTGTAAATAAGGCTGACCAGTGCCCAGTGGTAGTGTGGGTCGTGTCAAAACAGCCATAGTAAAATAGGGCCCCCAGGTGTGAGAGAGATCAGAAAAATAAAAAAAAAGTCCACAATGAACAAAATGGCGGCACAAATGATCAAATCAATCAGAGTTTTTACAGAAAAAAACTAATAAAGAAAAGAGTTTGCATTTGTACATTATACATAACATCAGTCTTTCAATCATCATAAAAAGACTGATGACAAATGGCCCCTGATCCCCCCATCAATCCCCCCTTGAATGCATGCAAGCTTCTTTTCAGTGTCACAGTGTATCTATCAAACTATCTATCTAATTCATCTACAATAAACTAAGTTTGATTAAAAAAAAAAAAACTTAACAGTATTATCTTTGTTTTCATTTCTGAATATATTGTCGTCTTAGTTTAGAATAATGAGAGAAAAAGAAAGAGAAAGAAGAAAGTGAAGGACCTTGACGCCCTTTTCTGGCTTGACCCTCTCTCCTACAGCTGTTATCCCATAGATGAGCTTCATATCTACCTGTCCATCTATGTCTGCATTTTCCAAGCCACGTACCCAACAAAAAAACGAGTAGTCAGAAGACTTAGAACCAAAACTAATATACAAATTAATTGCGTAGTTCACAAGAATCAAATTACTTTTTTAAAGAATCCAAAAAAAAAACAATTCATTAAAACTAGAAAAATGAAAGAAAAAGAAAGGAAAATAGATGGATTGATGGGATGTTTAACCTGGTGACTCCTCTGTAAATTGACGTTCGCTGACCAAAAGTATCAGCAATCTTCTTTGAGCAATCTGAGTCAACCGAAACAATGGCCTTATTATTATTGTTTTCGCAACTTTGATTAACCCCAAGTGACAAGGCACCAGCGGTAGGACAATTGGAGAAGCCCAACTCGGTACCAGATGACTCAATCGAGTGACCCGGAAACTCAACAGCAGTCGAGTGAGTTCTACCCATCGAAGCCGAGTCATCGACTTCCGATCCAGAGTTTGTCGAAAACGCTTGAAACCCAGTGATTGCCTTGAGATCTTGGTGCTCATTGAAGTAAGCAGAGCCACTGTGATCATAGATTTGGGTTAAAGATGAGTCCTGGGTTTCGGTTTGGCTATCTGAATATCGAACAATCGATGAGGAATCGCCAAGGAAGTCTTCAAGCTTTGGTGCTTGTTGGTGGAAGCTTGTGAGAATGGGGGATTCATCAGCCATGGCTGGGGGTTGAGCTTCGTTGCTTTGGTTCTCCTCTCCTTCTGTAAAAAACACTTGATGTTTTGGATTTGTCCAGCCTTCAAAAAACATAGAACCAACATGCATAGAAACCAGTCACTTCAGTACGTCTTACTTCCTTCCAATCCATAATTTTTCCTTAGATACCAAACATAAACAAGAAAAAATTTATGGGGTTTTTCTTTTGCATATAACAGTGAGCATTTTAAGTAGGTTTATTTAAGTAACCAGCTGGAAAATGATCTCAAACTTGAAACTACACCATATTTTATAAACTTATTTCATTAAACCATCTAAAAAGAACGAGACATTACCAAAAAAATCGTTGGGTTCTCTCGTATTTTCATGGCAACCAAACAGAAGTTATGAAAAGAATATAAAAAGAAGAAAAAAAAAGAAGTTTACCATTAGCATAGAAGTTATCGATCAGGTAATGAGGAGAAACAGCAGAAGAGGATCCTTCATATGACACAAACTGAGGCTCAGATGATGACCTCAACATCTCCATTGTAGATAGTGAAAATGAAAGCCAGTTACTTGCTGATGCCATTTAATATCCTTATATATATGCTACAACTATAAGTCTAACCTTCAAAAACTTTTTCCTTTCTCTAAAATGACACTAGAAACCAAAACTATTTCTTCAGGAAACAAACAAAAATCAGCTGGTGTATTTTTGCCTTAACCGTTACTTAAAACTGCTCCATTTCAGAAAAACAACTACGATAATCACGAAGCTTGGAAAAAAAAATTGAAAATCTTTTTTTAAGCTTCAAAACAGGTTAAATGCATGCAAACTCCTCTGGGATTTCTCCGAACAAAAAAAAAAGAACTGTTTGTTATTGTTTTCCACTTTTGGCTAAGAAAGAAAGGAAAGGAAAAGAGAAAGAGTTGGTGTCTGGGTTTTAAAGGAAGAGAAAGAGAGAGAAGTATTGAGCAGTTTCAGCTGCCAACCAGCGTAAAACCGGAGAGCCCACTTTCAAAGAGATAGAGAGAGTTTTGTTTGATAGTAAAAAAAAAGCTGAAAATAATAAGAAAATGAGAGGATTGTGAGGGGGTGACTTTTAGCTCTGCGCGGTGAGGAAAATTTGTCTGGAACAACGTTGCGGAAGATCCGGGGTGGTGGAAATGGGAGAGAATTTGTAAGGGTTTTATTTTAATTTAGTAAAAGTAATTATTTTTTAACAGTGTATTAATTTAATTAATAAAAATAAAATAAGGTTTGTTTATGTCTTCTTCTCGATTTTTACACACTTGTCCTACATGCACCCCTCCAACCTTTTACTACCATTGGCTGTTTCTCAAGCGGTCGCTTTTGTTTCGGATCCGGTTAATGTTTTGTGTCCGGATTCATATCCAGATCCATGCTAAGATCCGCTTATAAGCCGGGCAGGTCAGATCAAGTTAGATTGATTTAGTTCGGTAGGTGGAATTTGAAAATTTTTAAAAATATTAATATTTTAAATATATTAAAATAAAATAAAATAAATTTATATTAATTTAATAAAACTTAATTTGAGTCTTGGTTAGAAATCCTGATTTCGGATTAAATTTTTAGATTGGATGGATAACTTAATTCTTGAATAAATTTTTTTATATCTTAAATTAGGGTGAATTTGGTTATTAACAAGGTTTATTATAGGTCTCCATTGGCTTATCAATGAATCGTGGTAGTCGACTGAATCGGTAATTTTAATCAAATGGTATGAGGAGGTGACTTAGGACGTATGTATGTAATTAGTTAGGGAAAAGAGATTAAGGCATGTAGATTAGGAATTTAAAAAATATATTTCCTCCATCTTTATTTATTTGTCTTATATTAATTTTTACGAAATTTAATAAAAAAAAATTATTTTAATATATTTAATGTTAAAACTAAAATATTTTGATAAAATTAAAGTTTCATAATTTTTAATGTTAAAAAGTAAAAAATAATAATTTTAAATTATAAAAAAATATAATTTTAGATGTTCAAAAAATAACATAGAACATAATTTTAAGATATCTAAAAAAAAATGGATAAACAAAATGTGATAGTAAGAATATATACAATCTGTTAATAACTTGTCTTACATTTTTTTTTATTGAAAAAAAATAGTGAAAAAGATATGGTTTCTTGAATTATAATTTTTACTATTAAGTTGTTATTGGAAAAATAAATCATGAAAAAATTAATTGATCCTTTGTTGAATATTCAATGCGATTAAATTTATTATATTTTCAATTGAATTTAAATGTCAATTTTAATAAAATTAAATTAATATAAATTTTTATTAATTTTTTTTAATTACAGTTACAATAATTTTTTTCAATAACAATTATAATAAATTTTATTATTAATTTTAATCTCATCGTAATTAATCTTATCATCAATTTAAACGAAACTTCAATATTAAAAAAAAAGATTACGGATCGCTCTCAAATTTTTATTTTTTTTATTCAAAGTTATTAAAAATTTAATCTTAAATATTTGATTATACAAAAAAAAAAAGAACATTTATCATAAATCACACGATTGACAAAATTTTACCACTTGATGAGTTAAGTGCAAATGGCAAGTTTGCTATAGCTTTAGCTTTACCTAAAGCTAAAGCTGTTGTAATATTATTTGGTTCAATTAGTAATACTGTAGCTAGGTACAATAAAGATTAATAATCTCAATCCGTTTAATAAGTGGTGATATGGCAAGTATATATCTATTTCAGAGTTCTTTAAAATTATAGAAGTAAATGTATAATAGAATCTCACTTATAGCTTCATGATTGATGATAATTGATTGGATGGTACTAGTCTTTTTGCTCCCTCTTCGGCGGGATGGAAAGAAAACAGTAGTTGCTCCCAAAAGAGAGAACCCATCGATCCAATAATCCATCAACATTCTTCGGTATTAGAGTTTCAGATTAATTGAGAAAATTTAAATGAAGTTATCCAGGTTAAATTTGTAAAAAAATTTTAAAAAATAGTTTAATAAAAATATTAATTAATAAATTAAATTAATAAATGGATAAAGTTAAATGTAAAAATTAATAATATATAAAAAAATTATTTATAATTTAAATTTGATCGATATTTATTTAATAATAAAAATTTTATTAATATTTTTATTAAAAATATTTATATAAAAATATATGTCTAAATTTATTAAATATTTTTTAAAATTTACATACTTAATCTATATAATAAGATTTTTTAATTTATCAATTTTAATTTTTAATTTTATTTAATTACTTTTAATTGAGAACTTAAAAAATTTTACCTAAAAATTTCATCTAAATTTTCTCTCAATATAAATATGTTATCGTGAGAACTTTCTATCACACGTATAAATATATATATATATGAATTTATTTTTATAAAAAAATAATTTATACATTAATGTATTAAAATTTTTAATTTTATACGCATGAAAATCCAAATAAAAAAATCGAATCTTAAATCTTATAACTTACATATCAAGGTATGAATCGAAGCGAGTGCATTAGTGATTGAATTCACTAACCAATTTGTGATGAATGAAAATGGCGTGTGTACACATTATAAAGCAATCCAGCAAATAAAGTTTAGTTTCTCATCAACAGTATTTTCTCATTTCTGTTTACATTATGGAGCATTAGAAAAGAAAGCCACCAATGCTGCAGAGAATTTTTTGTATTGCATTTAATATCTAAAGCTTCTCCATTCCAAAGCTTTTGATTTGAAAAGTTGTCCCTCGTGCCTTAGCGCGCCCAAAACTATGACCCTTTGTCAAACTTTTTAGGTCCAATTGGCCAAAAAAAAAAAGAATGAAATACCCAGCAAGGGAAAAAAGAAAAAGACAAAGCGCAAAAAGTTGACTGTGAAAGAAAGAAGAGAAACAAAAGAGATGGAAGTTAAACAAAATATGTATTAAAAAATGCCAAAATAAATAAAAGAAAAAGTAAATGTGAAGGAGGGAATAGAGACAGAAAACACTAGAGTTACAGCAGATTCGGTCAAAGTAACATTCTAGGTAGGTAAAAAAAACAAAACATAATATTTTTGGCTTTGCAAAGTAACAAGTGAAGTGCGAGACCATAATGCGAGAAAACCGGGAAACAATGAGCCCCGACCACCAGGGCTTCTGCTCAAGCTTTGTTTTCCTCAGTGAAATCGAAGCAACCCCAGCAATTAAGGTAAAGTGATTTTTGGCAGAAAATGCGTATAAAGAAGAGCCTATTGCCCCCAATGCTCCAACCCCACGTTTATACATACATATATTTTCGTGTAATTTGTTATCCCTCCAGGGAAAACATTTACCTTGTAAAATGGCTACACAACATTACCTTCCATTAATGCTTATGTCTTCTCACACATTAAGTATTTTTTATGTTTTTTTGTTAAAAAAATAAAAATTCTATTTAATATAATATTATCATTGATTTATCAATAATGTATAAATTTTATATGTTAATAATATATTAAATATAAACTCAAAAAATAAAAATAAATTGCAGTATCCTCTAGCAGTTGCTTACATGTTTGATAAAGTTAATATGTAACATTCACATCAACCTCACATGGAGAGTTAATTATTATTATAAATCAATGGAATGGAAAAAAAATAACCCTTAACGTGCATTGAAATTATATGATTTATTAATAAATCGTTAAATTTTTAATTTTAGTAATTGACTGAGCTTCAAGTTTATGAGTTTGGTACATATGAAAGAAATTGGACGTGAGAAGAGAATTAGAAGTACTTTGTTATTTAAAACTTGAATGTGAATTGCTATTGTGTTGCTTTGTTTAGTTCAATCTGACAGCGTGCAGAGAGAGTAATTAATGCTGAGGGTCTGAAATGATCTGAATTGTGAATTGAAAATTTGGACTGATTATTGATTCAAAGTTTCAACACTCAGTGAAACGAATATGCAGATAGCAGATCGGATGCAGGGAAAGATTAATTAGAAAAGTACTGCTTATATATATATAATGATTTTTCTTTTTCTTTTTTTATAGTTGTAAGACACGTACAGCGGAAGCATTTGTTGAAAGCTGCGGTGGCCAACAGCCCGTAGCAGCAGCAGCTACGCTACGCAAGCCAACCAAATTAGGTTCATTTCGACGCCTTTTTTTCCTCTTGTTTGTTATTTGGGCATGGACCCCAGCTGATTTTGCATGGTGGCCTCTGGTTGTGTTTGTGTGATATTCCTTCCGTCTCTTTTTTTTTTTTTTTTATAAATGTTTTAAAATTATATATATTTTCAAATATTTTTATTATTTATTTTTTAATATTAAAAATAATGAAAATTTTATTTTATAAAAAACTTTAATTGATATTTAATATATCAAATGAACCATTAGTTGGGAAAAACTTTTTCACAAATTTTTTAGATAAAATTTGTGAAAATTTTTTATTAAAAATATTTAAATCAAAATTAAAATAAAAAATCAAATCGATAAATTACAAAATATCATTATATAAATTAAGTAAAATTTTAATAAATTTTGATATATATTTTGATATAAATATTTTTAGTAAAAATATTGATAAAATTTTGATAATTAAAAAAAATCAATTAAATTTAAATTATAAATAATATGTTTAATAATTTTTTTACGTACTATTAATATTCATGTTAAACCTTATTAATTAAATTATTTAAAATTTTTATTAAATTATTTTTTAAAATTCATAAATTTTACTTAAAAAATTTTGTAAATTTTGTTGCATAATTTATTTTGCAACTTTTTGCAACGGCTTGAATGGCAAATTTTTTTCTTCACCCTTGCAGATATATTTTCATTTTTCATAAGAGAGACAACGTCAAAGAGAAGCATGATCGAGTCACATCATTTCCTTTGGTTATTATCATAAATTTATTATCACAAAAAGAAAAACAATTAGTTTCATAACCCTCCAGCATCCAATTTGGTGCGGGTTTAGGTTTTGGGGATCAAAATCTTACCTTTAGGGGGCTCGAAACAAGTTGCATCTTTTGCTGACTTTTGCTCGTGCACCCTTCAACTGCATGTGACATCACACGTGGCAATGGCTACCCATATAAATGGAATGTACAAATATTATATTTTAATATTCATTTTAATTATTTTTATAAATACATCCCTCTTAGATTTTTTAACTAAATAATTATTAAGAAAAATTAAAAAAAAATTTGGTTCTAGAAATATCTTCCAATTCAACCATGAATAATTAGACGCATGGCAGCTACGTGGCAGCCGATGATGCTTTTTGTCGAGGTAGCAACATGCTTCCATGATCTCCATCTTGGAATGACTTGATATTATCATTATCATCTTCAACACACGTGCATGTGCTTCTAAAATTTGCTATAACAATAATTACACAAGTTACAATAATTAATTTATTCTTACATAATTTATCATAAATCAATAATTTATATGATTATTTATGCATGATAAATGTGATTTTTATTTATATAAAAATTACATTTATATGATCACAATCACCTAATTTAAAATAAATTATGTATGCATGATAAATGTATTTTTCATTTGTGATGGTATTAACTATTAAATCTAAATCGATTCTATAAAATAAATTCGAATTTTAATTTAATTAATTTAAAAATTAATGTTTAATAATTTTAATTTATTCTCATTCTATTATCTCTTTTATAAAAAAATAAACTTACAAAATCATATAGTTTGTAGTAAAATATGATGATGATGATAAAGGGCTTAGATTCGTTGGAAGGGATCCTAATCATAGTTCTTATCTTGGCTTCTTCTTTGGGTTTTATTCTTTTGTAATCATGATTATTTTTTTTTTTTCATATATAATAAGGTCCAAGGACAAGTGTAATCACTACTTTTGACCATTGACTGAAAGCACGTGCGCAGCATCTTTCAATTCAAATATTTTGGTCGATGATTTCGGTGACGCACGTGCATTCTCTGCCCCCGACAATGTTATCATAATCATGTCTTCAATGTTTAACCTTTCTTTTTCTTAAATCAAACATTTTAATAGTAAGAAAGACAATTTAGCTGTAACGAAGCTGTAATAATGGATCTACTTAATTGAAAAAGATAATTCTTTTTTTTTTTTTTTTTACACTTTCCTTGATAAGTATCCAAAGCAACATGGAACCATTCCACATAGCACATACTTTGATCTCAAGTTTTCATTGAATTTAAAATTGAAAAGATTTTATTTTTTACCATTGACCCCGTTCGTTGCATTTGTATAAGGAATTTGTACTCTGTACATCGAACAAATTTGGATCTAAAGTTTGAATTTTTTTTTAGCTTTATTGAAAGTTGACACTTTTATATTTAATCAAAATAGAAATTGCATGTAATCCAAAATCTATACTTTTAACCGAAATCGTCTCCTACAATTTATTCTTTTAGATAAAAAGGTTATAGTTTGAACATGAAGTTTTAGGTTTAAATTTAATTATTTGTGATTTTGATCCTAATTATATTATAATTTATTGACCGATTGATTTATTTAATTATTTTATATATAAATGTAATATTTAATTATAATTTATATTTGTAATTTCATTAAAAAAAAAAAGAAGTGTTGTGCTGGGGAAACCAATTTCAAAGCTAAGGCCTAAGATTGAATTCGGATTGAGCTGTCAATACAAGATAAGCCCAATCGGTGCATTTTTCATAATGTTGGGCTCAAATGCTTGTTTCAATGAACAAGTTCGCTGGGCTTTCTTGAGAGCCCCCAAACCCAAAGGCCAGAGCTGCTGCATCCAAATTCCAAAACCAAAATAAGTAAACGCAAATGGAGGTGCGGGGAATCGAACCCCGTGCCTCTCGCATGCGAAGCGAGCGCTCTACCATATGAGCTACACCCCCATTGACAATTCTTTGAGGTTGTATTGACAAATTAACCATTAAATTGCTAATAAAGATTCCACAGCAAAGATGCCCTTCCTGTTGTTTCTTTCTTTCCAAATGAAACAAACAATACCTAGTTAATCAAGCTTAAAAGCAAGAAATGTCAAAGATTGAAAGCAAATTTTTTCAAACAAAACTTATATATAGGGTTGGTAATCTAATTCATATCCATCAAGTTTTGGTTCGACCTAGTCTTATAAGGTTGGTTTTTTATTTTTAATCGATCTAATCTTGTAGGGTTAGTTTTTTAATTTTTAATCAAATTAGATATGTAAATAAAAAAAGATTGGATTTTATGTAAATCAGTTTCAACCGATGTAGTATATATATTATTTATATTTTATATTTATATTCAAAAAATAATATTTTATTAATTTTGAGTATTGTAAATTTAAACATATATGAACATATATGAGTAGTTCCGGCTTCTAACTTGGGTTTGATGGAGAGGAATTAAATTTGCAAAATCTAACTAATTCCAAAGGCACAAGCTAGGAGAAGAAAGATTTTTTCTAGCCATTTTACTTCATTCTTAAGTTTAGCTCTTAACTTGTGTATTTGTCTATAAAACCTAAGTTTATAAATGCATTCCATAAATTTGGACATTTTTTTATAAACAAAATAGATTTAATAGTTTATTCAAATGTTATTTCAAAAAGCAATCAAAAGTCTAGACATGCATGACGGCAACATGCTTCTAAAGCGTGTACACAATTTGACCCTTGCAAATTACTATGCATTTCTATTACTCACCAAAATTATCGCCTGGCTGAAGATTATTTGTCGGTTAGCTTACTCCTAAGATTAACCTGCCTATATTGCATTCATTTTAAATTAAATTATAGATAAAAAATAATTTTTTTTGATAAAAAAATTTATGATGAGGGTGAATTTTCGTTTCAAGATCAGATAAATCATAAATTTTAAAAATATTATTATGTTAAATTTATAAATAATCTACTAAAAAAATTATTGACAGCGAAATTTGAATTTATACTTTATAAATGAAATATATGATTATTATTAATTTAATCAAACTTATTGATCATAAAAAAATAATTTTAAGATAAACCTTGGCCGCTTATTAATTTTAAGTGAATTTTTTTGTCATTTCAATTGATGTATCATTATTTATTATCGAGAATCCAATTAACAAGTGGGTTAAGAATAATTAAAATTCTATTTAAGAAAAGTTTTGTTTCATTTTAGACAAGAAAGTCCAAACTGGCCGTCCTAGTCGCTTAAGACACCTAAGGCAAAGAAGTCCCCGCCCTGTTCGTCTTTTTTGACTATTTCCAAGTACCTAAACAAACCTTTGACAAACCATAAAGGAATTCAACTTTCCTTTCCTTCAATTTCCTTTCCTTGGATTTTTCACATTAACCCTTTATCAAGGCTATATTTCCAACGATGTTAATTGCCTTGATTAAGTGATCTAATCAGGATTATTGGTTTTTCAATCCCTGCTGTTTGAGCAATGAGTAGTAAGAGCTTACCAATGGAAACTCAAGAGGAGAAAGTCTACGTTGCAGTCGGAAATGATATACAAGATGGATATAAGACCTTGGCTTGGACACTGAGAAAATGGAATTCTCAACCCATCTCCATTGTCCTCCTTCATGTTACTTACAACATTTCCAAGGACTTTGTTTACACCCCATGTAAGTTCAAACACGTAGATTTCGATTCCGTTTATTCACTTGATCAGATCTCCGACACGATTATATACATTTTCATCTTCTGTATCAGTTGGGAAGCTTCCGGCAAGCGCGGTGAGTGAAGAGAAGCTGGAAGTCTTGAGGAAGTATGAGCAAGAGCAGACAGACAAGTTACTTTCCAAGTATATAGCTTTCTGTGGCAAGGTTTTGTTTGTTTGCCTATTGCTGTGATGGTTGCTGGGATTTGTTTTACTATGTTGGCATCAATCTGTTTACAATTTAATTTCATTTTGGTGTAGGATTACTTCTGCTCTGATAATTTTCAGGATGTTTCCTATGTTTTTTCATAGGTAAAAGCTGAGATATTGAAAGTTGAGAAATATGATGAACCTATCCACAAGCTCATAGTAGATTTGACATCAGGACTCAGAATTGGCAAACTTGTCATGGGAACGACATTCTTGAAATCCTCATCATGGTATGGAAAATTTCTCTACCTCTTTGCGCTTAGTTTAAACTACAAGATTCAGGGAATTGGAATTTTTTTTTCCTTGTTGATGATTCACTTTAATTTCTTCCTCCATAGGAGATCAAAGAGTGCTATAAGTGGATCATTCTATGTTCACCATTACAAACCTGACTTTTGCGAGCTTTACATTATATGTGGGGGGAAATTGGTGGTCCTCGACGGAAATATTGATAAAGGGTTCATGGAGGATGATCAAGGAATCATGATTGCCAAAATAAAAGAAAAGCCAACTCTCAAACATTTGTTAGGAAAAATTTTTAGTGAAAATAATCCAAGCAGAAGGAAAAAAGGTTTTTTTCCTCCATCAACAAACCAGGATTCATCACAGAACCAGTGGGAAGATAATTTACAAGAGATTGAAAACTATTTCCAGCATTTGTTGTCTTTAAACTTGGATGAGGTGATTTCTCAGGACGAGATCAATGATCGGTTGCAAACTAGTCCAATGGAGCCAAACGCACCAGAAAACACAAATGCCGACATGGTGAGATCATTTTCACCTCACCAATTTGTGGTCATAATGTTGCAGCAGTTAGAAATTTTTTGTTTATTCCTAACCAATCCTGTTTTGCCAACAATATGTAATAGTTTTCTATCTTACCTATGTTCATTTCTTGACTCTTGGGGCATATGATAGTGATGGGATGATGATTAGTAATGTTTGGTCCCTTAGGGATGTGTGTGTGCCAAACTCACTTTCTAGACCACCACTCCTCATCTTGTCTGGATTTGAATGTCCTGATATTACCTAATTCTACAATTATTGAGTTTCCATCATTCCATTTCCATGCCATTTTCATTGCATCCAAGACACCGATTTCTGACAATTATGTTAACATTTAATTAGACAAAGCTTTGTTCCATTGTTAGAATGCTGCAGAAAACATGGAAGCTCTGCAAAACAAGATAGATGAAGCTTATGCGACTATTCAGTTGAAAAGGAAGGAAGCTAAGGTCAATGCTGAAAGACATGAAAAAGCTGAATGGGCTATAATTTTATGCAATACTCGGGTATTTTAAAGCTCTTGATCACCTACCCAAAGTTTTTTTATTTTCTTTCATTTTTGTTTGCTAATTCTTAAAATTCATTCATGTTCTTTTAGGCTGAGGAACTTGAAACTCTGATAAAAGAAGAGGTCACCCAGCGGTTAGAGATAGAGAAATTATCGGACACCGAAAAAGAGCAACTTCATGAAGTTATAAGAGATGTTGAAGAAAGCAAAAAGAGGCTAAATTCACTATTGGAACTCCAAACTGAGCTCTCAAAAAAACTTCAGATATCAAGTATGGCAAGAGCAAATGCTGAGGCTCAGTTAGAAAAGGCTGTAGTTACAAGGGCAGAGATGGTAACCGAAATCGAAGAATTGAGGCGACAAAGGGATGTTTTCCGACGTAGAATTGAGTTTTGTAGAGAAAAAGATGCACTTGGAATGGCTGCAAGATTAAGTGAAATAGGCTGTAGTTACAGAGAGTACACAGCTGAGGATATCAGATTAGCAACTGATAATTTTTCAGAGCGTTTGAGATTAAAATCAGGAGGGGATTGGTTGAATGTATATAAAGGACGAATCAATCATTCAATAGTTGCAATAAAGATGCTCAATTCTGCTAATGGATTGTCTCAAGAAGATTTTCAAGCTAAGGTGTGACTTCTTCTAGCTTTAATTATATTAGGCAGGTCCAATTAAATTGGTAGTCACATTTCTTGCTGAAGAAGGTATCAACTCAACTCTTAGTTTGGTCTTATAAAATAATGAATTGTATCTTAATTGTAGGTGAGGCTTCTTAACGACATTCGACATCCGCATTTGGTTGCTATGATGGGATTCTGCTCCGAGCTGAAATGCATAGTCTTTGAATACATGCATAATGGTAGCTTGAGAGACATTTTATGTTCCTCCCAAAGGAATTGTAGGAAAACAAACAGAAACCGGGTCCTTGGGTGGTATGATCGGATCCGAATAGCTCACGAGGTTTGCTCGGGCTTGGCCTTCCTACACTCGGCTAAGCCCAGGCCCATAATTCATTTTCAACTCACCACGTCCAACATTCTCCTGGACCGTAATCTTGTTGCAAAGATCAGTGGCTATGGCTTGACTCAGCGCCATGATCACTATGATCTGAGATCAAATATTAGGGCATTTGGGGTTCTATTGATGCATATGTTAACTGGGAGGAATTGGGCCGGGCTGATTGAAGACGCGATGACAGTGGACCGGACTGCCCTTGTTCGGGTTTTGGACGAGAAGGCAGGGCAATGGCCTTTGGAGGTGGCAGTGGAACTTGCAGGATTATCCATGAAATGCTTGTCTGTTAACCATTGCCTCAACATAGATTTGCAGATTGGAACTGTTATGGAAGAGCTAGATGAGCTGAAGAAGAAAGCTGATGATCTGGTGGCTAGAGGAGGATTTGAAGCGGTCACCAATAAAAATGTAAAAACAGATGACTCAAGCGATGTACCAGGTGTTTTCCTCTGCCCCATATTCCAGGTTGGTCTCAATGTCAAATCTGCATCTCTCTCAAAATACTACTCTAACCATGATGTTTGGTGATGTTTTGATATAAATATTTGAGCTGTATGGTGGGTGCAGGAAGTGATGAAAAATCCACATATAGCGGCTGATGGTTTTTCATACGAATTGGAAGCTATAGAGGAATGGCTGAAGATGGGGCATGATACATCTCCCATGACAAATTTGAGTCTCAAGCACAAATTCCTGACCCCAAATCACACCCTCCGTTCCCTCATCCAAGAATGGCAGAATAAGGGATCAAATTTGCCTTGTTGAAGTGAAGACATTTCATTAATTCTGTAGATTTAAACATTTCACATTGCACTTTTTTTTTTTTTTTAAATTTTACAAAACAGGTTGAAACTCGAGTTGAGGAAACAAAATTATATGTGCTAAAGATCAAACCAAGTTTTTATGAGAATTACACTTCTCTTAAAAGGAGGGTGAAACGTCTGTGTGGTTCTGTATTGCAGCTCTTTGGAACATACATTCTGACATTTTCACTAAATTTGGTACCATTTCATTTCCTTGGTGTGTATGAAAAAGGGGAAAGATAAGGTCGCTTGTCATCAGGCACAGTACCTTGGGAAAACTTCAAATGCAAAATACATGCAGGAAAATATTTTATTAAAAGAATAGTAACTGTTTTCAACTCGAACAATCAGTTACAAAGATGCTATTACTAATTCTATTGTAAGAATTTCGTGTTGCAAAAGAATTAATATGTATTTGTAACTCTATCACTTACTCAAAACCATCTCCAAGATCTTTCATGCGCGATATCGAGGAAGTGACCCTTCAACAAAGAAACTTCAATCTGAAGCACAAGCTTCTCTTCTGCTAAAATATCATGCACGCAAACATCTTGAACAACAAAGTGAGGCACATTTTCCGGGGAGAGAGTAATCTGCCTGCAAAGATGGATCAATTGCCACATCTTCAGAATGAGACCAGATGTACACCCCTCGTTCTTGCTGGCTGCCTGGCACGGTGTTGTCGAGTACAAATGCTACAAAGAGTGTAACCACCATGCTCATAGACATGAGTGCATTTATAGCAAAATTAAGCTGACACACGTTCATAAAACAATATGTTAGTAAACTCTTTCATACAATTAGGAAAATGGAAAACAACATAATAAATCACAAAATCAAAGAAATAGACTATGTGTATGCATCTATAAAGCACTAGCTTAGCCACTAGAGTGGTGGTAGTCCACATCATGATTCAAAAACATATGCGCATCTTCAACTTACTTGTTCACTAGCAGTGTGGACTGGTCCATCTGATGCAGCTGCATAAGGAACAAAATAACCTGGCAGTATCAAACTTGACTCAGGTTGGTACTGTTGGAAATAGGCAGGAATGGATAAACCAAGAAACAAGGACACCCCAACTATGGTTATGTTCCTAAAACATGCTGTTTGAGTGTATTGCAAGGTTGAGAGGCCTACAGCCACAACAAGGGCCCACATGAAGCACAAAATAGAAGCAGCTAAGGACAGTGGTATTGAAGCAAGAATTGCACCCACTTTTCCTGTCAAACATAAGTCAAAACATCAACATATATCTGCCTCATCATATGTACAATAAACAACATAAATTATTTAGCAAAGCCTGTTGAATGCATATGCAACCAATGGATACTGCATCCAAGACTTCTTATAGGTATCAACTTGTAAGATCTGACTGAAGCAAATAAAATTGATTTAACTGAATTAATACTTCTCTTTTCTTTTTCAAAAATGCATCACCAAGATTAGTTGTAAAGTTAGTAGAACAGATTTAGTGCACCCAAAAATCATATTCACATCCTTGAATAGCATTCTATCATCTATCTACCAAGCATCAAGAAGCTTTTTCCAAGCAAGCTTGAATTTTGACTTTACCTACGAAGGAGAAGAGTATCAAGAAAAGTGCTCCAAATACCACAGCTCTTCGGCTTGCCATTTTTGTTATATTTATCGTTTGTGTATTTTCTGTCAAAGTTGTTGAGCCAGTACCAGAACCCCAAAGTCCAGCCAGCATGCTACAGAAACCTTCCAATGCAATGCCTCTGCGGACTACTCCTGGAGTTGGAGGCTTCGAACTGACTAGCAGAGATGCAGAGTGATACGTTCCAACCTGCTCAGTCAATGTATCACAAGCAAAAGTGTCAGAGCTATTGCAATTATTTTCTTGTTCAGTGCCTTTCATGTACAGCCATCAAAACATGTATGACTTCAAAAATCAGTTTGGCTGCTCTATTTTCTGGATCTCGTTTCTTTTTCTACACTTGCATATTCAGCATTTCATAAACAGAACTATACAATAAAATTGTGGAGAGTAAAACTTTTCCAAAGAAAAGTATTTCCATCACACAGTTCATTTGATACCGATATTTTGGCACATATGTATCATAAACTACTAACCGAATCCACTGATGCAACTAGTGACACAATGCTCATGATCAGAGATGTCCTGAAATGGAAGATAGGGACACCCCACTGTAAAGGATAGGGAATTCTGACCCATGCAGCATCTCTCCATGCATTTGAAACATCAGTTCTGCAATGCTTCATGGTATATGCGTGTTTTCTACACTCATCAACTAAAATGTTTGAACTGGGAATGTTAGAACTGCAGCCTTTGTAATCATAAGCTCCTCCGGCCGTCAGAAAGAATGCATAAGTCCATGTAATCATAACACTCAGGGGAACCTGCAGGGATCAAACAATGACATGATGATCAAGTAACAATATCCTTACCAAAAACAAAGAACCTCCTGTTACCCCAACAAATAAAAATCCAGAATTCAAGAGAAACAACCGTGATAAAATTTTTAAATACTTAATATTTTAATTCTACTTCTACAATGGTAAGGGAAATAGGGGTCTTTCTAAAGAAGCATTGCTAATCAGCTTTTCACTGGTGAAACATTCAGCTTCAGCCCATAAGTGATAGAAGAAAGAAATCAATCATTCAACAGGACTAGTGAAAGAAAGAAGTGGTACTTTCAAATTTGTTTTCCTTCAAGAAAAATGAGACCTTAATCATTCTTACAAGTAACATTCTGACTCAAGCAGATCTCTAGGACAAATACTTATTATACCCTGTTTCCTCCAAAGACGGTTCTGTTAGACATAAGGTATTATTAGATGCACTATTTATAAGGTGGTATGAGAACAAGGCTTCAAGGACAGTTAAAGGGGTGCCATTATGATGGGTGTTGAGTTACCATAGATTGATGCAACGGTTTTCATAAAGTGCAATGCTTGACAGTAAAATAAAACTCAGTGTTTTTAAGGAAATGGATTTAGATAGAGTATAAGGCATTTTCAGGGGAAAAAATCATTTGACCATACCAAATAACTAGAACAAAACACCATCACAGATAACAAGAGGTGATAAACAAATTGGTCTTCAAGGATATAACAAACCGGGAAGCAACGAATTATCTTGTTATCCACAACTATTGAGGCTTTCATCATTAAGGAAGTAAGCAATTTTTACTGTGACATAAATGGTTAGCTAGAAGCTCATTACCCTAAAGGAGGAACTGAAGAAGGGGTAGCTTGCCTGTTACACTGGATATTTAAAAAGAAAATTGAAATAAAGTTTCAGAAAGAATAACCAAGATGAAAAGTGAGAGTACGAACTGCATATATTCGGAATAATCGATGCCCAAAGATGGATATTCCTCGAAGATACTAGAAAAAAAAAGCACACAAAAATAAATAAGTGTTTGGAAGACATCCTTAAAATGAATAACAAAAAATAAAGTGTCAAATGTAATGATTACACTCAGTAACTATCCAGTATTCAACTTGCTTTGCTCAGGAAATCACTCACCAGGGAACATATAAGAACCAACAATATCAGGGGAACACTAATTTCCACGCAACTACCAGCTTGTGGAAAACCAAAACTAAAGAATGCTAAACCCACAGCAGCAACAGTTGGTGCAACCACAACTGGGTTAATCAATCTGCAAAATGAGATTAAAAGATAAAGAAACAATTAACTCCATAGGTGATTCCAACTTATATCATTATACTACATGGTGACACTTGACATGGTAGTTTCTCAAAATAAACTATTTACTACAACTATAAAACGAATGAAGATCTCCTCCCATGCAAATCATAATGATCAATCAATTTTAATAACCAATATCTCTCCCTGGTCATATGGTATTCTAGAAACATCGGGAGAGAAGAAGCTCATCAAGCATTAAATTCCCTTTATTTTAGTACAGCATTGCACAATGATAATGAATAAACAATTCCCGATAAATAGCACGAAGAGCAGGATTTAGAAGTCGCCTAACTGATATCTGTTTTTGCTAAAGAAACAATATCTATGAACAAGCAATCTGATAGAATTACCTCAGTAAAAGTGACATCAAACCACTGAATCCCAAGATACTTTGGAATACTGAACCAACAATAATAGCTCCTTGCAGCTCTCTCATTATGTGCCTGAATTTCTACAGCAAAATAAACATGTATTGTTGAAACTAGAGTAAGATTGTATTGCAAGAAACACATGGTTTAACATTTGCAAGCCCTGAACTAAAAAAATGCGCTCAATTCTTCTGACAAATAGGGGTGAAGATTGGATAAATAAAGAGTTATCACATTCATCAATTTGACCAAAATTTAGAGCATCAAAGCCATTTACGATGAAGTTAAAACTATTTAAAAAAAAAACTGGCAGCATAAGGGTAATAACACTCATTTTCTTTTACTTAACTTACATGTTCTGTGAGATTTCGATAATCCCGAGCATTGATGATAACTAGTGCTGGAGCCAGATAGACAAATGAGCTTCCTTGAACTAATGGAAGCCGGGTACCAAAGTAGGAATGCATTATTGTACTAATGCCAGAAACTAGCAGCATTGTAGAAATCACAGTAGCAGTGTCTTTCTGCATTACATGTAAAGAAATATCAATGCATTTCATATTCCAATTGTGTTAGATGTCAAGCAATGAAGACTTCCAGTTCCATAGTAAAAGAAGCTTACATCTGTTCCACCCATGGCTGGTACCATTACCAATGGAATGAATATAAGCGAACCCGTCAATGATAAAAAGTGTTGCAGGCCATAATATATAAGTGCTCCTGCAGTTAAATATAATCAGATGAGAATTAGGAGTAAGTAATGATTTCTTCCTAGTTATCCAAGACATATAAAAGGATTCAGCAGCGACCACAAGATTCAAGAACCCTGTAATTGTGGAAAGCGATTCATGATTTTCGGTTTTCATTACTTGGTAGATTCTGAAAATCAATGATATTACTTCCTTTTTGGTTAAAGCCTCAAATATCTCCATGATATAAATAAGAACCATGTCAGAATAGGAAACTTCATATAAATGTTGGACAATATTCAAAGCCTTGAGATGGATAGGGGTAAAATAAACAAAACTATAGCAGAATTATGCAAGTCAGAACATGAAGCCTTGAGAAATCCAAACTCTCCACATGTATAGAGAAGTTTCCTATAAAGGTGGAAAATTTTCCCCAATTTTGTTTCCATGAACTTCTCACTTGTGCGGCTATTTGTAACTGCTGTTTCACACTTTCATAATGCTTTTCTATGCTCTTGCAAATACACACAAAGCCAAACTACATAAGACATTATTACTATAATCTATAATATATATATATATATATATATATATTATATATATATCAACTCCAGCTTCTGGCTATTGGAAAACTCAAATACTTATACTATAATCTCATTTGGTAACATCTTCACAGCTCAATAATGTAATGCAAATAACCGCTTCCTTCAACCCTAATCTGATATTTGCCAAAACAAGCATTACCAAGAAACAGTAATCATCAACAATGAAACACAGTTGGCAAAAAAAAAAGAAGAACATAAAGAAAAATGAGTAAAACAAAAGGTGTAAACAAACTAACCAAAACCCGGATTATCTCTTAGCCCAACCTTCAACCCCGGATGACCACTCCACCCACCACGACCCTGCTCTTCACTTCCTGGATGCATCCCATATTCCACATCCCTTTCACCCTTTGCATCCTCAATCTTCTGTTCAGCAACTACTGATGCAACACCTGGCACTTCATTCCCATTCTCATTCCTATTTTCCACCGCATTCACATTCCCATTCCCATTCCCATTCCTATTCCCCATCCCATTCACATTCCCGTTTAACCCAACTTTCTTTTCTCAACTTTCTTCCCTGAACCATTCCCATTCTCATCTGCAACTGTCCTCCTTCCTTGCCCGGAACCCGACCCTGACCCAGAACCGGAATCCAATTCAATTTCAATCTCCCTATTGGGTCTAGTCCGGCCCAAAACCGGGTCAATCTCGATTTTTGGAGATGACCCACCTGCTCTTTGATCACGACCACCTCTTTCCACATGTAACCCAGTGGAACTGTTTAATTTTTCAGTGGAACTAACACTGCCGGTTTCTCCAGATAAGTAAGAAACAAAACCCGTTCTTCTAGCCCAAGATCTTAACTCTCTTGGGCTATGATCTTTTTTAGGCACGAAAGGTTCGATCTTTGGTAACATTGAACCGAGCTTGTTGCCTTTTCCTCTTAAAGTCTCTGCCTTTTCTTGAGAATCTGAACTTGACCCAGTTTCCATTTCAGCTTTTGCTCAAACGGGTAACAATTCTTTCCCCAAAAAAGAAAGACTAACAAAAGACCTCAAAGACCTACTAAGAAATTTCAACAACCTAAATACAAAAAAAAAAAAAGGAAATGTAGAAACCACGTAAAGGTAGATTGGAGAAGGGAAAGGTGGGGATTTCAGAAGAAATTACTATGTGGTCTGTTTTGTTTTATTATGTAGGCAATGAAAAGTGGGAAATGACAGTGTGAGAGTGAGAATTATAAGAGTGAGCTTTGAGAGTTGAGACGCATCTTTCTCTGTCATTTATTTTTTCTTGTTTCATCTTCGGTTCATTGCCGCCCGCAAATTGCTATCAGTTGTAATTTTCAGTGTGTTGAAATTACAAATTTACCACCGACAGCCCCTTGAATACAGTCTTCTCTTCTCCTTTCTATTTCTTTTTTAAAGCAGAGATTTCTTAGATTTCAGGTTTTCTAAAAGTGAACTTTTTGATTAGCAAATGGGATTTGATTGATGATAATAGGGTGGAAAAACATGATTAAGGGTCCCATTAGATAAAAGCCTCTTTTCAATGTCAGGTCCATTTTGTCACACTTAGTTGGACATTTTAGCTTAATCTGAAGTTTAAATATTAATTAATGAATTGTTTTTAAGTTGGGGTTTGATAGAGAATTACTTATTTTAGACATTTTAGGGGAAGAGATAAGATTTACCATGAAAATAAGAAGATTCTGCATGTTTTTTTATGTAAGTAGCTTAACATCGACATCTTTGCACTTTAATATTTGACTCAATAATAAATGCATATGTATAATTTAAAAGAATAAATTTAATTTAAAAAGAAAAAGCTTTCAATAATGTTAAGGAGGTGGGTCTTATTGATGATAAGATTGAAAATCACACAATGGTATGTAAGAAAGGATCTATTGGAAATGGGTGGTTAGCATGTTGAATCTTATGTTAGATAAGGCATTGTTTTGATTTTGACTTTTAGTGGTATCACCATGTAACTCCCACCTACACGCCATAGTCATCCACAACCCCAACTAAAATAAGTAGCTAAGAAGATAATAAAAATTGAATCAGTGTCAAATAATTTTTATTTGATCCAACAACGGATGATTCTGTCAGTTTGTTCACAAATAGATTTTTAAAATAATAATATGATTTTGTGTACGTAATTGAAATTATTTGAATTTTATATTTAACTATCTAGATCTGCATATTTCACTTTCATACAATCAACACTTGTCCCTTAAATAAAATCTCAATTTCGAATTTTTTGAATGAAAAAAATAAGTATTGAAAAAATTTACCTTTTTTATAAAATCCGACCTAATTTAATTTTAAATTAATCGAAATCCAAAATACTGAGAGGTCTCATAAAAAAAAATTCATTGAAATAACATTTTAGAAATATATTACTTTCAGTACTTAAAAAGTAACCTTTTCTAGATGGCCAATGCAAAGTTATTCTAAAGCATGAAAAGAATGAATAAAGAGAGCTTTTAACCGAAGAAGATAAAAGCGAACAAAGTGAACAAGTGCATCCGCTTTATATTGTCTTTTGTCCCGACAAAGTGCACTCATCCGCTGTAACATATTGCTGCGTAAAATTTTCCCATTGCGATTTTTCATCTGTGATTTATCTTTTCTCAAATACCTCTGGCTTGGTTGCAATGGTTGCCTCAGCAACCCATTTTATTACTACTTTCCAAGCAACTGCTTGCAATCTGGCTCAACATTCTGTAAGTTTCAAGTAAAAAGTTGTAGACAACAAGGGTTTCCTTCTATCAGAAACCACTTCAACCATTGAAACAGGAAAAGAAGATGAAACACCAGGATATTGCAAATTAGGTGGGGTCAGAGCAGAGCTCTCCAGTCGTTTTATGTTATAATACAAAACAAAAACTGATGCATAGAATAATGAGAGATAAACAGTATGTCAATTGCAGGTTTACCAAAGATCATTATGAACTCAAACAAGACAATATTGGGAGAATTCATGATATCTGGTCATATTTTGCTAGCTCCAACTTTAATCTCGGAAAACATAAGACCATGACAACTTTGACTTTGGCTAAAAACTAGAGAAAGACGCCTTCAAACAATGGAAAGTTCAAGACATTACCAGTGGCCTATTGCTTACTATTATGTAGCTACGACTCATTGATGTTGAGTAATTCTATATGGCTGGCAAATGCTCAAAAATTGACATAGCAAATAAGCATGCTTTTAACAGAACTTGCATAAATTGGATCCTTATTTTTTTCCATTATGCTAGTATGCATACAGTCCAATCATGTTCATCGCAATCAATACATGGTAGAGGAAGTAATTCTTCCAAGTGTCAACATAAGTCCTCCAAGGAAAAACAAAAATTTAATCATACTTGCTACTGATGATATGATCATTACCTCTCCGAGAATACATGGGTTTCTATTCTTTTCTTCGGACATGATTTGAACAGATATTCTAACACCACATTAAACTAGCCATTTCTAAAAGCTTAGGGACATCTGAAGTGGGAATTTCATGGGCTTTAAAAAAGCCACAAAGACTAGCAAGTCCTAGAAACTTTTCTTCCTTGACACATAGCTAATATCACAAGTCACCATAAAAAATATTAATTTGTAAAGCTAGATATGCCCATCCATCATAAATCATATATGACAAGAATTATTGTCCGCTTGTTTACATCACATCTATATAAACCATAGTCCTACCACTCAAAGCTTCCAACAAGGAACTTTCCCATCCTCTCTCCCTATTCTTTCTTTGTGCCTCTCAGGAGCATACCATCTCATGTGAATTGTTTTATTCACATTTGATCAACTAATGCTTAGCTGTTCACATTTCTGTAAAACACAATCCTAACTCAATTCTTTGAAAGACCACCCTTACAAATAACCTACTGGCTTGATTTCTTCTACCTAAAGAATTCAAAACAAGGCAGCCTCCCCCTCTTGCAATTATAATGAGGTCTTTGCCATGTAACTCATATGCCTTCCACGACTCCCAGTTCAACTCAATACAACATCAACAACAACAACAAACCAAGCCTTATATCCCATAACTCTGAGGTCAGCTGTATAAAAGGCAAAAAAAAAAAAAAAAAATCATGTTAGGTCGTAATTTTGAATTTTCGTGTGCCATTCATTGCTATCATTTCTTATTACTTACCCCTCATATTATTTCTTATTACTTGCATCCACGCCTTTCATGGTCTACCTCTAGAAGTTTTGGTCTCTCCTAAGTCTAGAAGTTCATTCCTCCTAACTGATGCACAAATATGCCTACATTTCACATATTCGAACAGCTCTCTCTCATCTTTTCCTCAATTCGGACTACCCCTAACTTTCCCAAAATCTCTTCATTTCTAATTTTGTCTCTTCTAATCTTACCACACATCCATCTAAGCATCCTCATCTCAATTATGCTCATTTTCTTCTTATGTTGTTTCTTAATGGCCCAACACTAAGTTCCATATAACATCACAGACTTTAAAATTAATTTATACAACTTTGCCTTTCACATTAAAGGTATATCGTGATCATACAACACACCCGACAGGCTTCATCACTTCACCCATCCTACTTAAATCATATGATTTACATCCCTTTCTATCTCAACATAATTCTGAATAATTGATCCCAAATATCGAAAATAATTACTCTTCGGTACTACTCTTTGGAAATACTCTTAGGTTCAACTCCATACAACCTAAAACTAAAATGCAACAAACACCCCATTCCGCTTGCCACTCTCTCTTTCTCACTTTGCTAATGCTTAAACTTTCACAACTTAATCAGCCCAACAATGCCGGAAACTTCCACCTAATACAAGTCCTCTCAAATCAATCTCAATTAACCAGTAAAATGAGATAAAAAGGATTAATAACAAAACACCAATTCATAAAACACACTCAATTCAGCAACTCCAAAGAGTATTCAAATTTAGCAATTTAATTTTAAACCCTCAATTTAATCACCAATTGACATCTAATTAAACAATTCAACATGCAAGTTAGTAAATTCATTCATTTTCCATAAATTCCAACTACTTTTAAACTTCCCAGACCCTGACAAAAAGTAACAGATAACTTTTACATTTTCCAATCATCTGAAACGTAATCCCTCATATCTATCAAACATGCAAACACAAAAACAACAAATTCTGAAAGGAAATATAAACAAAACGTATTTGTTGAAATCACCGAGGGTAAAGCTTTTTCTATTTAGCAGGAACCGAAGAGAAGAGGCGAGCCACGCATTCTTGTTGCTCGCGAAACCGTTGTTTCAGGTACGACTCAAGGATCTCCATGACGGAAACAAAACGCTTCATCTCTTCGAGTCGGCGGGTGAGTTCGGCCTCTCGAGCCCTGGCTCGCTCGAGTCGAGCCTCCGTCTCGGCGAGCCGGACTCGGAGAGTATCCACCACCAATGCGTTGTTGTTTAGGGCCGGGCGGTTTAAATGGCGGTTTGGTGAGAGAGATCGTCGTTGGTTACCGTAACACATTCTTTCAGAGAAAAACGTTTCGGTTTTTTTTTTTTTGTGTAGAATTGGAAACGTTTCGAAGGATCAAAAACAAGCGATGAAAGAGTGTGTTTTTCTTGCTGAGAGAGAAGACGTTCCCGTTGCCCAACACGTTTGGGATCAGTAATTGTTGTCTGCTGGTTAATCTGGACCGTTGGATATGATTATTGGATTTGATACCATCTATTTGATGGGTCGGATTGACCGGCCCAAGCTCAACCTACTATTCATTTCTCCCAACCCAACCCAACTCAAAAGGTCTTCAAAAATCCATATTGTGCCAACTTCTTTTTTTTTTTTTTTTTAATGTTACCTTTGAATTATATTAATGTTGTTTGTTACTTGAAACGAATTAAAATTTATGAAAAATTGTTATTCAGTGTTTAATAATAATGGTTAAGATTATATTAAATAAAAATACAATTAAAGCATTATTTTTCTTAAATTTAGTAAAAATAATATATTAAATATAAAAAACTTTATTAAAATAATAATTAAATAATCTTTAACAGGTGTCTAGGTAATGACATCAACATCACAATTCACAAATAGACTAATTCATTTAACCACTTGCCAAACTTCAACAAAAAAAGAGATTAATCTACCATTAGTATTATGTGTCAAAGATCATACAAACCAGAATAAAAATCTAGAACCAATAAAAACTTTTCAAAGCTCACTCCAACCATGGAGTCTACAGTCTGTCTTCTCTTTTTTTCAAATAACAGCAAGATTAAAATGTTTATATTTTAATTTTCATGGTTATTTATTGATATACGATTTGTAAATTTAAAAAATTTTGAAAAATTTATAAATTTTTTTTATAGATTGAAGACTTACCCTGATATTAAAAATGAAGTAATTCCCTGCTCTTAAATTTATTTTGGACCAAAAAAAATGAAAATAGCTGTTGAATTCCATTTCAATGTTTTTCTTGTGAATACTTTTTGTCCCTTTGCATGAAAATAAAGCATTCCCTTTTTATGAAATGTTTGATCATAAGACAATGTCTTCCATTTTTTTTTTATAATTTTACAATAAATGAACTTTTCATAATTAATACTAGTAGTAATGAACTTTTCATAGGAATCTTGGTTCTATATTTGTAGGATCGAAAATCAAAAAAATTATGAATAAAACGTTATAATTTTGGAGATGTCAATGAAAGACGGGACCTGTGAAAGTGGAAGTTAGGCCCTTGTTTCTTGGAGAAGAAAGATATAAAAATCGAAAAATGATGATTCGAAACAAAACACAACAACTACATCACTGAACATTCAATAAAAACAGCAACAATGATGATAATATTTGTGAAATAAAGAAAAAAAAAAGGCCAGTGGAGTGGAGGAGACGTCAGTGACCATAAGGTAACAACTGTGATCTCAGTTATCATGTGGCTGTAGTTGTTTTGTCTATGTTTGAGCTCATCTGTTTTTTTTTTTTTCTTTCAAACTTGGACCCACCCTTAAAAAATCCCATGATCATCGGTCACCAAGTGGTAAAGTCCAAGGAATCCTAATCTCAAAAATGGTAGTTGTTATCCGATCAAAATCTGGAACAGTACTCGTCTGATCGAACGGTACTCATGGAGTCTGTTTGACAGTCAACACTGTCTTTGAACGGCCCTGGCCCAAACCACACAAGAGTAAACACTTTCATTCAACCAAATAATCTACTTCATTTATATTGGCTTTTCTCCGTTGCAATTCATCGTTTCTTTTGGGTTTGTTAAGCAAAGAATAATAAAGAAGAAGATGGTGTCAACTACAATTGATCTGTTGAAGAAGGAACTTCCTGTGGAAGAAGACTCTTTGGTTCTTTCTCAAGATGCAAAGACTGGTCTTGTTCTCGTTGACGTTGTTAATGGCTTCTGCACCATTGGAGCTGGAAATCTAGTGATTTTTGCCAAGCTTTCTTTGTCCCAAAATAGACTTTCTGTCATTGCTGCCTATAAACCTTAGTAGCAAAGTTTTTATATGCTTTTAAGAAACTAAATTGATGATTTCTGTTATTTTTTGGATAAATGGTAAACTGGCTTGTTTTTTTGTTTGCTTTTACAGGCTCCAATGCAACCTGATAAACAAATATCTAATATGGTTGAAGAATCTGTGAGACTAGCCAGGCTATTCTGTGAGAAAAAATGGCCTGTTTTTGCTTTCCTTGATTCTCATCATCCTGATATTCCGGAGCCTCCATTCCCTCCTCATTGCATTGCTGGAACTGATGAATCTAGATTGGTTCCTGGTACTTTATGACTACTTATTATTCTTATTTATCTATTTGTTCCTTTTTATTAAATGAATTTAATGGCATGGATGTTTATGAATTGTAGATCTACAGTGGCTCGAAAATGAGCCTAATGCAACACTTAGATGCAAAGATTGCATTGATGGCTACCTTAGTTCAATTGAGAAAGATGGTTCCAATTTGTTTGTAGATTGGATTAAGGATAATCAGATTAAAGCTGTCAGTATTTTCTAACGATCACCAAGAGACAGTTCAATTTGATTGTTCTTTGTTTTTGTAATTAGTAGACATGTGAAAGACTTAATACATAGCTTTATATAAGATTTTCTCTCTAATATCACCTGCCCTTTTTGTATTTTGAAGATACTGGTTGTCGGTATATGCACAGATATATGTGTACTGGATTTTGTATGTTCAACTCTGTCTGCCAGAAATCGCCGTATTCTTACCCCTCTTGAGGATGTGATTGTGTACTCCAGAGCTTGTGCAACCTTTGATCTTCCAGTTCATGTTGCCACAAATATCAATGGTGCCCTGGCTCATCCTCAGGTACTTCAAATCATAGATAATAGGTGTCAATAACAACAGCACTGATGAAATTTTCTTTTTTCAGATATGAACTTAAATCAGTGACGAAAACTCTGCCAACATCATATTTCTTAGGATTAGGCAAGTAATTAACAGATAGAGTCATTAATTCTCTTAGTTACTATATATTCATGTGAAGATGCTTTCAGAGTTAGTAATATAAGATTAACTATGGTAGCTTTTACTCATTGACTGTCACCTTGACACAATGAATAGAGTACTGTGGTTATATTTGCAGAGAGTAAAACCCATAAAAATGAAGAGGCAACGCCTAAATAGTGACGCTACGTTACTGTGAATACTTTTAAAGTTACTTGGTCTAAAATGATTTGTTTTGAGGTCCTTCCCTTCATCAGCCACAATAGTTTTTCCCTGCTAGGTTGCTTATTGATAAAAAACTCTTTGAAAGTTTTGCCTATGGCAGGATCTTATGCATCACATAGGTCTATACATGGCCAAGGGAAGGGAAGCCAAGGTTGTATCGGAGGTGTCATTTGCTGCTCTATAAGTGACATGTTCATAAGACATCTAAGACTGCTGGAAATGTGTATTATATGTCAATTGAAGCTCTACAACTATGTGGTGCAATAAACAGTAAGATTAAAAAATAGCTGTTTTCCTGTAATATGTTTTAAAACATTGAAATTCTTGCCCCTATATTCAGCAGATAATATATCAACTACTCATTTTTCATGCCACTTTCACGCAAATGGCATCCTGATGACTTCTCCTGGTGGGACTGTAAATAGGGATCCAAAAGCTTCATTTTGGGTCTTTTGGCAATTTGACAACCTCAGCTCTTATAACTCACTCTCAGGATTTTTCTCTATAATTATTTCAACCTCACCTTCCTCAGCCATCTTCAACCTTCATCACCACCACCACCTGCTACCACACTTGTTTTTCGGAGACTGCTCTGATCTTCCTCTCTCCGTCATCTCCATGACATTCCGTTTTACTGAATTGCAATGTTTTGTCCGCCTACACAAAGAACCCTCTAAATCTCTTAACTAAAGTTCATCTCAGGGGAATCTTGTTTGAAAGTCTTACATCTTTGAACTAACTCCAACCTTTTATTTTTCCATCTCTTTCTTCTATAGGGCAATTAAGAGATAAAACCTTTGATAGACATGTCCCTAGGAATATATCTAGAGCCTGCAGCAGCTCTCCATCCCACAATGTAATAACTAATCATACCGCTTAAAATATTTTGGATGTCAAATAATTAATAACTAATCCTGTTGAGTAGTGGAGTCATGTCAAATAGTATTTGCTATATCGTACTGCTGGCATCAGTTTCGTTGCATTTCATATTTCCTTGCTACATGCGCTTTAAAGCTCAAACCTGGAGCCGCTGACAAAGAATCAAAAAGAAAAAAGTTGGCAATTTGGCTAAAGCTTCTGGTTGAATGTGCATGAAGAATACAAATAAACGAAATATTCCTCTTATGTTGATAATTACAGACTATAAAACATCTACAGCCATCAGAAGACATGCGTTTCCAGTTCATAAACAAAATGAGAAAAGGAAAAGTGTTGCCTTCTGTGAGAGTATCACTAAAAGGAAAGAAAACAACATTTTGAGAAAAGGTAAAAAAACTCAATAGTATAAGCTAACACAAGCAAGCAACCAAGCTTTTTACCTATTGCTACTAGTTCCTGATCTTAAACCATTGTACTTCCGATGCAGTACAGGGTGTACGCAGGAAAAAATCGATGTCTTTTGCTTCTTTGGTTTGACACCAAAGATAAATGAACTCAAAGGAACTCCAGACCGACTATCTGAGTGCTGGAGCTGGCCACTATGACGGCTCTTAGATCCAGAAAGTCCCCAATCTTCGGTCAGCTTTGCCAGAGTCCTCTCAACTTCAAGCTGTAGTGTTGTTACATGATCTAAACCAGCTTGCAGTTCATCTGCAACTTTGTTATTCTCTTGTTTCATGTTCAAAACCTCACCTTGGAATTTCGCTGCTTGGTAACTTGTGAACTTAAAATCATCATCTTCAGCACTTGCTTTCAAAGCCTTTGTTATTTCTTCTTGAATCTCACACAAAGATGAAAATCGGTTCTTCAGTTCTTCTTTTAGTAGTACACTTTTTTCCACCCAGACAGTCAATTCATTCTGTACTTCTCTCAGGTGTTTGTATAACGGTCGCACATCTGATTTTAGTGAATATTTTGAAGGGCTACTTCCACCTTGCTTTTGTCTTTCCTCAAGTTCTGATACCTCAGCCATTAAATCTTTCACTCCATTTTCAAATTTCTGTACCTCATGGAATGCAGTGCTGAATCTGAACCAGAAATCCAAGTTCTCTTCTAGCAGTTCATCAATGTTCATCCGGAACTTCTCTTCAATTGCTGAAGTAGGTTGAGACTGGTCAATTAGCATCACTCCAATGTCTTCTTTTACTTCTTTCTCTGGTGGCGGAGTTGTTGAGGTTACAGTAACTATTGATTTCTCAGAACTTACTCTAGTTTCAACATATTGATCAGTATTGTTGTTTTCACCCAGGCCTGTTTGAAAAAGGCTTAGTTTCTCACGTAAGGACCGAATCTCTTCATCTTTCAGGGAATTACTGCTCTTCAGTTCCTTTAGCTGCAACATTGTCTCAAACATGCCATTCTGGTTATTTGCTTCTAATTCCATGAGCTTCTTCTTGGTATCCTTGTAGTTCCGAAGCATTGTAGTATATTCCATCAATAGATTCTTCTCTCTGTCTTCCATTCCTTTCAAGAACAACTGCTTCCAGTCTGGCTCATCCTCTTCCCCTCTTTCCTGTTCTTTTGATTCAACTTTCATAGGAGTGTCCACTGTCTGTGAAGAAGCTCGCTCATCAACTTTGTCCTCTGCTATCAGGTTTTCACATTTCTCTGAAGGCTTAGAAGTTTCGTGGCTAACACCTCCTTCATTTGTAGAAGTTGTAACGGAATCATGCTCTTTCGGATCCTCCCTCCCTTCTAATTTCGCATCCCCACCCTTTGTAAAACCATAATCGTGATCAAGTTTTTCTCCCTTCTCTTTTGACTCTTTTGGCGATTCAACTTTAAACAGCGAGTCCTCTTCTTTCTGTACCGAACCTGAGACCACGACCATCTCTTGTTTTGCACTCTTCTGAGTTTTGCAGCCATCACTTGCATCCAGATTCCTTCTAACTTTTTCTGCAGACTCTTTTTGAGATTGGACTTCAGCTAGAGAGTTCTTTCTTTCTGATGCATCAGCAACCTCAAACTCCTTGCTTGCTTTCACCTTCTCCGGCATCTTGTCACTGTCTTTGATCTCCTTCTCCTTTGATGATTTGACTTCCACAGAAGAGCTCTTCTCTCTTTGGAGTTCCTCATCTGGCATCGTACTATGTACTTTCTCTGAAAGGTGATCAAGATTACCATGTGCTTCGGTAAAATGAGTATGGAGATTATTGTTTTGGTCTTCAACACTCTGGTTCAAATCCTGAATCTCATGCAACTTCTCCTCCATCTCCCTTAGCTTGTTCCTCAAATCATTTTTACCATCAATCAGTGTGGCTTTATCATCTTCTAACGTCTTAATCTGTGTCTGCAGCTCATCAGTCTCTGTTCTTAGTCTCTGGATAAGAGCTGTCTGAGATGAGACAGCAGTTTCCAAGTTGATCACCTTGTTCACAAGTTCATCAATCTTCTCCGCCATCTCTGTCACAGTCAAAGATTCACCAAGGCCAACCTCAAACTGCTCCTTGATCTTCTCCCTCGAGGACTCCATGTCCTTTCTCTTTTGGCTAGTATCACCCGCTTCTTCTAACCTTTTAGACTTTGCTGCTGCTATTCCTGATTCATCTCCTGAAGATGGTTTTTCCCGATTGACTTCATTCAAGAGAAACTTGTTCTTGAGGGTGTCCAGCTTCTCCCTGGCTTCCTTGATCCTTTTCTGCTCCACTTCTGCTTCCATGACTAATGTCTCCTGTTTCTCCTGCAGCTGAGCCAATGTCTCTTTGCATGAATTTAGAGCTGTTGCAGCCATCACATTTCGAGCCTCATCATCTTCAATAACCCCACCTACACCAAATTCATCTTCCAAACTGCAAACTTTCTCTTGCATTTCTTTGATCTTATTATCAATTTCCCAGTACTTAGCCAGCCCACTTTCATAAGAGCCCTTAGAGAACTCTTTTTCAGTCTGCAATGCCAGGATTCGTTTCTGAAGCCTATCAATCTCCTTCAGTCCCTCAGCCTTGGTCAAACCAGATTTAGGAACTGCAACGGTAGTGGCTTTTGTTGGTTTCTTATGTTGCATTTTCTTCGTGGCTGATGTTATTAAACCCTTCAAATCTTTGACGGGAAGCTCCGGAATCTTGGGGATATTGCCTTGCGAGTTTTCTGAAGGCTTCTTTGGGAATCTCGGTGAGCCATATTGGTCTTCATCATCTATTGCATACTGGACTTGCTCAGGACAAACAGAAGCAATTGTGTTGTTTGCATTTTGTAGCTCTGTTGATATGTGATCATACCGATCAGCTAAGGCACGGTAAGCTCTGTAAAATTCTTCGACAAAATAGATCAGTTCTGGCCTCTTTTTGTAGTACATTTCTGCTCTCTTGGCAAAGGAGTCTCCATCTTCTTCAATAAGTTTAAGCACAGCCGCTATCTTTTCCTCCATATCTGCATTTTCCATTGTATTTTCTTAGATAGTTTCCCAATCAAACAGATACAGCTTGAGTGTTTCAAAGCTAAAAAATTTCATATAATCAGAATGCAAGTGCTAGAAAAGTAAGTTTATGGGATGGATTCTTTGTTTTTTCAAAAATTTCCATTTTAAGTATTACAATTTCAATAACATGGAAATAGAAATTGGATCAAAATTTAACCTTAGGTAGATCATGGACTGATTAAATTACAGTCTTGCAATTGATCTAAATTAATTCATAAATTTCAATCTAAAAACCTTACTAAAAAATTTCATGATCAGAAAACATAAAGTCCTAGGCTTTAAAAATAAATAAATAAATATTATTCTGTCTGTTCTAGGAGATTGCATTATCTATTTGTGGAAGAAAATATAAATAATATTATATATATATATTTAAATGAAGAATATTCAATGAAGATGCTGGATCATGATGAAGCTCCATCTGTCTAACTGCATATACGATGTATTATCGTATGAAAACTTATCATCAACATTATCAGAAAAGACTGGAAAATCATACCCAAATTTCAGCTTTTTCATTCATAAATTAAAAATCCATTGAAATAAGAAAAGCAAAGAGATTCATAAAAAAAAAAAAAAAACCCAGAAATTATTATATGCACTTTCAACAAACATCAAGGAAAAACATAACTACCTTGAAGGTTTTGTTCCATCCATTTGGACTGCTTTGTCCTGATATGACTAGCCCACCACCATGAATATGCATTGCTAGCAGCTCTTTGCAACATCTTTTCAAATCCTTTAAATTTTTTTTATCTTCCTTTTGATTTTCTCTCTTGAAATACCAAAAACATGTAGAAAAAAGATCTCTTTTCTTGGTTTCTGTTAAGACCCCAAAAGCATGCAAAACTCTCTTTATCACTCTATAAAACAAAGACAGGACATGGAAGCCGATAAGGCATAACAGAAGGAAAAGAAGAAAAAAAAACAAACGAAGAAAATAAGTTCTTAGTTTTGACACGGAAACATGCAACAAAGAAATCTGTGTTTTTGCTTTTTGTTATGGGATAATGGAGGGGAGCAAACTTCGCCCGAATATATTGTTAAAGCAATGAAGTCTTATTTTTTCTTTTTTTCTTTGTATTAAAATAAGCCATGAAAGTGGCATTGTACCTTTAAAAAACCAGTTCAAAAGCTTCAGCCAGTTGTGTATCTCCACGTGGCATGTTGTCTTTTACCAGGGTGTTCAGGACTCTCTGCTTTTTTGCTTTGGGAATTAGGATGCTTACATCCTTTCCTTTAACCAACTCTTTCCATTTTCATTAAATTGTGGGAAACAATAAAAGTTGTTTAAGCTAAGTAATCTGTCAGTCTCTCACCGGCTTGGAATCTCGTGCTAAAGACTAAACAGCTTTTGTATTTTCTTTTATACCTTTGAAAAAAAAATGAAAGATGCTTTTAATAGAGATTGTTTGAAGATCAAAATTAGGTGCCCTAATCAACGACTGGTAGTTCTGTTATATTTTTGGAGGGTACCCATTTTAGATAATTGAAGCACCACTTTTAGGCATTTCTGGGTAACTGTCCTTTAGGCCTCCATGGCTAGATTTTGGCCAAATGAAAAACAATAAAGTTATAATAAGGAAAAGAAGGTGAAATCTTTAAAAAAATGATGACAGGCTTGGTTGGCAGCATCAACCTCCAATTTTTCAACAATAATTTGAATCATGGCTGGCATTGCATGCATGAATGCACAAAAGATAAGAACTGAGAGTAAGTGGAGGGCCTTGACAGGCAAACCCCTAAAGCACAACTTTTGTTTCCAGACAAAGGCATGCTCTTAAGAATACTTTATCAACGATTACTTGAATCATTGCTTGGGGTAAAAGCCATTAGGCGTCATTGCAAATGGGTAAAAGGGAAGACTTGGGACAGCATATGACGCACGCTCTCCAGAACTCCTTTTTTTTTTTCAAAGCTTTATGGCAAAAACTGCAGGATCTTCATGTGATCACAGCAAGCAGCTAGAATTGATTTCATCACTGCACGATTTGAACATCTAACAACCGCAACTCTGGTGGTCCAGAGTCAAGCCCCACTATGCTATGGGAACCAAGGACAACACCTTCATTTCCAGTTGTGTTTTTTTTTTTTTAAATGATGGAATGAGATTAGGGATTCGTTTGTTTATTGCAATTGATAAGAATTACAGAACCATGTGGACCTCGTTCACCGCTTGGGATGCTGTTGAGGGAGAAAAAGTGGCAGGAGAACAACTCTGAGGACCCGCCTAAGCAGCAACAGAAGAAACTTTCTTCCAGGAATATTTTTATGTCAAAAAAGGATGGAAAGTGACACCTGTTTGCAATGCTCATGAACTTATCTTTTTCTCATATTCTCAACTCAAGCGGAAAGGCTGGCCTTAAATTGAATGTTGATGCGTAAATAAAGATTAAAGTCGTACGTTCTTGTATTTGGGGATGAACGTGAAAACACTAATCATGGAATAAAGATCGTTTTTTTTGGCCAGGGGTTAAGAGTCTAATTGACAGATGAAACTGCATCGAAACGCAAACCAAACAATATCGAAAAGATCAATATAAGCAAGAAGCAATGATCATTTCTTGCACATTCACAGTAATAGTATTTACAGAAAACAAAAACAAAATTTATCACCATATCTTCGTGTTTCCACAGATCAGTTCAGCTGAATGTGTGCAGGAAGGATGACTAACAAAAGAAAATAACATCCACGGAACATTTGTGTTCTTCATCTTGAAGCAGAGCGTACACATCCTCAGGTGCATCTCCATTCTCCATGGATGTTAACCATCTGCATTCTACCAGAAGCTGAAGCAGATCCTCATCTCTACCATTACCTGCCACTTTTTTTTCTTTCTTTTTTTTTACATTACTCTGATACTATTATAAGATTACTTCTTCAAGAGTACCCCTGGCCGAAATATTTACAGAAACTTCATCTACGGTCACTCGGTCAAAAACTTCTAGGCTTTCAGAAGTTCTGCAAAGAAGAAAACCACTGCTGCACAGAGTTGCTTCCCTCTGCATATTTTAACCAAAAGGCAACGAAAAATTAAGTATGTGTGAAAAATCTTAGGCCCATGTAAAAGAGCAACAAAGTTAATGACAACTGGCAAGAAACACCCAGCATTTTCTGTCAAAAGAATATATATAAATATCTTTTAAAAGCTCAGAAACACCCAACTCACAATTCACAAGTAAGACCAGCATTATGGAATTCAACAGAGTTAAAAGAGATAAGATGATGAGTCCAAAGCCTCATCCTATACCATAGAAGGCTAGTTACACAGACAGTTAACTGTTAGTTGTGATTGACAATGTTAGAAATATCATCCAGTGCTACCAACCAGCTCCAGATAAACTTGTAAGTATATGCAAGCTGAATCATATAGTGATAAAATTATAGTGTTGTGCTGACTCAAGCTTCTTCTGAATTAGAACCAAGGTCCAATATGAATTGCCGCCTAAAACTACAAAGGGTCACTCAGGAAGAAGCTAGCAACAATTACGTTGGAAGGAAGAATGGCAACAAAATGGCAGCAGTAATAGTTCACTCTGAAAATTGATCCTGCAAAGTTCTCTTGAAACATACCAACAAGTTGCATGAATGAATACTTCATAATATCTTATTCCTTTCGTCTTGGCATTATGTCTTCCTCCCATCCCCACCATAACACGCATATAAAGAGGACGTTCACCGTGAAAAAAAAATATATAACAAGGATGCAAAAGAAGTTCTGCATGGTAAAACACATCCCGTTACACTTTTCCCGTATTTAGAGGAACTAAACTACAGGTTGCAAATAGTCACTTTTCCCGTAATTTCCATTGAGGCTTTCTCTAATTTGAGTGATGTATGCTGCAAGGAATGTTTGCAGTGACCAATACGATATAGCATTGATTTATGATGTTAAGTTGTAAAATGGGTTTTAAGGAATCTGATTTCTAGAAAAACAAAGCAAAATTCCAGTTAAACTATACTTGTCACAATAGCTTCAAAGTACGGAACAGTGATGTTTCTGTTAAGTAGAGACAACAAAAGCTTGCAGTCAGGCACAAAAAGGCATGAAGAAGTTAAATTTTTAATAGTTGCACTAAAAAGCTGATTCTTGGTGTCAATCCACAATCAATCAAAATTAAGTCTAAGAAATGAAAAGGCAATTAAATAATTTATATAGGAATAAGCTCTTACCAGAAGAGAAACCATTTGGGAGGTTCTTCATTGCACTCAACAGCTGGTTATTGGGACCCTCCACAAGTTCCCTGCATCCAAGTCTATAAGAAGGAACCAACACAGCAAATCCACCATCATCTTGAAAACCAGGACCGTGGGGTTCTTCCCACCCAATGGACCATTCTGGGCCTTCTGGTTCAAATACAGACAAATAAACACCGTCTGATGGAACCACCACAATATCACATTCTTTATCAACCACCCCCCTCTCCTCACAACCTTGCCACTTTCCCTCTCCCTTCGTTGGGGCTATTTTTGTTTGGAATTTAACAGGTTCAGACTCTCTCAACCCCAACCCCCAGTCAGAAGAAGAAGAATTTAGAGAATTCAAAGAAGACCCATTTGAAACAGGCTGTTTCTCTTTACTTCCACCACCCCGAAACCACCATGGAAAACCATGATAATAAAATGCCATCTTTTTAAACAACCTTAAAACTCCATAAATCCTTTTTTTAAGTCGAAATGGCTACTTTGTCTCGCAGTTCACCGCCAAATCAGGAAATGATCAATTGAGTTTGATAATTGAAAACAAGATCAAAATTTGGAAAGGTATTAATTGAATCCAATAATTTTTTGAATCAGAATTAAAGTCAAACTGTCTTCTCTATAGATTTTTCTTAAAAAAAAAAACCCAAACAAATTTATCGAATCAAATGGGTCTTTTCCTACTACTGTTTTTTTAAGTCTACAGTTTATGACCCTTTTCTCACCTCAAATTTTGTCCAACCAAAGTCACCGAAGACACAAAAGCCGAAGAAGTACCAAATTTTTCGATCTTTTACTTCAAGCAAAAAAAAAAAAAAAAAAGAAATCCAATCTTTTTATTAAGAAAATTACAGAACTGAACAACCGCCAGAAGCTCAAAAATTTTTGGACCGGTGATTCGATTTTTATTCAAAGATATAATCCGGGATCGGCAAAGGATCAAACGGTAATTTCAACGCTATTACCCGAGAAACAAGAATCATAAAAAAAGTTTCACCGGAAAATCAAACAAAACCAAGTGTTTCACAGCAGGAAAACGAAAAATCCCAGCTTTTTTCAGGGAAAATAAATACACGTTGAATTCACTGATAAAAAAGACGGTAAAATTCAACACAGTGGACACCGGAGAGGGAGAGAATGAAAATTTTTAGTCAATTGAAAAATTGAAGGGAAAAATGGGAAACCCTAAAAAAAATTTACTATCTCTCACTCATCTCCATTTGTTTTCTTTACTCTCTCTCTCTCTCTCTCTCTCTAGGTTTCTCCCTCTACTGTGACAATCAACTGACCGAGTTCGCCTTCCTTCTAGAATTTTTATAGCCATTTTTTAATCAGTGATGATATTTTCTTAAAGCAGGAGTTGTTTTAATCAAAACGCATCGGACGGTCCAGATGCAATGGCGTGAGTAAATGATTAAAAGATTTCTTTATTAAAAAAATAGATAATTGGTTAAAATTTTATTTAACCGTTGATTTGGCAAGTGGGGGAGAGACCGTCAGATTTGCTTACGTGGTGTCTTGAAATCCAATCATTGCGTACACAGGGGTTCAAGCTTCTGACACGTGAAAAATAAGAATATTTTAATTAAAAATTTACTCCCAATTCCGAAATAAAGTTAAACCTATACATAATAATACATTAATAATTTAATTCATTTTTATTTTTTTACAATCATAATAAAATATTATATTTAGATTAAATTAAAAATAGCATTAGTACAATTTATTAAGGAAAAACAAAGTTTGATTGAACTTTATACTTTTTCACCAAAATGAAAAAGATGATTTTATTTTTACTTTTTCATGGCTTGGCTTCATCATATTATTCGACTACGTTTTGTTTCTTTTATTGAGTGAACCAATGTTTAGCAGTAACCATGACTTGACCTTTCACAAACTGTAAGGAATAATTTGTCTTTTGATCATTTCTACGTCTTCTTGTTCATTCATGCCAACTTATGAACATAATAATTTATGTAGTTTTAGGTATATTTGTTAATTTACATATTTTTTAATTTTATTAATTTTATTTATAATTTTTATTAAAATTTTAAATTATATTATTTTTATATTTTTTTGTATCATTTTTTATTATATTTTTATACAAATTTATAATTTAAAATAAATTAATAAAAAATTTACATATAATAAATTTTAAATTTATTAAATATTACTTTTTAAAATAATTATATATCAAAGAAATTAAATTATGAATTCTTATATATATATATATATATTCGATCAGAAGACAATGATTTAGAAAAATGAAAGTAGATGTAGATTGATAAGAGAAAATTGGAGGGAATTGAGGAAAGGAAAAAAGAAAGAAAGGTAGGAGTTGAAATATTCGTTCTCTGATTATTATTATTATTATTATTATTGTTATAACTCATTTACGCGGAAAATATTTAAGGAATAGAGAAGTCAATGATCGAATCAACTTTTTTTTTCTACTTCTTTTCTATAGTACTTAACAATTTTTATTTGGAAAAATCTTCTCTTCATCGTTGATAAGCTTCTTCCAGGAAAGTTGACAACAATTTTCATCGGAAAATCTTAACCAGCCACTTGGCAGAAATTTATTACAGATGACAAGAATACTTTAACTCATTGGATTTTGACTCAAATTCAATTTTGTGAAATTAAATTTTGAAGTCCTCTCGGTTGAATTTGTCTCGATAAAATATATTTTTATTATTTAATTATATATATTATATTAATAAAATATTATTTAATATTTTAATTTAAAATATTACATTTATATATAATTAAAATATAATTTATATTAAAAATAATATTTTATAAATCGATTGTAATAGTAATATAATATATATTAAGATATAACTTAATAATAGATTGTAATAGTTTTATTTTTGTATTTTTATTATTGTTGAAATTTCAGTTCAAAACTTTTAATTTTAAAATCGATTCAATACTATTAAATTAATAGCTTTTTCAACGATATGTTTGGCTGGCTTCATGACTGTGGTGGAATGTTAATAATTATAATTTGGCCTTATTAATTATTTATTAACCTCTTAATTTTTCTTCTTTAAGTTACCCTTTTGATGTTAGATATTTGTCTTCTATTTGGGCTGAAAGAGACCCCAAATTGTAAAGTGGTCAGAATGATGAAAAGGCTTCATGGTCTCTAATTCGGTGCCATTAGCTCTTTTTCTATATTACTTCTAGCCACAAATTTTTTTATTTGCCTAATTATTATATAAAAATATGATTAAAAAATTAATTATATTGTTTAAGACATAATTAAACAATATATTTGATGATCGCATCATAAAGAAAAGAAAGTTGGTGTTGGCACCAGGTGAGCAGCAAACAAACAAGCAGGAAGCGTTTTTCAGAGTGACAAAAACTTGTGGTTTGTACTCTCCAAGACCATGAATGGCACGAGGACAAATCCAGCCGATTCAGCAGTTGCTTTACTTGCTTGTCTGCACATGATTTTCAGCCCCCTCAAATGATTTTCTGATCAATATATCATTCTTTTGATTAATCAAAAGTGGTAGTTCAACAGTTCATCACTGAGGGTGTAGAGGGAGGGTCCCATTTTTTTGTTTTGTTCTTAGGATTCTTGATGATGATGACAATCAAAGTTTGAATGATTTGCTCCATTTGAAGATGATCTTCCCACTCAACAAGCAATGCATTACCAAATTGCATAACTATTACTAGAATCTAAACCATTAAAAATGATGGTACTCAAGAAGTAGTCCTAAATTTCTTGGATTTTACCCACTTTTCTTGTCTTGGCTCTTAACAATCAAGATCATCCCTTGTGGTTATTACATACAAGGCTGACTCATCTCATCTCTATCTCTGCCTAAGGAGCCCTGGGAAAACTGTGATCCCCTTTGATTTGCAGTCTAGATAAAGATAAAGGTAGGACCATATGAAAAAATAAGCTCATCCTTAATTGCTGCTCAATCCCACATTCATGAGAAAGAAAGGCCAACAGCCCAAGTGCAACAGTATAAGCTAATATGAACTCCCTCAATCAAATATGGAACCGTGCAGTGAACACAAAGCGAACTATTCTTTCGCCTTTTACTAAAGAATACCGTGTGTACGCTGCTAAAAGCGGTATACATTAATTTTTGGAGGGTTCAACAATATTGTTGGTCCCTACAATTTTAGTTCAAAATTTCGTTACTTCGGGGTTACTTCGGGGTTCAAAGCGGGAGTTGCTTTAGAGAACCATTACAAAATTGGATTAGCTTCAATTACAAAAGAAGCGAAATTTTCCTTTGAATAATTGATATTTGTCATGTACAATTGGTTTAAATATAGTTATAAAGATATTTTACTAATGAGTGACTTAAGATATTTTTTAAATTTTACGAATATCGTAAGAGCATTTCAATCTAAATAGCAAATCTCTTTTTATCACTATAATTCACTTTTTTTTTTCTTTTCATATTTTTTGAGGGAAGCTGATGCTTCAAAATATGTACCGAAACAATTTCCTCAACAAGTTTTATTTTACAATTATTGAAAATATTTTTACAATAAATCTAAGGTTAATGTGGGTTGATTTATACAATCAAATTTAGAAGTTGGTATTCAATAATTTTGAAATTTAAATTTTAAAAACTGTAATTTTCTTTATTTTTAAATCATGATTTCATTTATAAAAAAATTTTTATTAACAACGGGGCAAGTTCGTTTGGTCATGGACATGGATCCAAGTTCTTTTAATAAGAATTTATAATTACTTGTATTGCTGAATCATGATATAAAAAGACAAAATTGTTGCAAAAGCTAAAAGGAGCAAGATGTTCAAGGAAGCATAAAGAAAGGTTAGAAAATAGGGAATAAAGTTATTTTAAATACAAGATGAATAACTATGTTGTTTGATGATATATGTAAAAGAATAAGGCAAAAATATCTTATTCTTATAAGAATAGTGCCATTAACATGTGTTACATGAGTTTACATGGTACATTAAAGTTTGCTGTAAAAATCTATAATTTTTTATTTTTTAAATTTGCATATCATATATAAAGTAATAATTTTTATTTTTTTATTTTTAATTACAATTGAAATTGAAATTAAAATTTAAAATATTTAATTTTAAAATCAAATTTAATAATATTAAATTAGCAGCTCACTCAACTATTGACGACATCTTCTTTTTTGCCGATTTATGATTGTAGTGAATAAAGGTAATAACATTTTGGTTGAAATTGGATTCTATTTAATTTTTTTAGATATTATATAATATTATAAAAATTTATAATTTGATTTAAATTTAAATCAGATTTTTATTTGAATCAAATCGAACTGAATTTTATTACTTTGATTTGATTTAATTTTTTGATTTTATATATTATTTTAATATAAAATTTTAATATATTTAAATAAAATTTGATATAAAATTATTATTTTTATTTTATAAAAATTTAAATAATATATAAAAATTAAAAAAAATATAATTCGATTCGATTTTTTTTTTCATCTCTTAATTTAATTCGATCTAAATTTAATATATATATATATATTTAATATCTGAATTTAACTTAAATCGAATAAAAAAATTGATTCAAATCGAATCGAATATTATAATTTTAAATAAATTTTTTAATTTTTAATTTTTTTTTAGTGGTTGAATGATTAATAATAATAATAATTCGATCTTATTGATTATTTATTAACCTCTTAATATTTTTTCTTTTAAGTTACAAGCCTTTTAACATTCGATATTTGTCTTCTTTATTTTGTATTTGGGCTGAAAGAGACCCTAAAGTGTAAAGTGATCAGATTGATGATAAGGCTTAATTAGTGCCATTAGTACTTTAATTTTTTTATATTATATAAAATATGATTAGAAAATTAATTATAGTGTTTAAGATTTGTTGAGTTGTGGTACCAAGAGAACAAAGGCCTTTTAAAATCTGAGTGCAGAAGTACACTCGTGGCGAGCTATACAGTGCCAGACATGAGGACTGCTTGGAACATCCCAGAATGTGGTGCGGGCAGTCAGGCAGATAAATCCGTAGAACCACCTAATGACAGGTCAGGCATGCAGGTATGGAAGGGCCCAAAACCACCTAGAGATTGCCAGGCTGGGGGGCCACGAAAGGATCTAGAGAGGCATGGAGACAAGCCAGGTGCGCAGGTACCGAAGGTTCTAGAAGGACCAAGCACGGGCACAATACCGGGCACTGTGGCTCCCAGACGATAAGGCCTCTAGAAGGCTCTAGCTACGGGCAAAGTGGCATCCAGATGGAGAAGGCTCCGAAACCCACTAGGTACGGGCATTCTGCCCGGACTCTTCCAAGCCCAAGGGCTCGACAGGGAGCCTGAAATCAATGGGAGTCTAGAAAGACCTTAGCCAACTTTGTTGGGGCTAAGCACCTTAGAACTATTTAGAAAATTTTTAATGACCATACACTTAGATTCATTAAAATCGTAAGTGTCAATGGAGCTTAAGTATAAATATGAAAATTTCTTCTCATTTGGATATAGATAGAGATAGATAGATAGGTGATAACAAAAAAAAGCAGAGTGTAAAATATTAGAGACTTAGATCTTGAAAGTCTTTGTAAAAAATATATAAGATATGTGTTTTAAGAGTGAGTGTACATACCCATCAAGTAAATATACTACTTTTACCTTAATTTTTTTTTTTAAGTTTTTTCTAAACTCCTAAAAAATTATTCACAGTTTTAATATAAGTGCACTGCATAATCGGTTAATGCATCACACAGAATTAATTAAAAATTTACTTAAACATATGAACGGTAATTTTTTGACTAAAATCACACGGTAATTAAACTTAAACTTTCCGTTTCGTGACACAAGTAGCAAGCATTTTTAGAGTAACAAGAGCCTGTGGTTTGTACTCTCTAAGACCATGATTGGCACAAGGACAAAGACAGCCGATTCAGGAATTGCTTTGCTTGCTTGTCTGCACATGATTTTCTACCCCCTCAAATGATTTGCTAATCAATATACCATTCTTTTGATTGATCACAAGTTGTAGTTCAATAGTTCATCACTGAGTGTAAAGAGGGAGAGTCCCTTTTTATTTTTTTGTTTTGTCCTTATATTCTTGATGATGATGACAATCAATGTTTGATTGATTTGCTCCATGTGAAGATGAACTTCCCACTAAAGAAGCAATGCTTTATCAAATTGCACAACTACTACTAGAATCTAAACCATTAAAAATGATAGGATTCAAGAAAAGTCCTAAATTTCGTTGATTTTACCCACTTTCCTTCTCTTGGCTCTTAACAATCAAGATGATTCTCTTCTGTTTATTACATCCAAGGCCGACTCATCTCATCTCAATCTCCGCCTAAGAAGCTCTCAGAAAACTCGATGTTCCCTTCGATTTGTAGTCTAAATAAGGATAAAGGTAGGACCATATGAAAAAATAATACTTGATTGCTGCTCAATCCACATTGATGGGAAACAGATGCCAAGAGCCCAAGTCCAACAACATAAGCTAACGTTAACTATTTTGATTAAATACGGAGTCGTGCGGTGAGCACAGAGTGAATTATTCTTTCGTTTTTTATTAAAAAATATCGTGTATTCATCGTTAAAAGTGACATAAACAAAAGCTATGAAATTTTTATTTGAATAATTCATGTTTATCATATACGGTTGGTTTAAATATTGTTACCTATGGTTTTTTGTCTATTTAAAGATTTTTTTTTTTAATTTTAAGAGTATCTTAAGAGTATTTTATAGATTATGATATTAACTAATTTAAAAAAATATCTTAAAATTCAATTGATGATTTAGGATTTTAATTTTTAAAAAGATGGGATGATATTTTTGAGAAAAAATTTTATTTTATTGTATAATTGAAAAATATATAATGAAATTTGTTATATATATATATATATAATGACCAATAAATTAATTTGTATAACATAAAATTAATTGTTAAAGTATCGTGAAAATGATATTTTTGAAATGAAAATGTTTTTTTCTCTTTATATTTTCATTTAACTCATGGTTAGATCTGTTTAAGAGTTGTATAATCCGTTCAAATCCAAAAATTCACCCAAATTTTTTAAAAAATTAAACAAGAAATGAAAATTCATAAAATACTTAAATTTCGACCATACATGAAGGATAAATAGGGATCATTTCAAAAAAATTGCAGCACTGGTTGGAAAGATCAAGCAGTTAGTTAAAAAGCCCATAGTAACTGACCAATCTTAGCCCAACCCAACCCAACTTCCACTTGTCCAACGGCTAGTCTCATTCAAAAATCAAGATTCCAAAATTCCCCATCGGGGCATCCCTAACTTTTTGGAAACAAGTGGTGACAAAAAGGATCCAAGGGTAACGCCGTTAAGTCTCCGTCCCATAAATTTTAAATTCCCACTACCCCTCTCTTAACGGCTCTTTTTCAACAATTCCCTCATTTCTTTTTCTTTCTTTCTCTTTTTCCTCTCCTTTTCTCGCATATTTTCTCCTCTTAATCTTAAATTTTCGAGATCCAGAAGATTACCAAACCCCCCTCAGATGACGAATCTATAATCAGAAAACCAGGTACTTTTCTGGGTCTTTCTTCTTTTTTCGATATTTTTCCGTTTGTTTACTGAGAATCTCCAAGAAACCACTAGACCTTCCATAAAAATAATAAAAAAAAGAGCCAAGAAAGTTCAAAATGTAAGAGAAAACTGATAACTAGTTATGTTGTTGGCTTATTCCTCGTGAATTTTAATAAAATATACATTAGCTGCTTTTGGGTAATTAATAATTGATTGCATTATGGACCTTGATTTCGACCAAAAAAATTTTTGTTGCATCGTGGAGTTTTTTAAAAAATATTTTTAATTTATGTGGGTTTAGAGTTTTAGTTTTTTTTTTTATAATTTTTAATTTTAATGTTTCATTTTTTTGTTTAATTAGATCTTTCATTTGCAACCATTGAAAAGAAATAAAAAAGACATTAGGTCTTGATGTTTTTTCTTTTTCTTTTTACAAAAGAAATTACAATTCAGTTGAAGGCATCAAGGGTTTATATACATTTCCAATAAACTCTGATGGATGATACTAATTATATGCTTAAATATTTTATGACTAATAACTACTGCAACATTTTCACTTAATTATAAGCCTTTATCTTTGGGAATATAATGTTTGCTTACAAACAGGTGTAATTTGGGAATATATTTTCAGAAAAAATGGCAATGGAAAAGGTTTATGAAGAGCTAGATGAAGTCAAAGTTGAGAATGAGAAGCTAAGGGCAGATTTCAGGAGCAAAGTTGAATTATGTGAGCATTTGAAGAAAGTCCAGAATGAGCAGTTAACCAAGATCCAGGAAGCGAGCTCAAAAATCGACAAGCAGGCGCAACAACTTATTGAAAAAGAAGAAGAAATATCGGTGGTGAAGCAAGCTAATGAAGATCTCAAACACAGTCTGAATGAAAAGGAATCTATCATCAAGCATTTGAATGCTGCTAATGATAAGCTGAGAGCTGAGCGTGATGGGAAGAATCAGAAATGGGAGCAGGAAAATAGAAGGTTGGTATTGGAATTAGATGAGGCAAATGAGAAGAATATAGATCAAGAACAAAACATTAATGTGCTTAAGGCAGAGATTGAAGGTCTCAAAGCTCACCTGTCAGTTTCCCAGAAAAAGTGTTCAGAGGCAGAGAAAAAGGCCAAAAATATGAAGGAGCTGAGAGAAAGAGATGATTTGCTGGTCAAAGTAGAGGAAGACAAGAGGAAGGTTGAAGATCTGCTAAAATGGAAGAAGGAGCAATTCAAACACCTAGAAGAAGCCCATGACAAGCTTCGAGACCAGTTCAAGGCAAGTAAGAAAGAGTGGGAGAAAGAAAAATCTACATTGGTCGATGAGATTTGTTCGCTGCAGACAAGGTTAGATTCTCAGATACGAATTACAGGAGATCTTCAAAACCGGTTACAGTTGTGCAACCAAGCCTTGGCTCATGAAGAAACCCGAAGAAAGTACCTGGAAGTTGAAATTTCAGAGTTTAAAACACGCTTTGAAAATATTTTTGCTGAATGCCAGGATGCAAAGTCACAACTGGACTGCTTGAATTCCCAGAGGGGCAATGAAGTTGCAACTCTGAGACATTTACTGGGCACAAAGGAGTCATTTTATAAGGAAATGGAATATCGAGCAGGACAACTGGAGCAAGAAAATCAAGAGTTGTTGACATCCCTCAAAGAACTCCAGGAAGCTAGAATTAAGCAAGCTGGAAGCTCCTCTTCTCTTTCAAAACTGAAAAACAAGCTCAAAAGTGTGGAACAGATGCACAAGGAGTGTTCAGCAAATCTTAGGACTAAAGAAGCTGAATGGAACTCTCAGCGGGAGGAAATGACCAGGAAGTTAAACAATTACACCTCTCAGTTAGAGAGTAAAGATGCCACTCTCAAAGTACTTGAGATGGAACTTGAAGGTTGCCTTTCTTCGGCTGTTCAGTTGAAATTGCAGAATGAGGAGATTTCTGTGATGTTACTACTATTGAAGTCAGGAATGTCTGAGGCCCAACTGAAACTTGCAAATGTTGAGGCTGAGCTGGGTCTCCATCAGAAAGAGAGGGTAGAGAATCTTTCTATCCTAAAGCAGCAGCTGGAAATGAAAAATATTGCTCTGGCCAAAGCTCAGAGAGACATTGCAGAAGAACATGAGAGGACAGCAATTTTATCCAGGAGGGTTGATACCTTAGATCAACTTGAGGATAAGCATCAGCTGATGGAGAAAGAGCTCAATAGATGTAAAGAAATGCTCGAGGAATCATCCAGGTGTCAACTTCGGTTGAAAGAGCAAGCTTTGTTTGTGGACAATGATTCAAAAAAAAAAATTAGAGAAGTCTGTGATGCTTTAGATGTGGCAAATTCTGAACTGGCGGAAGAACGGGAGAAGGTAGCATCTTTATTAAGGAGAATTGAGTCCTTGGATTTTATTGAAGGACAGCGAATTCTGATGCAGAAAGAGCTTGAGAGGTATAAAGAAAGGCTTGAGGAAGCATCTAGGAGTCAAATACACTCGGAAGAGCAAGCTTTGCAGATGGAAAGTAAATACAGAGAGAAACTTAGAGAAGTTTGTGATGATTTAGAAACAGTAAAATCTGAACTGACTGAAGAACGAGAGAGAACAGTTTCTTTGATGAAGAGGATTGAGTCTTTGGATCAGATTGAAGAGCAGTGGCTCCAGACAAAGGAAGAGCTTGAGAGGTATAAAGAAATGCTAGAGGAAGCATCTGGGAGACAAAGTCAGTTAGAAGAGCAAGCTGTGCATATGAAAAATGAATTTGGAGAGAAACTTCGAGAACTTTGTAATGCTTTAGAAACTGCAAAATTTGAATTGGCTCAAGAACGTGAGAGGACAGCTTCTTTAATGAAGAGGATTGAATCATCAGATCACTTGGAAGAACAGTGGGCCCTGAGGCAGAAAGAACTTGACAGGTACAAGGGAATGTTTGAGGAGTCATCTAGGTACCAACTTCAATTAGAAGAGCAAATTTCTCAGATTGACAGGGACTCAGAAAGGAAACTGACAGAAGTTTGCAATGCTTTGGAAAAAGCAAATTCTGAGTTGCTTGAGAAAATTTGTGAAGGACATGAAATTGAATTTGAATTGTGGATATGGAAATCCATTGCTGAGCGGTTCAAAGTCAACCTTGAAGAAAGTCAGGAATTGCGTAAAGAATTAGAAGCTTCTCTTCTTGCACAAGTGGAGTTTGGAGAAACTATCAAGCAAGAGAAAGATGACCTTGTCCGTATAACCAAAGAGAAAGACAGGAAAATAGTTAGTCTCCAGCAGCAGATAGTATTACAAGAGCAAGAACTCAAAGCAAGAGAACTAGAAGCAATGAGTTCCATAGAGGAGAGCATTCTTCGAATCACAAGAGAAGACGACAAGATCTTAGAGGATCTTCAGAGAGAGATTAGCTTTCTGGAAGAAGAATCACTCAGAAGGGAACTGGAAGGAGCTGCATTTGCACACATAAGTGCAGAGAGAAAATTTGAGCATGAGAAGGAGAATCTTTTGCAGATTGTACAAGAGAAAGATCAGAGAATAGATGGTCTCATGCAGGTTGTGAGGTCAATGGAAGAAGATTTTAATAGCTCATTGAATTCCTTTTCCTCAGAGCTTACTGAGAAGCAGGAACAGATTAATTTGGTCCATGAAGCTTGGGAAAAGATTGCCAGAGCTGAGATTCTGGCTAAGCTAGAAATTGAAGAGAAAAAGTTAATGATAGTGGAACTGGAGGATGACATTCATAACATACAGGAGAAACTGTTATCGCAAGAAAAATCCCTGTCTGATTCAAAACAGAAAGCATCAACTGTTGAAGCTGAATTTGAAGCAAAGCATCTGCAAATGAAGAACTTGACTGATCAGATGGAGGCAAGACTGAGAACATCAGAGCTTTTGATTGACGAGCTTAAGAGTGAAAAAAGAAAATTGCTTGAAGACATCATGAAGTTGTCAACAGAGAGGGAAAATTTGTTTAGATTCATTGGAGGCCTAAGTGACAGGATCAGCGAGTTCTCCAGCGAAGATGCTCACCTGATGGGAATCCTGGGAAGCATAGTGAGGTCTTTTGACAATAGCCCTTCAGACTTTAAAGGTAATGATGAACTTTTTGACTCTCTAAAGGAGAACAAGAATAGTCTTCTTCCATCTCCAGCAACCAAAAAACCCGATTCAGTTATTGAAGAAAGATCACCTTTTAGACTGCTCAACTAATTGCAACTTAAGAAAGAAGCTATTATCAGTACAGCTTGTGAGATTGATGGTTTTCTTTTTCTTTTTTTTTTTCCCTTCCCATTAACTAAGTTTTCTGGAACAATCCATTCAGTTCAAAGCATGGACTTCATTTTCCTACTTTTTATATGACAGATTCATGCATGTATAAGCATTTGTTTCTGCTAGTAACAATTTACCACATATGATTCATTGTTTCATTTGGAAAAACCAGTTTCTATTGTAATTTTATCTTCAGATTTTCTCCTTTTCTGTGGAGGTGGATGGTTGTTGCTTAAGAAATTTGATATGCTCCATTAAAGACTTCTCATGTTTCTAGCAGTCGAAATCAAGAGTGTATCATGCAAAAAAGCAACTGATACTGTTATGAATCAGTTTTAATTGAGATATGGAAGTGCAATATTAGCATCCATGTAAGTTATATTCTCCTTTCTAGTGTCATATAGCATAACTGCACTTCTGAAAAAATGATAAAATGGTAGTATTACCCTTTCTTGTGAACTATATAGATTCCCGTTGTTATGGACCAGAACAATCTTGTGTCCCAGAACATGAAAGGTTCAAATCAAAGCACCAGCCCCAGTTCATTCTGATGTGTTCACAAAACCAAACAAAAAGTTTTCAAAAATAACCTCAAATTGCAGCAAGCTTTTCCATTGCAATGACAAAAAAGAGTGCTAGATCCTCTTTGTTGTTTCTTAAGTAGATTGACAAGAATTTTGAACAACAATAGTATATGCGAAATATATCTAAACAGATGCATGCAGTACAGTCACAGAACAATAGGCTTTAGAATAAGAATATGCTAAACAGATGGCATTTGCTGCTAACTACAAATATAACAAAATCCATGAAAGTTTTCAGGCTGATATCATTATCATGGATTATGATACAACAATGGAAAATTTACTTGCACCTGGCCCCACTAGACGATTCAGATTTTTGCAAAAATTCTGACATTCCCTGCCTTAGAGCTCTGAGGTTCACCCCATTGCCAACATAGATGCTAGTCACTCCCATTTTTGATACCTGCAAAACCATAGGAAAACTTAGAAAAAATAAGGATACAAAACTTGAACACTAAAGAAACTGAGCATAAATTTTCCATCATAAAAGAAAATGTTACTGCTTCAATGTTCCGATCCTCATCATCAAAGAAGAGCATTGAACTAAATGGCACCCCAGTCCTCCTATGGATTCTTTGGAAATGCTCAGTTTTATGTGTCCAACTGGAAAAAATCTCCTACAACACATGAAAAATGGAACAAACCATCCATCAGAAACCCAATTCAACTCAAAAAGTAAAGCCTCAATCATTCAGCACAACTAATACTACCATATATTTTATTTTACAAAAACCGCAGCTTAGGTACAGAGAAAAGGATTGCAGATGCTAATATTTGATTCTCGAAATTGTTAGATGCTGCCTTTCGCATAATCAACTAGGCTAAGCTTCGGGTTATTTTATATGATAATCAAACAAATGACACAAGAAAAAAAAAAGGATTGTAAAATATTTTCCCTCACCTCTGCAACAAACATGGAGCGGATTCCTAGTTTGGCAAGGAAAGTTTTGGCAATATCAGGAGTTGGTGATCTCGAAGCAATAGCAACGTCAATTCCCTTCTCCTTTAGTGCCAGTAATATTCCTTCAGCATGTGGATACAAAGACGGCATTTCATCCTCATCACAGCACTCACTAACAGATAACAAATAATCAAATACCAAATTCCCAACATTTCCAAAATCGTCACTAAAAAAAATTAAAAGACAGTTGTTAGGGATTGGACCGAAAATTGTACCAATAAAAAGGCCAGAGGGTATGATCGAGATCAAAGACGACCATACGAGGTAGGTTTTGGAATTGGCCGATAATCTCCAGCGCTTCCTTCTTCACTTTCTCCTCCTCTCCCATGTTTTCTCGCTCCCTTGGAATTTCCAAGACGCAACCTTTTGGTAGCGGATTTATTGCTTTTTTTATTTTTGTCGGAAAAACACGAGCCGCCAAGGAAGCCAACGTGGCAACCCACGTGGTTAAATATTCACCACTTTAACGAAATAAAATTTAGCGAGAGCACATTATTGGCGAATAATTCGCGGCACAGGTTGTCTCTCTCTCTCTCTCTCTCTCTCTCTCTCTCTGCCTTTCGCAAACGCCTTTTGCAACGAATACCCTGGGAAAGAAAAATTCAACAAGAGACTTCAAGGTAAACTGTCGTTCAACGGCCTTTCATAATTTCTCAATTTATGTTTATTTATGTTTTAAGAGGATTCTTCATTTCCTCATACGGAGTTTAGTAATTTACTTGAATTTTTCTCATTTTTAGCTTCTGATTGTTATATGTAAAATTCTTGTTAACTCGGCTATGTGATACTTTGCCTGTGAGTAGAAATTTGGTTTTTCTAAATCAATTTCATTGCTTTTATTTTCTTTCTCTAAGAATTAAAGTTATTTTCTTTTTCTTTTTTCAAATCACTGCTCAAAATCATGTTATCTGATTGGTGAAAATTTGAAATACAAAAATTCTCTTCTAGGGTTTCGGGAAACTTTGATTGTTCTTATAAATTATATTCTTATCTTCCGTTGGCGCATCAAGTTTTTAATTTTCTCTGGCAGGTTCAAGAGATAAGTGTTTCACCCATTCTGAGTTTAAAGATTAGCTATTATTGGAATACATTATGATCTTATGCTACTTGTGACGTCCTGCAAACAGCTGGTTTCACTCTGATAATGTCTCTTTCTGGTTCTTTGCAATTGTCCTATGATTTGGGACTTTGCAGGAACCAGGGATACAATAAAAAGTTTAAGGTACAGGATTCTGCGCTCCCGATCTAAGAAAGCATTTTGTAATTTGTTTGGAAATTTTAATTTGTATATTGAAAATTTCTTTTCTCTTTTTTGTTTCAGAGTGTATTGGGAAGGGGGAAGTTGCATTTACTGAGCGCCACCCTCTTGTCTCGTGCTTCGGTGTGACTTCAATGCTTCTTGTTTATGATACTATTTGTGATTGTGGGCATTGAATTGCTAAAATAAGAAAAGGAATGCATGCATGTTGGATATTGTTTCTCAAGTTTTCTTAGCATTCTTGTCTTGCTATTTGTGGTTTGCCTGGCATTTGGTAAAGACAAATTTGTAATGGAGGCTTTACTTTTATCTACTGACAGGAATACGGTAGCTTTTGCTTGTCAATATCATCATTTCAAAGTGCATGAAAACAGCCTCACGAAGTTTAGTTTGCATGCAAGTTTAGTTTGCATGCAAGTTTTCATGCCTACTATCATGTTGTCATTAATGTATCTATTTCAATCTCTCAATCACTCAACATTTATCTTTGCAGTGATTGTGCCATGTTGTCAGAATATTCTGGATCCAAAGGCTAGATTTATGTTCTCTTTTTAAATTTTTATGTAACTATTAAATGGTGGTCCCCAACTCCCCATGGACTCTTATAAGCTGAAATGTTTCATTCTTTTGTCTATATTTGTGATAATACAATTGCAATTGTACTTTGAGCTATAAACTGCTTTGTAGCCTTTTGAAAGGGGGTCTGGAGATTTTCTTTCAATTTAATAGCATTAGTAGAAATTTAATGTTCTTAAAATGATGTTTGAGGATATCTTTTTCTTCTTCTCTTTCTTGCCACAGTCCTGCAACAGGATTCTTGGAGAATTCGCCTCTCCAACAGTTTGTACAGGCCAATACATTCTGTTCCATACAGAAACAATAGCTTTAGGTGTCATGCTTTTCAAATACCAGGCCAAATATTTGAACTTCCTGGTGTAAAAGATGCATCTATTTCATTGACAAGGTGCTCTTTTTCCCCTGCTTAGTCTTCTGATTAAATGTGCTGGCATATTTGTTTTACTGACATCAGGATTGTTTGTGTGGTTATCTTTTTCATACAGATAAATGTGTTTTCTAATTAGTTCAGCATTTCTAGTACTACTTTTTATTTAGATTCAAGTTCTAACCTGTTTCTCTAACTAGTAGAACATTACGTTGCTCTGCTTTAGATAATTTATTTTTACATGTGATTTCATGTTTCTGTTAGGAACATGTTTCCTTAAAACAGTACTTCTGCTTCTGGTATTGTCTTTGTGTTTAGTGACTTTAATGATTTTTAAACATTTAAGATTAAGCCCTTTGTATCATGCAGGTCATATAATATCTTACAAGCTAATCCTCTTGTATTTAAGTTGCTTCCAGCAGTTAGTATTATAATTTTTGCCCTATGGGGTGTGGGGCCACTTTTGCAACAGAGTAGAAGCCTATTTCTTCATGTAAGTGCACTCCTTTAGGCTCTGCTCAATTCTGTTATTTACATTGGATCAATACACGTCTCGCCAAATTGGGTCAATGCAAGCATCTAATATTCTGTGATTACCTGCAGAAGAGTGACAATACCTGGAAGAAGAGTACAACACATTATGTTACAACTTCTTATATTCAATCTTTGCTGCTGTGGACTGGAGCAATACTCATATGCAGGTGCCAAAATCATGACTTTTTTTTTTAATGCAAGAAGAGCTCTATTTTTTGCTGTTATAAAATGCCAAATCTAGTTTCCAGCTGTTCAACTCGCATGCATGCATGCTATTGGTGTACTTCTTGCAGAACACTGGATCCATTAGTTCTCCCTACAGAAGCTAGCCAAGTTGTTAAGCAACGGCTTTTAAATTTTGTAAGATTATAGTCAACTGTGATGGCCTTTGCATATTGTTTATCGAGGTGAGCATTTATTCTCCTTTTTTCCTCTTTCTCCTCAATAAATGCTTGATGAGGATGGTCACTGGTTTTATATAATGTAATATAACAGATTAGCATTTACTTTATTGCTGTTAGCTCATCAGTGTATTTGTTACTGGAATCCAGTTCAAGTTTGTTCTCTTGAAATGGGTATATCTGAAATAATCTAATGGAAGTTATAAAACTAACCTTCCAACTATTTCGACTAAAAATTTTTTAGGTGCAAAATAGTGATACGTGACAACTAAAAGCTGTGAGTGGAAACATGAGGGAAGTTAGAAAAGCATGTGTAGCACACATCTAGGGCTAGTATGGAGTACAAATTGATTTGTTGTTGGATTTATAATATTTCAAAATCTTGTCAGACTGAATCTGATTTCTAATGTTAATAATATTTTCCTAGTTGTAATGCTCCATGACAGTTGTTTCCATGACTTCTAAACATGGTTAAAATGCTTTCATGCAGCATGATTCAGCAAATGCAGAAATTCTTCATTGAAACAAGTGAGACCAGTGATGATACAAGAAATGTTGGTGCCATTTCTCTAACATGAACCAATTGATATCGATTACTAATTTTCATGTGACTGCTATTGTTTATTACTAAAAATAGAAGTTCATTTGAAGTGTGACTCTGATGCCTCCATCCATTATAGTAGATAGACTGAGAGACCTATAATATACATCAGTTCTCTTTCATTAATTTTATTTATTCACATACTTTTCTTGTTGTTATTAAGACAGCCTGAATTGCGATGTGACTCTTTTAACTAATTCATAAACTTCTCTTGCTTTTTTGGCAGATGGGTTTTCAGTTTGCAGGGAAAGCAATGTATACTCTGCAGTTTGGGTCGCCACTGTCTCATTTTTCATGGAGTTGCTGGGTTTCTCTACCCAGAAGTGCCTAACAGCTGGAGGTCTAGGGACAGTTTTGCTGACTCTTGCTGGTCGTGGGGTACACCTAAATATCATTTTCATGTTGATTCATTTCAACTTATAACCTTTCTGCAATGTACATTTTCCTTCTTATTACTTGGTTCCAATGGACAATGCTTTCTTTCCTTTTCAAGTAAAAATACGTTATATTAACTGCCCTTTAGCAAGAATAATATGGATGATATAGGACAGGAATGTGGGGTTGCATGAATTTCAAAAATCTGATTATATAATGGGAAAGAACTTGTCATTGTAGGGTTTAATTGAATGAGGGAAGATGGTTAGGTCTGCAGGTTTGTTTAGAAAAGAACTCACCTTTGAGGGGGAAAACTAACAAAAGGGAAATAGCCTACCTGCCGTCTGGGCTGTGAAAGGTGTACCTATGAGCAATGATTTGTGGTTGCATTTGAAGTTTGGAAGTTGCTTTTGGTGTTGATTTGGTAAAGGTTTGATAGGTTTAAGAGACTAATTTAGGGCTGGTTGTAATTCCTGAATAATGCTAGAAATAGGGATAAAAGGATAAGAGGAAGAAGATAAAAATAACACTTAACACCTACAGCTAAAAATTGCTTCATACAATCCAAAGGTAGCATAACTGATCATTTATCAATAACATCTGTTGAAAGAGATCATCTTAAACTTGTTCTTTATTAATTGAAAGAGTCTAGTTGCTTACTTATAGTGTTTCTACTTGTCCTATTGTCACACGGACTTAGAGATAGGAAACCACCAAAATTTGATCTCTTAAAATAATAATGGAGGGAAACTCAAAAGAAGCTCTTTAGGATTAAGTCATGAAATTTCCAGCTAATTTGGAAATTGTTAGAATACCCCTGAAAATAAACCCAAAGAAAACAAGAAATGATAATAAACCCACAAGTTTTAACCTAAGGGAACATAAAACTAGTGCTTATTTTTTCTATCTTGTTCATTCCTTAAATTAATCCAAGATCAAACAAAGATCAATATTCCAAGCATTTTTTTTTTGTTTTATCTTGACTTTTCATAATCCCTTTGTTATCAGTATCAGTATATGCATTTTCCAAATGCTTGACATTTTGTTGGTTGTTGTAGATATTCACAAATTTTCTCTCAAGTGCAGTGATTCATGCAACTCGACCTTTCGTTGTGAATGAATGGATTCAAACAAAGATTGAGGGATATGAAGTTTCTGGTACCATTGAGGTTTGTATTTGAGCCCTAGCCCTGTCTCTGAATAAGTTGTTTAGAGAAAAAAGTGGAGCTCTTACTTAAAAATACATTATGGTTACAGTGCTTGTATTAGACCTCAAAAATTATGATTGGGTTTTAATGTTGTGATTCCCTTAGTCACTGAAAAAATGACATGCTTCATCTGAGGACTTTCTTATATGTGTCTTGATGTTTTTTCATATTCAGCATGTTGGTTGGTGGTCACCAACAATAGTAAGAGTGGAAGATCGTGAAGCAGTTCATATTCCAAACCACAAATTCACTGTAAATGTTGTGAGAAATTTCAGTCAGAAAACTCATTGGCGTATTAAAACTCACCTGGCCATCAGTCACTTGGATGTCAATAAGATTAATGTAAGGAGTTATCCAAGCATGTCAAAAGTTCTATTTCACCTTTGGAGACATTGAATTGCCATTTCCATCTGTATAAATTTTTTGGGGATTCCTCTTGTTTCTGCAGAATATAGCTGCCGACATATGCAAGTGTCATGGACCTAAGGTGGAGTCCTGAATCCCACATCGAACATAATAGGAAGGTCACTGGGGTATAAAAGGGGTTCACACCATCTCTTCCTTGTGAGGTGCCTTTTGTAGACAAAATCGTGAGGCCAGGGGGGCCAGAGCGGACAATACCTCACAAGGGTGTGAACCGTGGCAGTCAGGCTGATCTGGGACGCCGGATGAGTGGATGCTTGGGTCCTGGAGCCACGCAGGTTCGGAGCTTAAGTCTCAAAACTGTGACAAGTGCGTATCAGAGCCAGCCTTATAACCGTTCGATCCACGCAAGTACCTCGAGGAAGGTAGGCAGGGTAGGCCAGCTTCTGTGGACGAGGGCGTCACGAGGTTGGGTGTGAGGAATGTCAACGACCTAAGGAGGAGTCTTGAATTTCACATCGAACATAATAGGAGGGTCATTGGGTTATAAAAAGGTTCACACCATCTCTTTCTTGTGAGGTGCTTTTTGTAGGACTTTGCACAGAAGAGTGTTTCTGGAAAATATCAAGTTCTTATGAAACCACTCTCTTTGTCATGATTAGTTGAATTGTTAAACCACAAATCAATCTTTGATAGATTTTTTTAGAAGCAATGTCAATAGACACTAAAAAGAATTTGCTTCATCCAGTGTCTTTTTATATTTTGTCAATAATATAAGTGTGTGATTTGGTGAGATACCTGTTCCATTCAAATCTAACCAACCATAAGACATCTTCCAATTTGGTTACACTAGTAGGTCCTTTCTTTAAAGTCCAATCATATCAACCTCCGAGTATTTACCTCTTCCTGATGCCTTTTTGAGTGCTTGTTTAATTAACTTTTATACTTGATTGATATGGTCTATACACACACACACACACACACATTTCCTTTAAGCATTTTGAGCATCTGGATAATCCAAGAACTGCCATTTTTAATCTCTTTTTATCGTAAAACTTTGGGACAAGAGATATAGGAAACATATTTACGGAATGTCTTATTGCTAGCTGTGAGACCTGACATATAAGATACACTAGTATTGTTGAGCAAGTGTTGTCTCCATCATCTATGTCTGATGATTTTTCTTTCCCCCTTTCTTATTTGACAGATATTGGTGTCCTGTTTTGTAAAGACTTCCCATTTTGAAGAGTACGTATGTGTCAAGGTAAGAGGATTTGTCTACTATAGTTTATACCTTTCAATTTGAATGTGGGCTGGGCAAGTGGATTGTAGGACATTTGGGTGCTTCAATGACAATGGCAATAGTACAGCATTCCAGGAAAAGTTATTTATAACTTGAAGTTGGCAGTATTAAATGCTGGCCAGTATGGTATTATTAATATGATACAAATCCCAGAGAATGTTAAAATAATTAATTATATCAAAAAGAGTATCTGAAATGAATCCCTATTTAATATTAGGAAGGACAACTTATTCACTATTTTCTGTTGCATTATGTTTATATTTTATTAGAAGACTACTTAGGATGCCGTGCATAGATATTATCTTCTGTATCACAAAGTATAGTTTTTAGAGTAATCCTTTGGTTTCTTTTATTTTGCTGGTATATACATGCATTAGGGTGCTGATTGTAAACATTCATATATTCTCATGATTTATGATGAAAAATAAACCTTTTGATTATGTTAATTTATAATTCCTCCCTGTGAGAGTATCTTCCATTAAGTTTGATATATTTGAACGGATCCATTATTAATCTCTGTGGTTGATGATTCATGAAGCTATACTTTTGGATCTCCTTAGAGTCATCAGCCATCACCATGCCTGGCTTACCACACCAATTCGCACTCTGCAGAAAATACATAGTGTTGCCGACTTGGAAAATATACCATTTGCAGACTCAATCTATAACCATGGTGGAATGCCATCTAACAGGCCTCTGTTACTGATTGAACCCGCTTACAAGATCAATGGCGAAGATAGAACATAAGGTCGTTCCTCATGTACAGCTGGAGAACAAGACGGTAAAGCCACGGTGGGGCCTACTGCTGACACTAAAGCTGACAAAAAGGCAGGAACAACACCAAAGCCTGACTCCAAGTCCAAAGGAACGCCATCAATTGAACCCAAAGCTGTTGACAAGATTGGAGTTCAGACACCAAGGAGAACTTTAAGGCCGCTTTTGAATCTACATCTGGTCTGAAGACAGATGATAAAGTGACCTTGAAATTACCATCAAAATCCGTCGCCAAAACAAGTTCTGATGCTGCAGAAACAGCTAGTCCCGACCAAGAAGTTCTGATTCAATATCCGATAATTTGTCCAAAAACAAAAAGGTCACTGACAAGCAACAGAAAACTGCTAGCCAGAGCAGCAAGTTAGATAATCCTTCAGTATCCTCACCAGAATGCAGTATTGACAAAACAGGTGGATTACGAGAACCGATCCAATCCAAACTGGAAGGTGAGAAGCTGCCAGTCTCTCAGCCACCAATAACAAGACCTGCCTTGGAGGAAAATATAGTTCTTGGTGTAGCATCAGAGGACTCAAAGAGAACACTGACTCCATCCGCAGCAAATGCAAAAGAATTGGCTTCTGCAAGCCGGAATGGAAATGAATCCACTGCCGAGGATAAGAAAGATGGTCAAATTCGGTCCACTCCTAGTACCCCTGATGATCAGTGATGTATTTGAAAGCTAGCTACTGATCCCCAGAGCTTGCAACTTGAATTATCTAGCACTCTTCGCTGACAACCACACTGTGGAGTTGTATTTCATCAATTTGCCCATACATGTATATTTTCTTGTGATCACTCATTCAGTATTATTCTTAAACTATAGCATCTGTTTATCTTGAAAGCATCGTTAACATATAATTTTTCCCAGTTTTACTTCTTTTACGATTGTCAAATCAATCAAATTTGAGGTTGGTTTTGCATGGTTCACCATACTGAGATGTTGGCAAACAACTTAGATTTGTCAATTCCTTTGTCCTTAATTTGCTCTAAGATGCATAGAAAATATGATTGATATTGTGAGAAGGGCGGTCGCAATTGAAATTTTGGCTGAACTTCTATGGCTACAATTGCTCAGATAAGTTGCTTTAAAAATATATTGATCTCTTTGATGCTGCAGCGAGACTGGCCACCGCTCCATGGAAGCAGTGCCCTGATTTCTCTATGTTTATGAATCCAAAACCCTATGAAGTATGAACCAGTCTTCAAAGTTAAAACAGGGCAGTCCCAGAACTGATCTTCAGGTCTTGCAAGCCTCTCCATCCAACATGCACCCACCATTATAAATGAGTTTAACACAGAGTAATCAGTTCTTTGAACCACCTGGATTTTTTTATGGAAACAAGGCGTGATGTGCGGGCAATTGAAGGAAAAGGCCAAAAATCGATGATTCCACTATTTTTACCTTTTCACTTTAAAAGGACAAATAAAGAAATAATGAATGGTTTCTTCCATGGTACCAGAACAGCCTTACGATTGTACATAGCTTTAGTTACCAGTAACATTGAATTAGATATAATGCTGCCAACTGCCAAGTAAGAACTCAAGTTTGTTGCCTAAGGACGCATAGATGTTTGATGTAATATGAATACAATAAATGTTGTACAGACAGCTTCACTGGCAGAGATATGCAACAAACAAAACCCAGACCTGCCGCTGAATTATGTCACATACTCCACTCCACAGTCCATACTCAATAGGATCCACAATAAATTTGATGCTAACAACCCCACTCTCGATATAAATACCGCCATGTCAATACAAACAATAGCTGTATTAACGCTAGATGTAATACTTTTATCTATGGGGAGAAATGGGATTGCTGCTTATTTATGATACCAATAGTAAAAGCCACAAATAATAGTTGCAGTAATAAAATCAATAAGATACAGAAGCTAGTCTCACTTCCTTCAGCATATCTGTAAATGACCTTGAGAGGCTTAAGCTTGGCACATGCAATCAGGTGCAGGATATGTATATAAGGACTGTTTTGGTTTCCTTAACCTGAGTTGCCCCTGTCTGTTTTGATGCCCTTCCGCCACTGCCTGTCGGAATTCCAACCAAGTAATGTTTTTGTTAAGGAAGAGTGGGCCCAACAAAGCCATATTTGGCCTTATGGTCTTCCTGTTCTCAAAACTTCGATGTCCCACCTGTTTGCATCATAGCAACTGTCATCTATTAGCAGGTTGAAATATATACCATCAACTTAGCAAAAGGAAATCACAAAAATTATAGAAGCACTGCAATTGCACAAAATTATTTGAAAATTTTCCTGGAGTTAAAGGAATCCCACCCCCCCCCCCCCCCCAAAAAAAAAAAACCAGCACCTTGAAAGTCAATGAAGTGGGTGCCTTTACTCCACATATCGGCTTTTGAAAATATAGTTGAAATTCACCATTTTTAAGGTTAATTTCTCTCAAAGTGTCTGAAAACTATAACTTCCCAAAAGAAAAATAAATAAATGAATGAAGAATTAAAACAAGAAAGCAGACACACAAACTTGGAACATGATGGCAGCAAAACCATGCATTGGCACAGATTCAACCCAATGAGAATTGAACACTTCTTATTCAATAATAACAATGTAGCAGCAAAGGGAAGTTCTTTATCTATAAGCAATTCCAGGCTTAGATCTGTGATAGCACTCTATAGATTGCATCAAAAGAAATGCACTGTTGCCATTGCCTTAGCCGGAAAACTCACCAATGCATTATGCATATTCCCAGGAGAAGCTGAGACAAAGATGTCACTATGCATAGCAACATAATAATCAACTGCAGCTAACAAAGAAGCCTTTCCTTTTATATGGACCCTTTCCTCTGAAGAGGCAAGGCTCTTTTTGTCTTCCATCAGTGGAAACAGCCCTCGCAGGGTGGAAATCCTAGATTCCCCACCGTATACCTGAAATTTATGGCCATTTGATGAATAAATTGTGGAAAAAGTTAACAATATATTTGAAGAAGTTGAGAGGGAAAGGGTAGGGGAGGGAAGTAACATTGCAGAACCAAAATTCCTCAGACAAAGACCTTGTGGGAGGCAAGATAAAGACGGGTACTATTGTCAAAACCCAAAGCTGCTAGCAGCAGTCCAATTTCTTCAGGAGTCAACGGGCAACGCCCCTGACTTCTCAATTCTTCATCAGTAAACTGAGAATTGAGAACCCTCCCTCCCCAAATTGTTTGTCGGTACTTGGCCAGAGCCAATTTTTCAGCTTTACCCCCACCAAAATCACAGGCTGAATGTGCAGCCATATCCTGCACATATATAAGGTTAGTGGGAAAGCCGGTGGAGAAAAAATTGCAGATCACAAATTTAAACTATTAAAATGAAATGGATCAATGACATGTTAACTAGTTCTTCTGATATTAAAACTTGTCAAAAGGACTAAAGGATGTTGCAACCATGGAAGGATATTACTTTCACAACAGCATGGCCATCTCACTTTTCCCATGGATACTCTAGTTATGCAGGCAGACAGTGTACAGAGTCTAAAAGATAAAACAGATCTATAAGATGAAACAGATATCTTAACCAATATAGCTTAAGGATTAAGAGCAAAAGAGCTCAAGCATATAGAGAAGTACAAAATTTACACTTACCATACAAAAACCAATGCCACTTGGTTAAAATACAAGTATCTTAATCTATGAATAAGCAGGTTATACCTTATCAAACCGAAGGTGTAACACGACAAATTTCAGCGGCCTTTGTTTGTCATTTTGATCAGTGGTCTCCCCAAGATAGTTAGCGCTAAGTGCTTCACTTTCACCAGGAGGATATCTGAGGCGATGGACAAGGGCATCTCCTAGTGCTCTAATGTGTGGAACAAAAACAAGCGCTTTAAAGTTGACTTTACAGCGTAGTTGCTGGATCTCACTCGGCAAGTTGTCAAAAGACAAACGGTGAGAGAATGGAGAAATTGCAGCAATCCCATTACTGTACCAAAATAGGACATGTTTATTAGGTCACACAAATTCGCAAGTAAAAAGAACTGGGCAAAAATCACAAAACACAGCAAACTGGTCAGCTCACATTTCCTAAATAAATTGAAGGTGAAATCAACATTATATGCTCATTAATTATTAAGTTAACCAATCCAGAAAACCGTCAAAGTTTCAAGTGTCTTTATGCATAAAAGTGCAATATCTACCAAGGGGTAGATGGAGAGAACATATTATGCAGTGCATGTTTATTCTTAATGCCCCATCACAGGAACAGACATGAGAGAATTCTTGATATGGTACAAAGAGTCCTTAGGCCCAAAACTTTTAAAAGCAACTAAACTGTGTAATCAAATCGAAAGGTTCAAGTTGCTACCAACCTCCGTAGTACAGGCAAGACATTCTCAAGATACCAGTTTGCAGATGCATGAACAGGTGCTCTTTTAATTCTGGTAGCACGAATAGCAGTGGCATAATACTCCCTCGTGCTCCAAGAGAATTCATCAGGCAACTCTTTGACAATTGAGATGTCATCCTTCAATACATTAATAAAGTGATCCGCATCAAATATATCCATGAATGAGCTGCAGGGAAAATAATTACTTCAGAGAAATGCCCCTTAAAACCGAGGCAAAAACTAGATCCACTTGGAATAACAAATGGAAAGGATAAATTTCTTCCACACAAAAGTACCTTGAATCTTGCCAAACAGGATTTACTTCAAGATGTGGGATCACAAGTGTTGCATTCAGTATTTTAGCAACAGCAACAGCATCACATATCTACAAAAACAAAAATGGAATTTAATATCTGATTATCTGATTGCTTTTCCAGAACAAACCAGTGACTAAAATATTTAATCAGGAGAACTAGAATTATTGAATGTTTTCTAATTCTTCACTACTCTTAAAGTATGTAAAATGCAAATGAATACTTACCCCCATTCTTTGCTGGTTGAGTCCACCATCAAGAAATACCTGAAGATATCCTTCAGATTTCTGTGGCAATGCTGCTTAAAGTAATCAAAGAGCGAAATCCAAAAAATTTAATATCATGATCTGGAAATAATAGTTTAATATCATTAGTACCACAAACTTGAGTCTCATAACTCAGGATACTAACAATATAAAGAAACCAAAACTAGAAATCTTATTACTGATCACTCACAAGGGGCATTTACAGATGCAAGACATGGCCTCCACCCTTGGTCAGCCAAAGGAGTCCATAGATCAGACTGCTCTCCATTGGACTGAATAGAACATAGAGGTAAATCAAACATCAAAATTACAAGTCAGAATACAGTCAAAAGGAAAATCACAACATATCCATGTGCTAACACACACATGCACAGATGCTGCTTTACAAACATCTACTCACACTTTCGCGTTGTAAGGCACTCCTGAGTAAAGGTAAATGTCTAGGTTTAGGAACATTCCACTCCTGCAACAAGCGTCAAATGGCACAATTAGTCAATTTCCTTTCGTGTCTTTCCTGGCACAAGAAATAGTATAACAACCAGCTAGTTGAAGTTCATTTCCTTCCCAAAGAGCAAATTTTGAGCATTTATCATGCTAATACTAAACAGTCAGCACAAATTACTACATGGAAGATTTTACCTTCTTTCCTGGCCTATTATAAAAGGCTCCTTTCTCAGTTCCATGCACAAAATCCCATTATCAATTGATTAATGGATTTGTGCACCCTCCAGCTGACAAAGAATTGGTCTAATCGTTACAACAAACCTTTCTATTTTTGTGACTTTTGTAGGCAAAGATATTTAATTAACCGAAAGAATTGGAAAACTAGCAAAGGCCAAAGAAAATTTACAAGAAAGGAAGAAAAGATGAATTATTGGCCATCAATTTCAATTTTCCAGTAAAAGCAAATTAACTATATATTACCAAGACAAAAAATTCAAGGCTAGCCTAATTTTCGGTAAAGCAATCTGATTATCAGACACTTAGCTACATAAGATTGCCACTTAAGCACGAGCTTATGTCGGCAAAATTAACTCAAACTAATCTTTACCTTCCATTTTTTAGTAAAACTGCAAAATTTTCATTGAACAACGTCAAACTTCCCATTTCTCATTTCCATGAATTATCCACAACGAAAATTAGAACCCAGAACCTATTTTCAATTGAAAAAAGATAACTCAGCAAAGGAGAAAAAAATATGAACATACCGAGAATGTAGAAGGGGATGCATGGCCGAATGGAGTAAACAAACACGGCAGAAAAACTGGGAAAAGCAACACAAATATCCCAGCAATTGCTTCTCTTCTAAGAGGCAGATAACAATGACTCTGGTAACGAAACCTCATCATGTTTTCCCTTAAAGCTGAAAAACAGAGATCTCCAAAACGACCACTTTCCTCAATTTTTTTCTTTTTTATTGTTTGTTGGCTTTGATAGGCCTTGATGGTGAAAACCACTCAAACAAGCAACACTAAAAAAAAATCTAATCAACAGCCAAAAAAAAAAAAAAAGCAGAGAAGAAGCTCAACTCAGGCGCTCAACATCACATGAATCACTCTCTCTGTCTCTTTCTCTTCCTTTCCTTTCTTTCTTTCACTGTCTGGCCTTAGTTAAGGCATCCACATGGACACCTGTACAGCTTTGATTATAGAAAGCTGTGTCCTTTTCTAAAGGGACCCCATCCAAAAAAACCCACAGTTAAAGCTTAAAGCTTTGTGCTTGCGCATGAAAAACACTGTAAATGATTGCAGTAGTACGTAAAAGAAATTAATAATCAGTAAAACTTCCTTCTTTTTCACAAATTTTTTCGTTTAAAGATTGTCAAAAAATTAGACCGTTAGGTGCGGTGGGGTTTTTGAAACTTTTGATTAAAGTTTTCATCTTTATGAGCGAACAGTTACGAGAATGTGATCATCATACCACCGACACTACCATTGAAACTATTCAAGTTTTTCAGATTTATGTATAAATACGGGAGTTTTGACATCATGATCTGGGCCCCAATGTTTTTCTGATGAATCAATTTTCATTTTTTCCTTAAAATTAAAGTTAAAAAGTCCATTAATTTAAGCTCCAAATATAAATTCAATCACATATTAGTAATTTTTATTTATTATAGCATAATTTATTGATCTATTTATTTGATTTTCTAACAAATATAATAACTATGAATCAACTGATATAACATTAATAATAATTTTTTTATATTAAATCAAAATCAATTTTTTTTTTATTTTGTTTTTGTTATAACTACTACAAGAGTAAAGTGGGTTAGTTATTTAGGGGATTTATGATGATTAAAGTAATTGGTTTCCCTTATTTTAAGTTCAACCATAAAAGTTCTCCAAATTGGAATTCACCTAAATGTTGCTTTTTTGTTATGGGATTCTTAACTTCAATATAAAAATGGGATTGTCCTTCTCCTTTATCACCATGCAAGAAAAAGATTACCTTTGAAAAGAAAAGGATTTGTCACATCCTACAGCTGGAGAAAATTCCTTTCCATGCTTCAGATGCAATGACTCTTTTGACTTGTTGCTAGGGCAAGGTACAAATTTTTTTTGTTCCTTTTTTATTGTAATGGACAGAAAATATTCCAGCTTATTATCTTCTTAATCAAATTAAAATGAAATTGTCATTGAAATAATATCTATCACAAAAATTGTATAACATTAATGAAGTGTTATTTGAAAAAAATACAATAATAGCATTCAGTCAATTATATTATTATACTTGTATATCCCTATGGCCTATACTAATTGCAAATTTTGAAGAAGATATAACAAATCAGGATTAAGCTATAGTTAATGCTAGCATAGAAGGGCAAAGGATAAAATGACAATCATAAGATTTGAAATCGATTATTTATTAAATTAATTGATATTTAAAGTTTATAAATTTAAAAAATTTTAGATATATAATTTTTTTTTCAATCAAGTATATAATAGGATAAATGAGATTTAAAGGTAAATTAATAACTTAAAAAAAAAAGATATGAAAAATTATTGTACAATGAAAAAGACTTTTGAATTTAAATTAAATTTAATTAATTTATATGATTATTTTTAAAATATAATATTTAATAAATTTGAGTTTAAATCTGAATAATTTTTACCTTTTTTTTTAAATAAAGAATTACAAGTATTAATCTAAGTTGAAGTTCCCTAATCTATATTGTTAGTGCTCAACTCATTAATCATTGCTACAATAATAATTAGACTATTTTTAGAGTAATGAATAGATTTTTTTTTTTTAAGCTCTTCATCTACCCTTAAATCCCTATATTTTATTATATATTTGACTGAAAAAAATATTAAATATTTAAATTTTTTTAAATTCATAATCTCTAAATTTCAATTTAAATGATAAACCAACTGAGTTAATTGATAAGGCTAGAATATTAATATATTAAATGTTCCAGCAACTCCCGTGGCCCTGAATACAGAAAGATATTTGAGAGCCCACGATTTTGAACCTTGAACTGAAATTTTGGTGGGGCGAGCCAGGCCCATGCTATGCAGTTAAGTACACATAGAACTGGCAGCAAGCTGGCATTAAACCGTGTGGGCCAAATCAATAATCCTCTTCATATTGCGGCTCGATCTATAACTTGGGAAATATAGGCATGAGAAACACGAGAAATTATTGTAATATCACACGAACCAAACGTTGAAACTTGAAATTCTGCCGACAAACAACCCTTTTGCTAGAATTTCACTCTAGATGTCATATACCAAGATGCAAGAGAAACAAATTTTATGGTAATAAGCTAAATTCAGTGAGATTTTCTTTTCTTTTTTATGGAAATTGTGATTTTATGGCCCTAGGTGTTTCAATGAATCAATTATTTGCAAATATGGGTATAACCCATGGATGCAAAGAATCCATGGCTGCCAACACGAGTCTCTTTGGCCAATAAGAAAAGAGTCTTCAAAGATCAAAAGATATCCAAAATGCATGCAGATGAAAATTTTCTTATGAATAAGTTCATCGAAGGTAGATCTAATAATTTATATATTTGTGTCATTTGAAATATAAAAATTTATGTATTTATATAATATTTTATATATAAATTATATATTATAATTCGTATTAACACAAAAATATAAATATATTTTTTTAATTTTATTAAATTCATAATAATTATTATTAAAATTTTAAATTATGTTATATTCGTATTTTATTATCGTACCGTATTCATATCATATCATTATGTCGTGTTTTAAATTATCATGTCTAATAATTCATTAATAATTTGTTGATTAATGTAAAATTATCTTTCTTTATGCTTTACTTTCATTTTTGTCACACCTTGTTTACTTTTATTTTTTGCACATTTGATTTCCTTTCAATACTTTGGATGAAGCATCAAAATTTTTTTTTTTACGACTTTAAATACTAAAATATTTAAAATAAAAAATTTATCAGTAACGATTTTATTCAAAATATTAAAAATATTTTGTTATTATTTTGTGGTAACTTTTAATTAGTTCAGAAGACTTCACTTACCGTATCATTAATTAGTTTAGATGGATAAAAAGCTGGTAGTTCAGCTGCTTACTAATTTTCCAACAACATTTCATAAAATATATAAATGATCCATATTATGGGGAATTTCAAAATGGGACAATGCAAAAATTGTTTTGAATTTGGTACCATATATAAAAATATTTATTTAAAAGGGAATCAAAGGTTTTATTTGATTACTTCTACCGTGCAATTCTTGCCCTTCGAATCAATGTCCCTGGTATTAACTTAGCATTCCTCATTTTAACATATTTTCCCAGTTTGATATATAATTATTTGCTAGTCCTCACTTGTACCCTTATATGCTTGTTCATAGGAAAAGAGCTCTTTCCAAATCGAAAAAGGAGTAGACAATGTTAATAATAATATTTTGGATTGATTTGATAAAAAATAAAAAGCGAATATCATGAATATTTTGAAAAATGTTTAAAAAAATGGGTCTAGAATTCAAAGTTTGAGTATTATAATTTATGATATTTAAATTCTTGCATCTACCAAAGCATGCAAGCATGGCTATGATGAACGTTCTAAAAATTATCTTTCCATTTTAATTCAAATTATTTATATAAAATTATTTATAATAATAATAATAATTTTGCATGAGTTGCTCGATCAAAGTTACACATTAAACTTTTGTACCTCCAAATATCAAGGGGGTTAGCTTTGCATTTCAATATTAATCCAAGTTAATCATATCGTACCAAAGCTTTTTTCTTTAATCTCCTATAATCTCCTCAGTTAGCCAGAATATGGTAACCTGCAAAAGATCAAGACAAACAAAAAAGAAAGGACAAGGGGCTTGGTCGTTACTTTAACAGTAAATATAGTATTTGTTTGTGAATGTGTGCTAGTAAAATGCTACTTACCCTAGCTTCAGGGATGTATCGGAGCTTTCATGGTCGTGTGGATTACCATTAGAGGTACAAACATTGGTCACAGACTCCGATGACCGACCTTCCTCACAAAAGATAATATTCTCCGATTCACTAGCAACTTGTCTTCGGCCATTGGACATCTGCAATACCTTCAGTTGTTAATGCATGTTGCTACTAGCAAGTATCGAAGCACAAAATGTTAGAAGGACGAGGGAAAATTATACCTTCAGCTTTAAACGTTCATTTTCTTCCATCAATTGCATTCCCTGCATGTTTGAGACAGAAATTGCTGAATATATAGCTAAAAGGCATTCAGGTGAACGTCGATTAGAAAGGTACATGATTTCATACTTCTGAAACGTTATGAGAATGAGAACATGATCGCTAATGTTCATGGAATTTTCATCAATAAGAAGGATTTTTATTGGATATTGCAAGTTCAATTAGTAATGAACCGTCTCCATGCATCTAAAATTGGCAAACTTGGATCATTCTTTATATGCATAGATCAGCAAACTGTCTTATGTTTGTCTGTAATTAATTGGAATCTAGTTCATCTTCCTATACATTTTTTCTCATGTAATATCTAACCTAAAATCGATTGACAATAAGTGAAGAGAAGCGACTTGAATATAACATTACATGAAACCCCAAGACTTTCTAATTTCATACTGACAGCTAGTAATTAAGCCAAGCTATGGCTATATGTACTTCCGACTCCTTTTTTATTCTTTACATCTAACTTTCAGTCTCAGGATGTAGATTAATTACAACATACTGACCTTTCTTTGAAGATCAGTGATTTCTCTCATAATCCTTTGACCCTGAAATACATTAAAGAAAAGAATAATTGGAGATTAGTAGAAATCACAAACATATTGTCTGAAATCTTCTACATGACAAAAGTTGCAGAACTGAAAATGCATTAACCTTTTTCTCCATCACTCGGCTCAACCCAGCTTCCAGAGACTTTTCTAGCTGCTGTAGTTCTTCAATAGTTAATCCTTGGAGTTCCTCACCTCTCATTTGCCTGTTTTAGGCAAAATCACTATATACTCACTCACTTACACACATACACACATATGAATTAATTGATAAGAAACAAAGTAAATGCATACCTCAGTTGATGACTTTTCTCTGCTACTTCCATGGTCAGCATGGAGTGGTTGCTGTTTTCTACAAGCTACAGATTAGAAAATGGGGAAAAAGGCTCACGTATGAAGCTTTCACAACTACAACTCTACAAGTCTATAACAAATCCAATTTTTCATAGAACAAAAAGGGATGAAAGACTGAAGCAAGAAAACAACTAACCTGCAATTCAAGAGATGATTGTTCCAGCTTCTCAAGGTTCTTTGAGCGCAAATTGTGCCTTTCTAGTATCTCCTTCATGCTTTAAGTTAAAGATAAAACTATCAGTTATTTGTGTCAACCTATAAAATGCTTTCATATCAGATCACCTGGACAAATATAGCATACTGAAGCTTTCTGATAACAATTGCATATAGTTTGTTTCCAGTGTTTCATTCAATGTTTCAATGTAAGAGATTAGGGTGCCCTTAAAGCTACGTGTAACAACATCTAGAGAAGATGATACTACCTAAAAGCTATGAAACACAGCAAAATCAGAAAACTACATTTATGCTTAATTTATCACTATAACCATGTTGACAATTTATGGCAGCAAATATAAAAGAATAGTAACATATTTATTTCCATGGCATAACATATCATCACGAGCATCATGACCAATATAATCCAAGCTGCCTGCAAATACTTGTGCGTATAATATGCTTACAACCGTCTTCTCTTTGATAATTAGCAGGCATTTGAATCATGTATAAGCCAAAGTTCCCCATCAAATTTTCACTAGAAGTCTAACATCTAACCACAAAAGATGTTTTTAATGCTACATTTCCTGCATTAAGAAATGCGAATTCCTAGAAGTAATGATTGAACCTCTGCAAGACATTTTAATGCTTGTAAACTAAGGATTCCCACACAAACAATACTATGGCTGCTAAAATTTAGAGTCTCAAAAAGTGAATCATTTACCATGGACAGCTTTAAAGAGAACCAGGTTCCAGTCATCTACTACGGTTTATTCTTTCTTTTTTTTTTTTCAGTAAGTAAATTAATGCATTTACACATACACAAAAGAGATTGACTTAAGTATAAGACAAGAGCATACTTGCACTAAAAGGCTGACAGCTAAGCAGCCATTAACAAGATTCAGTGATTCCCAAACAAAGAAAAGGTCAACCACAACTAGTTCAATCATGGTCATGGTTCTACATGGACCACAAAGACAGGGAGGAGCGGCAGGAAACAGATAAAGAACAAAAAAAGGAAAAAAAAAAGAAAAGCTAAGCTAAAGTCTATGAGTCATATATCAAAAAGCTGTTCAAGGTTCGATTTATGATAATCTACAAATATTCCACAGCACTAGGGTATTCCAATCATAAAACCGTAATGATCCCAAATTGAACTTACCAATTTAAGCAGTGCTTCCTAGTTTCTGACCGCTAGTTCTTCCCACTAAGAAATATTTTAGCAGATATATCATAATCACAACTATATATATATATATATATATATACCTAGTCTTTTCTTTGAAAACATACCAGACTATATTACTGTCAAGTGCAGTATTGGCGGTTCCAAGTTCCAACTATAACTTCTGGTGAAAACTAAAGTGTGTTTCAGTTCGTAAGAAAGCAATGTTTATTCCCGTGATAACCAGGGAAAGGAATGGTACAGCTTCAGAAATGAGAAAAAAGAAGGAAAAGACTGATAGAAACAAACAATCAACATATGCATTATGTTTTATGGAAGAAGAACAAGACTATACAGCACTCCCTTGTAAGTTCCACTGAAGAAAATTTGTAAATCGACAAAACAAACCAAATAACACCAAAAGGTAAAAATGAATAAAGAGTACGGCATACAAAAAAAAAAAAAAAAACACCAAGGAATAAACCACATAGATTATGGAGAAACAAAACAAGGATCCCGACCTGACATCATTAGTCTCTACACCAACACCACTGTAAATTCATGCTTATCTTCTTCCCATACAGGAACATATTATATATATATATATATATATATATATATATATAGAATTATAGATCGACATAAATTTTTTTTAAAAAAACACTGTAGACAATTCCTCGTCGATATCTGAGACTTTCATTTAGAATTCCAACACAAACAACAAAATATCTTACCTATATATACATTACGCACTTCTCTTCCAAATCCCAATATTTAAAAACCCATTTCATTCTTCCATCAAACTTCCAGGGTTTTTATTTTAAAAAACCCAAAAATACAGAAGAAAGAACAAACCTCCCCCTCTCAAATATCTTAACGAAGCATATACGCAAAAAAAAAAAAAATCCTGATTTTTCTCAAAGTTCAAAACTTTGTCCTTTTTTTTCTAAAAAAGAGTATAATTTTACAACTATAGCATGATTTTTATAATAAAAAAAGTAAAAGCCAATACACAAACAAGTGTTTAGAAAGAGAGAAATCAAGAGAAAGAAGGTACCTTGAGCTAGCATACTCAAAGAGCTTGCCAGTAGATGAGAAAATAATAAGAGCAACATCTGCATCACAAAGAATAGAGAGCTCCTCAGCTTTCTTAAACAACCCTCTTCTCCTTTTGGAAAAAGTCACCTGCCTAGATGTAGCGTTATCAATTTTCTTGATCTTAATCTTCTCTCTTGCCATTCTTTTTTTTACTTCTTGTTCTTTCTCTACCTTGTTTCTTCCTAAATAAAACCACAACAAAAAAAGGGTTGGCTTCCTTTTTAGAGAACTTCTCCAATCAAACTGGAATAACCCAATCAAGTAAAACTGGAAACCCCAAAAAAACAAAAACAACGAAAAGTTTCTATAAATGGAGTTAGTTAAAATTTAAAAAAGAGAAAAAGGAAAGTTAAGGAGACAAGCCGGGGTTAAAAAATGGCGGCATTTTTGCCAAATTTAGTGTTAAAGTGTTAAGAGACAAAACCCTAAAGAAAGAAGAAATGAAATGAAAATGACCAAACCAACTTCAGATCCAAAACAAAGAAACCAAGAAAAAACAAAAAGGAAGAACACCCAAAATGAGTTTTTGAAAGTGGTAAAAGAAAAGTGAAAGGAGTTAGAAAAAAAACGATTGGCTAGAAAGGAATGTTCGTGTTTATTTCATATTTGCTTACCAGTTTTGGTGTGGTTTTGCGGTGTTGGGTTTGGTGCTAGAGAGGTTTTGTTGGAAGTGTAATTTTTTGCTTCCGAGCTTGTAAAAAGCCACCAATGAATGGTTGAGAAAATGGAGGAAAAAGTGAGAGAAGAATCTGGTTTTGGGGGGGATAAAGTAAGTGTTAAAAGAAAAGACTTATGCTTTGGTAAGTAGAAAAAAAGGAACTAAGCAATGGAGCTTCTCTTTCTCCTTCCATAATCCATATTTTTAGTTTAAATTTCTGTAAATGAATTTGAAATAGCAACTTTGAACAGAGATGTTGCACAACTCATATATCATAAATTATAGGGTTTATTCATAAAATGTGAAAATAGTAGTACTCACGGTTATCGTTGTTTTCAATTCTTTATACTTTTTTATGGAATTTATTCAGTTTTTACTTTTCACAGACCAAAACAAAATCTTTCAAAATACTAGTAAGAATCACTCTCATTATGTTTTTGACTCTTTCATACTCAATTTACATATTGCTTGATTGTTTTTAACATTTATCTAATTAATTAAACATATGAAATCTATAAATATTTATTTTTACAATTTTAAAATTTAAATTTACTGAGATAATATTTTAGAATTTATTGTGAAGAAACTGAAAACAGCATTAAAACTAAAGCAAAATACCTTAAAACCAGCGAAGAAGGGACTTGATGAATGGCCAGCTTCCAATACATTGTACAAAAAGCCTCGGCCTGCATTCAGGTGCAAAACAGGATGAAAAAAAGTGGTAAATTCTTTAAATTTTGAGTAGCTGTATGATTTTTTTTGCATCTAGGAAACAGATTAACAGTAATTAGACGTGAAAAAGCAAAGGGAAAAAAAAGTAGCACTACAACTTGATTGAATGATTGATCAACAATTGATGTGAAGTACAATTTTAGAGGTACGGTTCCTTCCATTTCTTCTTACATCGATTGATGTTGACCCAAGCAATTCTTGCCAGACATGGGCAACCATGTCCTGCCAGTACTACCGCAGTGGAATCTTGATGCCTTGCTGCCCCTTCGGCCCCTAGACAACGGTAAAATGAAGAGAGATAAAAGCAAGCAATCTCGAGATAGAAAATGCAAGATGGATTGTCTTATTCCCTCCAGAGACTTGCTTTTGCTATTTCCCCATACTCATAGATTGGATAGCCCACTTGGCGACCACTAACAGAGCTTGATTCGAGCCAGGCCTTCGGGCTCAATTTCACCTAGAAATTGCCAAATGTAGTTGCTAATGCCTAATAGTAAAAAGGTCCATAAATGGTATTAGGCCAGGGCCAGGGGCTACATCTTCTCCAATTCTTTCGTGGGCCAGCGAGCAACCGCAGTCTAGCTCGTATGTAACATCTCGAGCATGAGCTGGACTTGTAGTTCGGCCTTAAAAAGGCTTTTGCAATACGGCCTTTTTTAAGCTGTGTTCAGATTTAATAACTTGTATATTTATATCATATACAGTAATAATAATTTATATATTAATTTTTTATATAAAAAAATATATTATAATTTGTATTGATATAAAAATATAAATTATTTTATTTTATTAAAATTTTATATCATATCACTTTTTTTTTATATTATTTTTTTATAATATTTTAAATTATCAAATTTACCTTTAACCTTTCTTTAATTATTCTTGAACTGTTGTTCATCAATTGTTATTAGCCTCAAATTTTAAACTCCGAGCCACTTTAAGAACACCTCAAATCAAACCACATGGTTTATATATATGATTTAAATTTTGTTAGGTAATAAAGAAAAAAATGAGGATAAAAAATTTATTAATCTAATCATTAAAATACATAATAATTTTTTTATTTTATAATTAAATCATTAAATTAATAAATTTTTTATTCTTTCCCCTTTTCATCGAACAAAACCTTAATATTTACGCTTTTCAATTATTAATCTTTGTTCTCGTCCCACATTTAGTGGACTTTAATGTCGTTTATATCTCAAATTACGGTTTAGGAAATAACAAAAACAAGATTAATATCTTATTCAATTCAATCAAACACGTTGCCATAAAATGAAGAACAACTAGGTCTCTTTAAAGCGTACATTTAAACTATTGTATCTAACCGTTGCAGTATCAACCTGCATCATAAAATTTAGAGTTTCATTAAATAATGTTGAACCTATCACATTTATTGACATTTGATGGTCTCACCTACATAGCATGTACCATTAAACTGTTTAGATCTAATGATGTTGCAATTGAAGCAATATGATGAACAAATTATTATTTGGTCTGAATGTCTAGCCTTCAATGTTAAATTGGTTCAAACTAGGGAGTGGGGAGATGCATATGACTATCAAATAATATGGATTCAAAAATTTTTTTTTAGGTATTGTTCACTTATAATATATATATATATAAATTTGTATTAAATAATTTATCTATTTTTTGATGAAAATAATATTATTGATAATTTTTTTAAGAGTATCAGAAAAAAATTATTATTTATTTTTTTTAATTTAAAATGTACACGAATATTTCATTTCAAAGAGTAAATCCGTATCGATTCATATTTACTTTTGCATGAAAATAAAAATCATACATAAATGAAGCAATATTATCCGGATAAATAACTCATGCTTAAAAATTTTTGGTGCAATTGTAGTAAAAAAAAAAGTAAATCTATTATCTAAGTTTAATATAATTAATTTATACAGTCATTTAAAAAAATAATATTTAATAGATATATAATTAAATATTTACACTTACAATTTTTTGTATATTTTTAGATTGTACTTTTTTTAATATAAAAAATAGAACGAAATTAATGTAAATCTTGAACTAAATAGAAACTAAGAATTAATTCATTGGTATGTCACCTTAAACCCAAATTGGCTGCATCTACACTCAAAGCACTGTCTCATCATTTCAAAGATGGTGGCAGGCAGCCAGGCACCCATTATTATTACTTTTTTATGATTAACCCATATGCTTTCTTAAAATTAATTTAAGTGTTAGGATTTTGTTATTTAATTATATTTTATTTTATTAATTAATCATTTAGTAATTATAATTTGCTTATAATATAAGAATTAATTATTCACTTAATTACATAAATGTAATAATTGATTATGATTAAATTTAAAAAAAATAAAATCGTTAGGAATGGTAAAAGGCTACGAGTAACTCTATTTGAGTTTTGATTATACTTTCAATTTTTATATAGAAATAAATATTTTATTATAAAGTGAATTATATAAATTTTAATATTTAATATTTAATATTTAATTCAATTAATTTTTATATAATCTTGTTTAAAAAAATAGAATAGAATTCAAATCCATCCGTCTCAATTAAAAAATTATAATCTTAATTTTAAATTCATTCAATGAAAAAATATTTAACTTGAACCTTCTTTCTCTTAATGTTATAATTGAAAACATATTTATTTTTTAATATTACAAATAAATTTTCATTTAGAAATTCTCAAATTGGACTTTCACATTTAGAAGCTTGTTTTTAACGTTTGCACCTTTAATTATTTTTACAAATAATAAAGTAAGACAAATATTTTATATTAAAACAAAAAATGTTTGAACAGTTGAGGCGGGTTTTGCCATATCTAAGTGGACCAAAGTTTGCCAGCAACACAAAATATTACAAGAACATGTTTTTGCCAGCTCATCCAACGAAGAAAGCATAATTGAACCCACAAAAGCAAAGCAAAGAAGCACACAGGGAAAGAATGGATATTGACTCGATAAATAAATTTATTATTTTTTAATTTTTTAAATTTATTAAAAAATTATAAAATTATTTGTATAAATTCTTTAAATTTAAAATAAAAAAATTATTTCAACATATTTGAAAAAATATAGACATGCTTATAGATTTAACAATATAAAATAAAATACATGATGTTTTATGAAAATAATTTGAATGAAAAACAAAAAAAAATTATAAATAAATTTAATAAAAAATGTTTTAAATTTTCGTATAAATATAAATTATAATATATAATTTTATATAAAATATAATATAAATATATAAATTATTAATATTTAATACCATATAAATATATAAATTATCTGATTTGCATGCACGAACACGCGCTCAAGCTCGGAATTCACATGCCCCTCCACTCGTTTTTACTGTTATCTTAAATAAAAAGAAAAAGGAAAATGAAAAGAAAAAAAGACAATCCCTCGTGAGAGCGAGTCCCTATCCATTTACAAACGCACATTTTCAAGCGTCCAAAATCTCCCCACATTGTTCCCTCATTAAATTTCGAAAACGACTTCGTTATTTTCTCACCGTTTCCCCATCCCCTCGTTTATAATCCCAAAAGAGGGAAAAATGAAAATAAAAAAAAAAAAAATTTATTAAAAATTAGCCAAACTTAGCTCATCAGGAACATTAGTACTACAACAAGATTTTGAAAAGCCCCAGCTTTAAGATTTGAATTTTTTGAGCAGTTTTTCTTCTCAAAATTTTAAAATTTTTTGGGTGATGGGGGAGCAGAAGAGTAGCAACAATAACCGGTGGAACTGGGAGGTGAGTGGCTTCGAGCCACGGCGATTGTCACCGTCGTCACCGGAGGAGCAGCGTAGGGTCACTGCTGCGCCGTTGATGCGACGGTACTCGATCTCGGCGTCTTCGGTTGTGTCGCCGTATTCTTCGGAGTTTTCTAAGCAGGCTTTGGCTTCTAAGGTGCAGCGATTGAAGGATAAAGTTAAGGTAACAGTAAAAATCGGTTTAGGGTTGTGAAATTCTCAAGTGATTGGTGGCGGTTTTGTGTGAATTAGCTGCAATGTGTTTCGATGGAGTTGAAGAAGTCGCTTTAGTCAATAGCAATAAGATTTTAACTAAGCACCATTTTGCATTAATTAACATGCAATCTTTTAAGTAAGTTTCTTAGTCTATCATTTTTTTTAAACAAATAAAAGTAGGAAATGCAATTTTCTTTTCATGTCATTTTCTGGAAAAATATTAGGTTTGTTTGGAAATTGATCCAAACTTAATTGAGAAGCTCAACACACAGTATAAAATAATGGAGAATTTGAAATTAACTTCTGATGAACTAAAGCTTACTCATCATTTTGTAGTATTAGAATTTGAAAAAAGTGGATGGGAAATTGGTGTTCATGTAGAAAACTTAATTTGTTGATAATTTTAATGCTGGTCAAATTCTTGTTACGCAAGCTACAGGATCCTGCTTACTGATCCAAATTGAGTTGGTTTGAACTGTTGTAAGATTATGCACTGTGTCAAGTGTGCTTGATAGGCTTGCTTTTTCATATTTAAGTATACTTTGTTGACCAATGGATAGGTGAAAAAAGAAATGTTTCCCCTCCTCTATGGCAGCTTCGTAGTAGTTCCAAGAAAACTTTTAATGTTGATAATGAATCTTGATGACGCATGTACTGCTTCTAGGGGGGACAATAACATGAGTTATTACCAAACAGTTGTTTGAGGTTATGGACTAGACTAGCTGGCTGATAATTCAAAAGTTATCTAATCTCATGTTTTTCTTCTAGAGCCATTAAGGGATTTGTGTTCTCGTTTTCTGATATGATACATTGTTCGACTCTGTTAATAAATTATTTTCAATGTTATTAAGCAAGTTTTGTTGTCTCTCCAATTAATTAGTTGATTGCTAGGATTGTAGCTGATCACAAAATTAAGAGCAAGTAATAGCTTTTGACTCTTTTCATATGCATTCAAGCTTGATGCAAGAATTTTTTTTTGGAAAACTAGAAATTCCTTTGGCCTTTTCTAAAGTCCACAATCATGATTGGTAATGTATGATGTCTTCGATATCAGAGGCTTTTTTGGGGCTGAAGTGAAAATTATTTTGGGTCAGATGGAAAATTATTTTGGGTCAGATGGGTGCTGTTATATATGGTGATTTAGTACGTGTTCTGGGTTATGTCATTGTAGTGTCTTGTGTTTGATACAGTTTTTTTTTTTTGCATTAATTTGGCAGCTTGCAAAAGAAGACTACTTGGAGTTGAGACAAGAAGCTAGTGATCTGCAGGAATATTCAAATGCTAAACTTGATCGAGTTACACGTTACCTTGGTGTTCTTGCAGAGAAAACTCATAAGCTAGGTAAGATATTAAGGTTTAGTGCCAGGTTGTTTGAGTTACGTTAATGAATTCCTTATGCTTCAGCCATTTTTGTGCTTGGTTTGGATGTCTGATAGTAAATGCCAAAGATACACCCTTGCAGTTTGGTTTATTTTCACTCTACATATAATCACCTTGTTAAAGTAAGACTGTGCTATCATGTCCGGTTGGCATGCGAGGAATTTTGAGATAATAAATTTAAAGAAAAAAGTTAAAAGCACACTATGTTGATCCCTTGTCCAAAAAGAACAAGGAAGGATAAAAAAATATGCTTTTAAAAGAAGCACTAAGAAAAAAATAAGGAGAGCAAAAGAAAATTTAATTGTATGGTTGAAAACAGAAAAATAAAAAAACCTTTTCTTTTTTTCTTCCAAGGGTGCTACAGAAGGTCATTTCACACTTGTTTTAATACCCTTTATTGGAAGTTTGTTGCTAAAGCTTGGAAATATAACCACAAGGAGCGATTAAAATGTGATAACTCAATAAATAGTTGGTAATATGGATAGTGTAATCAACTAAAGCATAATGAGGGTATCTGCAGTTTATCCACAATTTGATGCATTTGATGTTAAATGGTGTGGGATTGTTTGTTAGGTTTGTCCTTAATATATTTTAGTTAGATACTATCGCATAAGAATTTGTCTTCTGTTGAACAATAAAAAAGGGGAAAAAACAAAGTCAAAAGCATTATATCTTAAAAATATGGATTACTGCAAATGGATAAAATATCTGTATTCTTAAATGTTACACTGTTTTCGCCTTCTTCCTCTCAAGGTTCTGTTGATGGTTTTAAACTGTATCTAAATATAAATGACAGATCAAGCTGCCCTTGAAAGTGAGGCTAGAATATCTCCATTGATTAATGAGAAGAAAAGGTTGTTTAATGAGTTATTGACAGCCAAAGGTACTCTTCAACTTTGTGCTTTCTGAATTATCTCTCCTTCCTTCCCTTCTCATTTTCAGATATTTCTTAGCATCTATTATTTCTATGTGTTTTTTCATGTTTCTGCATGCTGAACTTAAAAAGTCACGGTGATAGTACTTTTCTTTATGAAACAAGATTCTTTTTTCAGGAAACATAAAGGTATTTTGTCGAACAAGACCATTGTTTGAAGATGAAGGTCCTTCCATTGTTGAATTTCCTGATGGTTGTACTATCCGCATAAATACTGGTGATGATACAATTGCCAACCCCAAAAAAGATTTTGAATTTGACAGAGTTTATGGGCCTCATGTTGGACAAGGTCAGTAATATATTTAGTTTACTAATTTAAGCAAGAAGGAATTGACCAGAACTTGTGACTGGAAAATTATGTAGATTACTTTTCATTGCATTAGTAGTGTTTATACGTGTTAAGACTTAAGTATGTAATATCCTAAATTTTCTCTGCAGCTGAGCTGTTCAGTGATGTTCAACCATTTGTGCAATCAGCTTTGGATGGATATAATGTTTCCATATTTGCTTATGGACAAACTCGGTCAGGAAAGACACACACGATGGTTGTTCTGCTCTCTCTTTCTCTCTCTCTCTATATGTGTGTGTGTGTATGTGCTCTTGCACTTATGTGTATGTATCTATCTATAAAATTAAAATTAGAATGACTACATATCTACTTCGGATGGATTGATTATTCTAAATCATCCTATTAGACAATCTCTTTACTTTCTTTTTTTTTTTTCTTTTAATTTCATAAATATGCCTGAATCTTAATTAATCAAGGTCAAGATCTTCATTTTTACCTAGTAATGGCTCTCATTATCTCCAATGGAGCAACTTGTATCACTAGTTATGCCTTTTTAGGCCTCTGGATTATATCAATGGTTTCTACTCCTTTCAATTTTTCCCATATCCAAAGTCTGCTGCATTTGGCCTGTCTGTCATTTTGTGTATGTATAATTAGAATGACTAGTGATCACTTTAGAGGGATTGATTATTCGTCATCATCTATATGATAACCTCGTCATTTTTTTTTTCAAACTAAATGATCAGGATATATATGTTACCTGACTAGGAGGTGGTCCTTTCATTAGAAGAGCACCTTGTATCATGGGAATTTTATGTCTATTCATGGCCTTTGATATACTAATATTGGCCCGTGCTTTGCTTTTTGACATGCTTTCATTTCTCTCAGGAAGGATCTAACCATGACCGTGGCTTATATGCTCGTTGTTTTGAGGAGCTATTTGATTTAGCCAACGCAGATTTAACTTCAACTTCTAAATTCAAATTCTCTGTCACAGCCTTTGACCTCTATAATGAACAGGTTTCTTCACTGTTCTTACTCACAATATTCTCACTCTCTCTACTGATTGTTTCAATATTTTGATTTTTGGTTTTGACTTTTGATTGTTGAATGATCATTTCAACATGGTAATACTGAATTGTACTAATGCAGACCCCTTAAATGTTCTTATAGATGAGGGATTTGCTTTCAGAATCAGAAAGTACTTTACCAAAGATTTGTTTGGGATTACCAGAATCTTCTATAGAACTTGTGCAGGACAAAGTTGATAATCCAATGGACTTCTCTAAAGTCCTGAAAGCAGCATCCCAAAGCCGGGGAAGTGACACATCAAAGTTCAATGTTTCTCATTTGTATGAACTACATCTTGTACTTTCAACCTTTCTTTCCTCATTAAATGTGTGGGCATGCTATTAGATAAAGTTAATAATTAATTCTAAGAAAATTATATTTTTTCCTTGTTTCTCTGCTTCCTAATCCTTTCAACTTTAGCATTATCAGTGATACTTGATATGTATATACATATACATATATATATATATATATATATATATATGTTCAGTTGACCAGTAGTAATCCAACCATTTGCACAAAATGTCCACTTGAGGCAATAAAATTTTATGTTAAACCTATTGTTTGAGTTTTTAGCTTTGATTAGTTGTATGCCAATGTGTGGGTTGAGATTTTGAAATAAAATTTGATTCTTCTATTTGTTTCTCCATTAGTCGTCTATGGTGTTCATACCAAGTGTCGTTCCCTATTTAATTTGGGTGGATTTCTTGTGCTACTTTTTTCAGGATCATCACAGTGCACATATATTATAGCAATCTGATCAGTGGAGAAAACTCACACAGCAAGCTTTCTCTTATTGACTTGGCTGGAAGTGAAGATCAAATTTTAGAAGATGATAGCGGGGAGCGTGTGACAGACTTGCTACATGTTATGAAATCACTTTCAGCGTAGGTCATCTTGACTGTTATTGTATCCTGCATTGCTGTAATGTTTTCTGCTCGCTAGTCAAGCATGGAAATTGAACTGAAGATAGAGCAGCTACTAAGGGATGTAGAAAGTGCACGTATATGCTGGTTTTCTGCTTCCTTTATTTTACACGACCATTGGATGTCAAATAACAAGAAATTTCAACCTTATGTTTATGAAAATGAAGATGCTTGTGATTTAGAAATAAAATTATTAGTATTTATTAGAAAGGCTTGCTTTTTCTTTCACGTGGAGAATGTGAGCAAGTAGAGTGACTTGTTATCTAATTATGTATATGATACTTCTCTTGCTTACTTTCAGACTGATTCATATTTCTGATTTTACTTTCACCAATTTTGCCTTGTTGCATTTGGTGTTCCATGTGTAGGTTGGGAGATGTTTTGTCTTCTTTGACCTCGAAGAAGGATACTATTCCTTATGAAAATTCAATGCTCACCAATATACTTGCAGACTCTCTAGGTATCCTTCTGCTTCTTATATATGTGAGATTTACTGGCACTTCAGAGCGCCCAGAATAGAAAATTGCACGTAATACGTTTGTTTTCCACTTTGTTTTTGCATGTATAGTTGTTTACATCAAAATAGTCTGATGGAAAAATGTGCCTAGTTATGGTGGTAGGTGTGCTGAAAGGAGAATTTGTTGGTTTCATTGCCTTTTCTTTTTATTAGTTGAGGTCCATTTCTGCTATAATTTTTAATTTTGTCTCTTGCATCCTGATTGCAAAAAGATGAAATTTAAAAGATAAGAACATCTAGGAGAAGTTTTTACTGATGGATGGATTTTCTCAATAATAATGAACAAAAATTTATGGTAATCTTCCCCACCTGCCAAATATAATATAAGATATGCAGTTATCCGCTAGAGCTGCATGCCTTACCTTTATACATATGATAAATATTAATTAAGTTCGTCAGCATGCTTTCAGAAACCTTGGCTTTCTTCTTTTTAAATGTACTGCAAAATTCAGTACATAGTTTTCTTAAAGATTTATGATTTATAGCTATATCAATAAAACTTGTTTTCCCTCATTTTAGGACCATCTGTTTTAATTCTGTAATCTTTTTGATGAAGAAGCTTCCTTATAATTGATCAAGTAACAATCTTACATTTTCTCATACACATTATCTGGCTGATGTCTGGGTTGCTTGCCAAAAAGTTGTCAGCTGTTAGAAGGTTATCAAGTTTTCCAAAAAGAAATTCTAGCTAGTGGTCTAGAATAACTAAGTGGTCTTATTAATGCAACCATCCTGCATTGTACATTATGTGACCTGCCTGTTGTTTTCCTCTTATTTGTTTGCATCTACAGGTTAATCATATGTCACTGTTTCTTTTGTAATGCACAAGGTTTTTTATTTGTACATGTAACTTATTTAACTTTCTGAACCAAGTTATAATTGCAAATCCAATATTCTTCTTTCTGCAGGGTGGAACTCAAAAAGTTTGATGATAGTTAACGTCTGTCCAAATGTTGCAAATCTCTCCAAGACATTATCATCTCTTAATTTTGCTGCACGAGCTCGAAATTCTGTACTAAGCCTTGGAAATCGAGATACTATTAAGAAATGGAGAGATGTTGTAAGTCACTGATATTGGTTTCTCAATTCACTTTTATATTTTTAACTTCCAACTTGTGTTTGTTTGTGTTGTTATTTAATAAACTGGTATCCTGCTGCAAGGAGAACTCTGTCAGTAAGTTTTATTTGAAGGAAGTTTTACCTACTTGCAGGTCGATAGATACGTTTGAATGTTAGGGGAAAGAGAGAGCTGATGATAAAGCCAGGAGCAACTTTAGGGGAATGAGATAAAACACTAATAAACCTAGTAGTAGTTCAACACAGTTGAAGCCTAGAATTGATTTGATGTCACATTGGTTTTTATTTCTTTTTTGTCTTTTTCTCAGAAATAAGTGGAATTACTTACTGTAGTCCATAAGAAATGTTCCATTATGTGCATTTTGCATTTATCAATCCTTTTGCTGTCAATATATTGAATTGTTGATAAAAGCTCAATTATCGGAATGTGCATCTTTATAGCTTGCAATTCTTCTTCTAGGCAAATGATGCACGTAAGGAGCTCTATGAGAAGGAAAAGGAAGTTCAAGATCTGAAACAAGAGGTTTTGGGACTTAAACAAGCACTTAAAGAGGCAAATGATCAGTGTGTCCTACTATTCAATGAAGTTCAGAAGGCCTGGAGAGTTTCTTTTGCTCTGCAATCAGATCTAAAGGTTTTTGTAACTTCTGAGTTTGGTTTTATGTGATTTTGCTGTAGTTAAATCTTACTTGATAGTTGGACATGTTTTTGACTTTTACCAGCTAGATCTTGTTTTTGCTGACATAATTTACATCCCTAGTACCTGTCTCTGTTTTTGTTTGTGGTGGTGTCAGCCCCACTCTCTCCTCTCCTCTTGCCTTGGGACTTTCAACTATCTGATGTTCCTTTTACTCTTTAAGTCATCACATGACTCTCTTATGGTCATTTGTACCGTTGTCATGACGGAATGGTTTAGATGGTATGGAGTCTTGGTTCTTCACTGCCTAGCCACATATAAATGAGAAATGCTTAGGGGCATTTTTCTAAGGTTCAAGTTATCAAGTAGTTGGTGCTTCTTCCTTTTTTTTTTTGAGCAGTGGAGGTTGAAATATTGCCTTATAGGTTTAGCATTATGTTTTGTTGTCTGCGAGGCAATTGTATGCTATCAATTTTCTCTTAACTTTGGGCATTCATCTTGCTAAATTATTTAAGTATTATTCTATAATGCAGTCTGAGAATGTTATGCTTGTGGAAAAGCATAATATAGAGAAGGAACAGAATGCACAGCTCAGAAATCAAGTAGCTCAATTGCTACAGTCAGAACAAGACCAAAAATTGAAAATGCAACAACATGATTCAACAATTCAGACATTGCAGGTTGGCTTTTGATCAATTCTCATTGTTTCATATATATATGTATGTGTGTCTCTCTATGTGTATATTTGTATATATATATGGATGGATGCATATACTTTTAGTGAAAATAAAATTGAGAAAGATGAACTATCATTAAGGAATGCACGCATCCATAGTTCTGTTCTCCAGATCAAGAGATTTTAAGTCTACGGTTGCTTTATAAGATGACTTTTCATGATGTAGGCAAAACTTAAAAGTCTTGAATCACAACTCAATGAAGCTAAGTCCTTTAGCTCAGAAATGCGGTCTGGATTTTCAACAATAACCAAAACAGCAGCAGATGGTATGGATTCTTCAGCCGTAACTAAGAAGCTTGAGGAAGAACTCAAGAAACGTGATGCTCTGATTGAGGTCCGCTGAACTTCACCTTTAAAATCCTTGATTTTTGTTATTCTTTTTGTTTATTAAATGATGTACTACTATTGCTAAATGATATGTGTTACTTAATAATTTAAAATATAATCTTGTTGTTCTTATCTTTTCACTGCATGTATAAGTTGCGATGTCAGAAGTTGTTACTTGTTCGTTCAACCATACAAAATCTATCTATTAATTAGGAAAACTTATTAAATTTTGTTCCTTGCCAAATTACCCTCATTTAATGCACCTTGTCTTCTGTAATTCTGCTGTAATTTTGTGATATTTATTGGGGAATAGATTAGGAATGTTGTGGATGCATCGTTGACTTTTTAAAAAAGGACAATGTAGTGGGACATCCTAGAATTTAAGAATAATATATTTCAGATAACTTGTAGTTATTCTTAAGAAAAGTACCAATCCCTTATTAGTTAAGCTAAGTATGGAGGAAATTTTAGCTGGCAAGCCCGTAGTACAGTTGTTTGCCCTGGACAGTTCAAAATGGTTAAACATTTATTATGCAAAAAAATTACTAAGTGGTTGAGATAGGGTAATGTAATTTTGAGTAATTAGTTATTTCCTTTATACCTTTCAGAATTTTGACTGATAAAAATACAAATATGTCCCAAGTATGTGTGTAGAACACAACTGAATTAGTTACTCCACTGTTTAACTAAAACATAGTTTTCTGACATTACATAAGAATTAGTAAAGGTTGAAAGAGCAGTTGGCCCTTAATCCTAACAATCCAGTCATACACGATGCCCCCTTGGATCATTGATGGGAAAGTATCTCATTCCTTCAGGAGCTATTAGATGGTGGCTCCTGAAATATATCTTTGAACTCTTGCAGCTAGCTTTTCAAAGTGTATCACTTATTTATTCTTGAAATGCCTTTTCCAGTCACTCAAATGATGAGAGCAGACTTTCTCACTATAGTTTAGTTTTGTTCTTACATTAATTTTATTGATTGTGCAGAGGTTGCACGAAGAAAATGAGAAATTATTTGATAGATTAACAGAGAAAGCATCTATGGTTGGATCACCACAGGTAATTTTTTTTTTATTTTTTTATTTTTTATTTTCTATGTTTCAAATCAGCATGACTGTAATACTTAGCCTTCTTGTGACTTGTGTGCTTTTGTTCCATCATCATATTTTTTTTGTTATAAGCTTAGACGCTGCTTTAGGTGTTATTGTTTGTGAAGTATTTTAAGATATTGGGCTAAAATACTTTGAATTCAGGTTACAAGTCCATTTTCTAAAGGTTCGGCAAATGCCCAGCCTCGAGACCCTGGGAGGTGCTAACTTCAGTTCATTTTGCGGTAGCTTCAATTGTTTTTGTTTCTTACATCCTTCATAGCTGATTGTTGAAGTCCTTTGTAATTGTCTTTAAACAGGAATGATTATAACAAGGGACGATCCATGGATGTTGTTCCTTTGCAGTTGGCCATGGATAAGACTGAGGGTGCAGGTGCTTTGGTTAAAGCAGGTTCTGATAAAGTGAGAACCACACCTGCTGGAGAATATCTTACTGCTGCACTTAATGACTTCGATCCTGACCAATATGACAGTGTTGCTGCGATTTCAGATGGAGCAAACAAGCTTTTGATGCTGGTAAGCTTAAAAACTTGTTTAATTGTTTGGTCTAAAGTCTAAACTATGAAGGTGAAATTTGTGTGCTCTCATTCAAAAAGGGGGAAAGTCTTCCTGCAATGTTTTATCCTTATGGATTGGGTCACAGAGAAACACAACTTATGATTTTGTATTTCTTTTTTTTTTTTTGAATTGTGTATTTGTTTTGCACATTTTATGGATTCAGGCTTCTTGGCTTTGGATTGAGGATTTGTTGGAGAAAGTGATGTTTCTTTTCTGTATGTAGATTTTTTGGAGGAAAAACAGGAATTATTGTAATTCTACTTTTATTTAATGATATCCTGTCACTGGAAAATGCTAGAAAGTCTTTTCAGAGTTGTTACAATTTGTGCTATTTTCTGAAGACATGTATCCCTTTTATCTTCTAATTCTTTTGCTGGTGAAAAGCTAGAATAATCTATCTCAATTTACCTATGATTCAATGTTAGGACAAGTCACTTGAGGTAGCCTTTCATCTATGCATCTTGGTTTTATCACTCGATATCATTTTGATATATGTGTGCTAAAATGGTGGAGATGTACAAAATTTGACAGCTATGTTTAACTGTGATGTCGCAGGTCTTGGCAGCTGTCATTAAAGCAGGTGCTTCTAGAGAGCATGAAATACTTGCTGAAATTAGAGATGCTGTTTTTGCTTTTATCCGGAAAATGGAACCAAAGAGAGTAATGGATACCATGCTTGTTTCTCGTGTTAGAATTTTATATATAAGATCTTTGCTTGCTAGATCACCTGAGCTGCAGTCTATCAAGGTAACTATATACTAGATGCTGGTTTCTCTCTCTCTTTATCTAGCCGCTTGTATCATCATTGAGATGAATGTGTATTTCATCTTTCATCTTTCATCATTCAATTTGTAGGTTTCTCCTGTTGAGTGCTTTCTAGAAAAGCCTAATTCAGGACGCAGTAGAAGTTCCAGCCGGAGCAGCAGTCCTGGAAGATCTCCTGTACGCTATGTTGATGAGCAGATCCTAGGCTTTAAAGTAAATATAAAGCCAGAAAGGAAATCAAAGTTGTCATCAGTTGTTTCAAGAATACGTGGACATGATCAGGTATGCGTTATCATAAGTCTTTGGTTCTTTTCTTTTACATGGGCTGATAGAGAACCCTAGCCCCCTCCTTGTTGGAAGCTTCTTATTATTAATTGCTCTCATAAAAAAATTTCAACAGCATGTGGAATGGTAACTATCAAATATTTCTTAAATGAGACTACAATTAAATGCACAGGATACTCTGAGGCAGCAGCAGGTTACTGGTGGAAAGCTAAGAGAAATACAAGAGGAGGCCAAAAGTTTTGCGGTTGGAAACAAGGCTCTTGCTGCACTTTTTGTCCATACACCTGCTGGTGAACTACAGCGGCAAATTAGGTCCTGGCTTGCAGACAACTTCGAATTTCTTTCTGTTACAGGGGATGAAGCATCTGGGGGTACCACTGGTCAGCTAGAGCTTCTTTCAACTGCTATTATGGATGGCTGGATGGCTGGACTTGGTGCTGCGCTGCCTCCTAATACAGATGCTCTTGGCCAGCTTTTATCAGAGTATGCAAAGCGGGTCTTTACTTCTCAATTGCAACACTTGAAGGTATGCCTGATACCTTAAGGATAACTCTTTAGCTATCTTTCTATAAATCTTCTTATTTACTATTTAGGTTAGGCATGATTATGCCAATTCTTGGTCAAAGGTTTAGTATAGATGGGCATTACTGTTCCATGTTGGCAGTTTCTTTCTTCCTGCTGAATAGTTGTTTTCTCTAACACCATGACATTAACACCTTGGTTTTGTTATTGAAAAAAATGTTTACCTTCTTCTAGGAACGTTAGGTTGATGGTAGTTGGGACCAAGTCAAAGTTCAATACTTTTTATGTCAAGAGAACCCTATAAGTTTCATTTTGTTTTAGGTTCTTAAGGAATGAACTTCAGGATGTTTTTTGTTCTTTGCTTCTCTTGATTCTAAAAACATTTTTATTTTGAAATTGATTCTAAAAATCTATGTTCTTAAGTATACATGTGGCATGTGCTTAATAATGATAGGAAGGCACGTTTTAATAGATGGTCCCTCGTGTGGATGGGTATTGATCTGTTATGCTTGTTAGTTTTAAAAAAATTTTGGCTGTAAGTTTAGCATGTAAGAATTCTTGATGTTGTTTCAATTGGGATAAGGTAGTGAGACCTATTTATTTTTACCTTCAGGCTTAAGTTAGTTGTAAGGAAGCCAAGGGATAACCTTTTTTGGGTGCAATCATGCAACCCTTACAGTTCATGGGAAAAAAAAAATGAACTTGTCTCTAGAAAGTGGGAAAATTACAAGTATAAACTGTGACAAGAAAAAAAAAACACGTCCATTATGTTTATCTACTCCTGTCTGATCCTAAAATCTAACACAATGAACTCTTCACAGCTAGCCAGTACTCTGGACCTCACATCTATGTGCCTAAATCTCTAAGATTTACCATTTACTTATTTACTTGATAAAGTTCCCATTAACATTGCCTTGTAGGATTTTGGGCTAGTTTTTGAAAAACTAATAAAAAGGTGGAAGGTGTTGAATTCTAGATTCCTAGAAATTTGTTTCTTCCTCTGCCATATCTTGATTTCGTATTTGAAAATTTTAATTTGAAAGGATTTGTTCGCTAAAGAAAAAATTTCTTTATCACTTATGATGGTATTTTACTTTTTAGTTTATCTGTTCAGCATTTTAATTCTTATCTGAGCCTTGTGTTTCTTGGGGAATTTATATTGTTGTCTTCCCAGTTCCTGTCTCTTTTTTGCCTTTTCTTTTAGAGGGTGGGAGTGGGAGGCAGGGTCCTACAAACATTTGTTTCAAGGCAATATAGAAAATTTTCTTATTGATAGATTAACTTGGATTATTGTTAGAGCGTAACTTCAGGCCCATTGAATTACAATAGGAAAAGTTCGTCCCTTCTATTATTGACCTATATGTAGTGCTATATGCCTTATTAGCATTTCTTGTATATGTTTATGGCAAGTGGCTGCAATGTTTTTTTTTTTTTTTTTTGCTGTTATCCCCCCCAAAATAAATAAAGATAAAAAACCCAACTGTGTGATTCAATCTAGACGTTCCTAATATCTCTTTCTTCTGTCAGGATATTGCTGGCACCCTAGCAACAGAAGAAGCCGCTGATGCTGCCCAAGTGGCAAAGTTGCGTTCAGCTCTTGAATCTGTTGATCACAAACGAAGAAAGGTAAATGTTTCTTTCAAACCATCCTATCTTTTTCTGCCCCATAAATATCTTACAATTAGCTTCCCTGCATAGAGTAGTCATTGGTTGATCCAAAGTTAATATTTTAACATATTCATAGGGTCTACGTTGGTTATCTACGTATCTTCCTCAGTTTTAACTAGGCCATTATATTGTTTGAGCTGAAATATTTGAAGCGCTAAAAATGGCTCTATCCCACTTTTGAAGTAGGTTCAGTTTACTGTCGTTATTCTTGAGCTAGCCTTTGTTATGTAGGATGAGTCAAACTTCATCTTTACTAGAAAGAGAAATTTTATGATTGCTGAGCATATCTGTTGTGGTTTCTTGACCGTGGCCTTGAATCTTTAAGGATGATTTTTTGGTTGGACCTTACCTGATTGCCTCTATCAGAATGTTCATCACCATTGGATCTGCTGAATGAGAAATCTGTTCATTATGGACTAAAATTAGATTGCTTTGTAGATCCGGAAAATGGATAATCAATAAAAGTACTTATTCTCTCATTTATTCTGGATTTTAGAATAATTTGTTATTTATCTTTTTTCTTCAAATGTCCTTTTCCCCGTTGTCTGAGACTCTGAGGGTCTATGGTGTTTCTTCTTTTATGGAAAGCTGAGAAATTGCTGTCAAGCTCAATAAGAATTCAGGTAGATGAATATTTCTTCTGTTTCAATCTCTTTGTTCTTGTGGCATTTAAATTTCAATCTCCGGTTGCCATTGTTTTGTGTACTATTGTCTGCTTGCTTTTATCCCTTTGATATCTCCTTCTTACTCAAAACATTATGAGTCTTGGCTGCACTTTGCATGAGGATATCATTAGCTGAAACTTGCTAATATTTTGTTTTTGTCATAAGTTATATGCTGACATATTAGGATGATGTTTGTGTGGTGTGATTAGATTTTGCAACAAATGAGAAGTGATGCTGCCTTGCTAACATTGGAGAACGGCAGTTCACCCATTCAGAATCCTTCTACTGCAGCTGAAGATGCCCGTTTAGCATCTCTGATTTCTCTTGATGGCATATTGAAGCAAGTCAAGGTTTTAACCTCTTGAAATTGCTGTCTTGATTTGCAGTATAATAACAAAAAAATTTTACATAAATCTTTTATGTTGAGCAGGATATAATGAGGCAGTCCTCTGTAAGTAGCATGGGTAGAAGTAAGAAAAAAGCGATGCTAGCATCTCTAGATGAGCTGGGGGAACGGATGCCCTCCCTTCTTGACATTGATCATCCATGTGCTCAGAGGCAAATTTCCGATGCACGGCGCCTTGTTGAGGTATGAAATTGTCTTTAGTCTTTTTAGAGCTGAAAATTTTCTTCAACAGATGCTTCCTACTTGGTGATTAAAGGAGTTGCCTGGAATTGGTTGGTAACTATTTTTGCATAGTTTTTCTATATATTGAACTGGATGTTTTAAGGCAAAAGGTGAGGAGATGCATGTACCATAGTTCATTAATCCTAAAATGTCTGAAATCTATGCTGCTGTTTTCCATTAAGCTAAAGCATCCTATACCAACATAAATTCTTGTGAATGAGACGTGTGCTTCGAGTATTTGGCTGCATAATGAGAACTCTTTGAACCTGGTCGTTCTGGTTATAGCGATGTTAGTAACAAAATTGCCAAAACAACGTGAACAAAGTAGACTGTCCAATGCTCTAGAGGGGAAAATTATTTCTTTCTTACATCATTTTAAGCTGTCCTTTTGATAATTGAATTACAAAGATCAAAATCATTGTGACTACCAAAAAAAAAAAAATCTGTATAAAGAAGAGCTCATGCTTCTGCTCCTTATGCTGCACTGCACCTGATATTTTATTGCAGTTACCATTTATGGTACTTCAATTTCTTCTCTCACCTAGTCTTTAATCTGCCATGTATTTCTGCAGTCGTTCCATGAAGAGGATGATCGAACGCAAGAGATACACCATGCTCTAAAGCCATCTGCAGATTCAGGATCTGGTACTGAAACTGACGTGGCACAATGGAATGTATTACAATTCAACACAGGCTCAACAACCCCATTTATCATCAAGTGTGGAGCAAACTCGAATTCTGAGCTGGTCATCAAAGCAGATGCACGGGTTCAGGAACCCAAGGGAGGTGAAATTGTGAGGGTCGTTCCAAGACCATCTGTTCTAGAAAATATGAGCTTGGATGAAATGAAACAAGTATTCTCGGAACTTCCCGAGGCTCTAAGTTTACTTGCCCTAGCCAGGACTGCAGATGGCACTCGAGCTCGGTATTCTAGATTGTATAGGACTTTGGCCATGAAGGTTCCATCATTAAGGGATCTAGTTGGCGAACTTGAAAAAGGTGGAGTATTGAAAGATGTGAAGTCCTGAATGCGAAGGGTGTTGGATATAAATTAGAGAATACCTTGCATTCTAATGTTAAATGCTTGGCTGGGGTTTTTTAATATATATATATATATATATATATATATATGTTTTTTTTTTTTTTGGGGGGGGGGGGGGGGGGCGCGGGGCTGGTTTGGCTTGGCAGGGACAACCTGGTGTTGTAAACCCGTAATTTAACGTGCTTTCTTGCGATTTGCTAGGGAATCAGTGTGTTTGGGAGCTGGTGGTTAAATGCCCATTGTATCACTCGTCTCATAGCCGTTGGGGCTGATGGCAATTTTGTGCAATTGCTTTCCGACATTTAATTTGCTGTTAAAGAAAAAAAAAAAACAAATTGTTATTATTTTAAGAAAGGAGTGTAAAAAATTTAGAGAAGAAAAATCAGTAATATTTGGTAATTTTGGAAATGATATAATAATATATAAGTAAATAATATAATTTAAAATTATAAAAAATTATATAAATTTGATAAAATAAAAAAATATATTATATAGTTAATCTATTAATACGAATATATAAATTTTCATATCAAGTAAGAATTTAATAGTTAGCCACTCGGTAAGAGGTCTGATGTAATAAAGAAAAACCTAATGATAAAAATATCCTTATAATAAGGCCGTTATAATAAAGAAATTAAAGACGAACTGCAGAATTCTCCCGTGTAGTTAAGAAAAAACATTTCAAAAAAGAAAAAAACCAAATGACAAAAATATCCTTAAAACAAAGCCATTGTAAGGATCTTTAAAGACGAGAACTCCGGAATTCGTTATACGTTCAAATCTTTCCTTGGATCTCAAGTCTCATCAAACGGAAATCTCTCCTCTCTCTCCGGTTTTCACTCTCTCGTCTCTGACGTCTGAAACTCCACTGATTAGACTCCAAGAAATTAGGGTTTTTGAATGTTTCCTAATCCCAAATCCTTAAAAATGCCGCCACTCACCTGCACCAAACTGGCTCTCATCGCAATAACCGGAGTCATCATTCAAATCATCGGCCTTTCTCTTTTCGTCTTCGGTTTTTTCCCCGTAAAACCGGCTCTTCCCGGCATCAGGTAAACACTTTTCCAATTCCAAAACAAAAAGATCTCGTTTTCAACTTAAAATCTGATCTTTTTTTTTTTTTTTCCAAATGTTTTGCTTTATCTTCAGTGGCTCGGAGAGTTACCACTTACCGGTTTGCGACTTAGTTGGGAATCAAAGCGGCACGACTCTTCCGTCCGATCAACTCAGATCGTTATATCAAGTTCGTTCTAGTAGTAGTTTATAATCTGAAAGGAAAAAAAAAAGAAATAAACTGTGCCTTTTTCTGTTGTTTTGAAAATTTGAAGACCCTTTTTATGTAATGTAGGAATTGTCAGGGATGCCTCCTTTATTTGATAGACTGATTTTAATGGTAAGTTGGTTTTGGTTTATTTGCTTTTTTTAAAGGATAGGTTTGAGTTTTGTTGTATAATTTACAAGGATTTTAGTTTAGTTTAGGTTATTGATGGTCTTCCAGCAGAATTCGTGCTCGGCAAGAATGGGAAACCTCCTAGTAAGCAATTTAAGGAAGCTATGCCTTATACTCAGTCATTGCTAGCCAGTGGATTGGCTATTGGTTACCATGCTAAAGCTGCCCCTCCAACTGTCACAATGCCTCGACTAAAGGTGTGGACCTTTTGTTTATGTTCTTAAAGAAGGAAATGTTATATTTATCCATCCTATTACATCTGCTGTAGCCCAACGTATCAGGATTCAATTCGTTTCATTCATTTGAAAAAAGGCTGACTTTTTAAAATGCGGATGCATATGCTGAATGCTGATAGGATGATATTCACTGATACATTGCATTCTGATTTTTTGGGTTTGTAACTGATATGGGAACAAATAATGTAATGATTTTCTAGTTAAAGATATAGGAAAGTATAAGTTATAAGGGGATATGGTTTTGACCTCAACAGTATTAGCTTGTGATTGTAGGCTATGGTCTCTGGTGCAATCGGTGGATTCCTAGATGTGGCGTTCAATTTTAACACACAGGCTATGCTGGATGACAATCTTCTTGGTTAGAATATAAAATTATCCTGAAGTTCTTTAATTGATGGCTATTTTTGTTTTTAATGGAAATGAATCTGTCGAAGGGCACAACTTCTTTGTTCACTCGTATGGTTTGCAGGTCAGTTTTTCAGGATTGGTTGGAAAATGGTGATGCTTGGTGATGAAACGTGGCTTAAGTTGTTTCCTGGGTTATTCAAAAGGCATGATGGTGTTAGCAGCTTCTATGTATCTCTCATTCTTGGCATGCAGTCCTTTTCTTTTAGGTATAAAAATTATGTAAACTGATCTCTGACTTTTAGTTAATTTGTTCTTGATGCAGGTTAAGGATACTGTGCAAGTAGATCAAAATGTTTCGCGACATTTGGGAGATGAACTTAGTAGAGATGACTGGAATCTTTTGGTTAGCATTTGCTTCTTTTCAATGATCTAAACAGAAATATCTTGTAATACTGTCGTGATGTTTGTATATGCTTCATTTGTTTATGTTTTTATTACTATAATTGGAGATGCATAATGCAGAAGACACCATGGGGTGCCAACTTAAGTGCTTCCTACCTTTCTTTAAGTTAAAAAGGTTAATGGCTTTCCACTTCCTACCTTTCTTTAAGTTAAAAAGGTTCATGGCTTCCATTTCATCTTTCCTTTCATACTATTCTGGTGTTTGTGTTACGGTGGTTTCTTGATTTTTTATTTAAAGAAGCTTTTCTGGTGCATTTCTCTGGCACTGAATATAGACTGTGGTACTAGCAACGTAAAGGTTTGTGTAAGATGTGAAGTTTTATTTTCTTTATAACTTTCTGTTTCGGATGTGAGCCTGTTTTTCTTCGTGGCTTCTTGTCAAACATTTTAGTTACACACTTCAGGTGTTTGTTTTTTCATTTGGCTCCAACCAGTATGCTGGGCTGTCTTATGCATAAATCCATTATAATTAATGAATTTTTTATGGACTGCTTTGAAGCTTAACTTAATATGTCAAGTGCTATGTTGGTGTTTTATATTGAAAGTGCAGGGATACTTTTCTATCAATGTCTTGATTTAAGTGGATGTTCTTTGTTAATTTACTTCCAGTGTTTCTTCATGTGGGAATCTTGTCTTTTAGAGTTTTCTTTTTTTTGCCGGCTTTAGAATTATTCTCTTTGCAAATACTTGAAAACCAGTGATTATAGTGTAGAATAAGAGTGGCATGAATGTGGTATGATGTCATGCAAGTACTCTGGTATCATGGCCCTAGATTGGGCAGAATGATATTAGATTTCCTGTTTGGATGGTCTTCTCTATTCAGTTTGATTAGGCATTTTTGGGTTGTTTTGGGCCTACTTATTGGTTGTATTCTCTTCAGTGTTAGTACTTATGTACTGCTCACCTTGATTCACATTTCTTATGTTTTTCTAATGTTAAGCACTAGTCTGATCACACCTTTGTTTTTAACCTTTTTAAATTTCCTCTCCTGAAGTTCAATGCACTTGAAAAACTCTTTGTAGTATGAGAATTAGAAGTTACTACTTTGGATATCTGAAAGTGTCCAAATATAAAATTGCATTATTAATTATATTTAGTTCTTCTAAAAGCTAAGTTGAAATTTTGATCATTGAATTATAATTTTTCATGGTGGTATACTTCACCTCCATTTTGGCACAATTTTAATTGGTTCCATTTCCAGATTCTGCATTACCTGGGCTTGGATCATGTTGGACACATCGGTGGGCGGAGCAGGTATTGGTTTATATGATTGTGCTTTTATCTTTGTTCTTCAGGTTAGGCTGTAATTGCATTCTGAGGCAATGTATTCTTGAAATGAATTTCCCTTCCTCAGCAAGGTTTATAAGACATTGCTTTATATGTTTGTTGCCGTAAATACATATATATACATATTTGTACATATATATGACTGACATTTGCATTGAGCATTGTGATTAAAACCTAAATGACTAACATTTGTTGCTTTATATATATATATATATATATATATATATATATCCTGTAATGTGGCACTGCCTACATTCCATTATGAACTAAAAACAGCCTTTTGGCATGAGTTGTGTTTCACATGATGATCAATATGTTGTTTTGCTTCTGACTTTATCTTTTTGGGATAATAGGATCAGTAAGATCATATCCTTTTCTGGTCTCAATTTTTTCCCTACGCTGACTAATTGCTTCTCAAGTCTTCTCCTTTTTATTTGATTGGCTTGGATCGAATTGCAATTATGGATCTAGATGACAGGCAATGCTGGATAAAGAAATGATACATAAAGCAGAGAGCAATATAATTATAAATCTAGAAATGAGTCATGGACATGAGCTACAATGTAAGCTTATAAGAATATTTGGCCAATTTTGTTTACTGAGAAATGTAAATATAAGATTCATATATTTGGTAATTTGCACTATTCATAAGTCTAGGTTGATGCTACTTTTTTTTTGGGACATTATTCATCATTTGTTCTTTGCTTGCATTACTTACTGGATGATTCGAATCATGTCTCTTGGCGTTTTCTATTAATGTTATTTTTGGGATGATTTGTGTTTGTGGTGTAAAAAATTTGATTTTTTGTATTAAAATGAGATGTAATTGTCAATAAAGTATCCTTATATCACCTTTTTGTGCAAAATGTATGATTGAAGTCTAATATGATAAAAAACTCAAAGATGCTAGTATAATTTGCCGTCTTGTTAATATGATTTTTTCTCATTTTATTACCTGAGATTCATATTGGTTCACATAGCAGGAAAAAGATTTGTTTGTTTGTTCTATTTTTTGAACCTCATTTTGATGTTTGTTCATCTTTTTTAGTGTGTTGATGGTCCCAAAACTAAAGGAGATGGATGACATGGTGAAGTTGATCCATTCAAGTACTACCCTGTCCCAAGGAAATGACCAAGGGCGGATGCTTTTGGTTTGTGCTGTTTCATGCTTCTTGAATCACTGATGTCAAACTGATACACTGACTCTGAATAGTTACATCCGTACTTTTCCTGAATCTTATAAGATTGATGATTTGATGTATAATAAGAGAATTTCCTAAAATGTACGGGAAAATTGGAGGATTTAATGTAGTAAATTTGGCCCCATCAATCATAAATTTAGCTCCACCACTTCCTATGATTGCTTTTTGACAGTCACACCCTGATTTAAACTTGTGGCTATTGTTTTGTGAAACTACTTCTATATACTTGGTGGCAAGATATTTGAGGTTCCAATAAATGTTTGAGATAATGATATAAAGACAAGATAGTGATGAGCAGCATTATGATTGTGTGTCCTTGAGCATGTTTGCTTATATTTGCTTATCTGTATGTATGCAAATTCTTATTCATAACAGTCATTATGTTTGTGGAAAAGGGAATACATACATAAGCTTTTGCTAGCCAATTACTAATGGGAATGTGGGTGTGCTTATATGCATGCAAGTTATTATTCATGACACTCAAAAACTTTTGTACAGAAAGGAATAATGATATATAAGCTTTTGCAAGGCAATTCCTGATGGGAATGTGGCGTTTTGCAAGCTATCAATATCCTTAATCAGCCTTGAAAGTAAATATTGGCCCATTCTGCTATCATTAGCACTTGGTCTTTAAATTAAGGCATTCAAGCACTGTTCACCTATAAAGCTTTGATTTGATCTTCTTTCTCTATGTGGAAGCAAAGAACTTGACTATTACAATAAGTGGAGACTTTTTTATTTCATCTATACTTTGTGTTATGAAATGACATATAGACTTGGGTGTCTATATGTGTCAATTCTTCTTATTTTACAGCAATATTTTTGTGTCAAGTAAGCTTTCCTAAAGCAGAGGTTTTGTCCTTCCATCCGTGGCAACATTGAGGTAAGTTTGGTTTACACCACAAGTGCATTTGGCTTGTTTCAGTAAGCCCGGTGAACTAGCATCTGTACATGCCCACATACTCACTTCTGGCCCATTAAAACTGGTATCCTCAGAAATAAATGAGATATTTGGTGGCTAATTGATCCATTTACCACTTCATGCTGCATCTATCTTTTATATGATGCGATTAGTTATATATGTTTGGATCTATTTATGGTTGCTTTTGAGAGTTAGATTCTTTTATGGGTCATTAAATCATCTGGTGTTTTTAATTTACTGATATATCTTCATTTATGTCACATGTAGATGATAGTAAGCGATCATGGCATGACAGAAAATGGTAATCATGGGGGTTCTTCATATGAAGAAACTGACTCCTTAGCTCTTTTTATTGGCCTGAGGAATCATGTCTTGGACTATGCATCAGTCATTCAGCAGGTAATCAAACTAATGAAACTTCACAACGCCATATTGTTGCTATGAATAGTTTCTGATGGTTCTATTTGTTTCCTCAAGCTGTATCACAAACTCTTCATCTATTACTGAGTGTATATATGTTACAGTATGTCACTTCAATCATTTTCTTCTGTCACTTAAAAGGTACTTTAAGCATAATTTTTTTTTTCACTAAAAGTTAACAGTGCCAAATGGCATCCTATTAACTTTGTCTTAAGTTTTTCATTTTCATTTTTTTCCTTCAATATTTACTTTCTTTTACCCTTTAGTTGAGGAAATTTGAGATCTGCAAGTTTCTCCTTGCTACATAGGCTTTATTTATTACTGGAAACCCTCAATAGGTGAATGAAACATTTTGGAGCTTTAGCAGTGATAAGAACTTCCAAATACGAGATCAGGGATCAAGAACTTGGTTGAATATGCTATTTTAATTTTAGTAGTTTGTTTTGTAATAGGGTTGTCTAATATATATGCTTTTTTGCTGCAGATTGACATTGCGCCAACCTTGGCTCTTTTATTTGGTGTACCTATCCCTAAAAACAATGTTGGTGTTCTTATCAAAGAAGCTTTTGATTCTCTAAAAGGTTTATCTCTACTTCTCTCTTGATTGGTCATGAAGTCATAACAAAAATGTAGAAGGAAAAGGGGAAAAGGTAAATATTATTTGCCAAAGGGAAAATGTAATTCTTCTAAAGATTGACTCAGCCTTGCTCCTAGATGATATCAGAGTGGCATGCATTTTCATCTTTACACTCTGGAGTATGATAATGTTTTTCAAATATGCTCCATTCATCTTCCATAAGATGCTATTTTTAATGGACTTATTGAATCACACATTTGCAGCTATGCACAGGGTGCAATAGAAGAGGCTAAAGTGTATATTATGTGTGGACCAAATTATTATTCTCTAGTCATAAGTGATAAATATGGGTGGAGTGTGAGAGAAAGAATGTTTCAATTTAGAAAATAAACCACTTCCTTTTAAGCCGCGTGCTTTCTAAGCTGATGTGATTATCTAATTCCTTTCCTTCTCGATGAATTCAGAGGAGCAACATCTGAGGGCCCTGGAGTTGAATTCTTGGCAGTTACTTGGATTGTTGCAAGCTCAGTTATCAGGTTTACCATGCAGAAATTTCCCTTGTGATGCATTTAGTGATCATCAGATTGCTGGTACTAGTGAGTGCTATCATAGGACAGAGGATATGCTTTGTTGCTTGTATATGGAAGCAGCAGCTCTATACAGCTCCTGGAAGTCCAAGAGAGGCACTGAGTGGGTTTTCTATGTGTCACACTATTTAGCATCACAATCATGAAATAATATCCTGTTAAAAGTATTCCTAATGCCATTGGTTATTTTGTAACTTGTAGGTCTGCTAGCAACAAAGATTACAGCAGCACTGCAGCAGCATATTACAAATTTCTCAAATCTGCAAGTGAGTGGTTATCACGAAGGTCTACTGATGTATGTATATTCTTTTTTAACAAGTTTCTGAGTTGAAACATTTTTAGTCTTTTCCATATGAAATTAATATTAATTGGTGATATTATGAGTGGTGTGAACTAGGGGTGTAATCGAGCCGAGTCGAGCCGATACAGTGAGAAGCTCGAGTTTGAGCTCAAGCTCGGCTCCCAACTCGAGGCTCGATACTCGGCTCGAATTCGATCGAATTTCATTTTCTTAGCTCGAGTTTGATTCGTGATCGAAATCGAGCTACTCGATTAAGCTCGATTAATATGTTAAAATAAGCTCAATTCTTATATTTGACAAGAGTTCGATTATTTGTGCTCGAGCTCGAACTCAAATTCGAGATATTTTATTAATTAAAATAATAAAAAAAATTTAAATATAAAAGCTCGATTAGGCTCGTGAGCTACTCAAGCCGGGTATAAAAATACTCGAATTCGGCTCGATCAATAAGTCGAGCTACTCGAGCTCGAGCTAGACTCGATAATAATTGAACCGAATTCAAATTTTATTCGAATCGAATCCGAGTAGCTTGCAAGTACTAATGTATCATTTACACCTCTAGTGTGAACAAAGCATTTACGTTTTTTTTCAAAAGATATTATTTATCCGTTTAACCCTATTTTTCTTTTTATCTGTTTTTCTGGGGGCAAGAAACCTGTTAAGCTACTTGCAGTTGGACTGGCAACAATGTTTATCTCATGTGTAATATTATCAAGCCTGATGTTTTGTCGGGTCAGAGAAATTTACCTTGGACGAAGGCAACAATCCTTAAATGATAGCATGAATGGTTGGTCTTTAGATGATACTTTCATTCTTGGTGTTATCTTGATCCTTGTTACAAGTATGGGATCAAGTTCTATGGTAGAGGAGGAGCATTACATATGGTATTTTGTGACATCCACATTCTATCTCTTATTACTCCGTAAAACAGCACAGTCCTTTTCATCAGTTGGTGTGAAAAGTGGAGAAGGTTACTTTGGAATGTGTTTCACCTTTCTGCTGCTTATCTCTGGAAGGATTTTGAGAGGCTGGCACCAAGGTGGTGTCAACTGGACTAGTCTTCCTGACATATCTAAGTGTCTGGAACAGGCTGGGAGTCATTATGTAAAATTGCTTCAGCTAGTTTCTGCCTTCCTGGTGATCAGCATAGGTGTATTTGCTCTATTTTCAATACAATTCAAGCAAAAATATTTTCAGATGGTCAGACTTAGCTTTCTGACATCTGGATTGTTGGTTTTGCTGCATATCACAAGATATCAGGATTACACATTTTCATCAACTAATTATGGTGCTACCTTACTGGCACAAATAGTTTATGCAATTCTTGGTGCTGCGACAATTGGGACCGTTGTGGCCTTGCCATGGTTTTTCCCTTTCCCAACCTTCAATAGTTGCCCTACTGATAATACCCTCTCACCTCCTTCATTTTTTCATGGCATTCAAGAGAAATTCCCATTTGTGGAATTAAGAGATTCTTTATATGTAATTGGATGGGCATACATATTATGTTGGTGTCTTCTGCAACTGCTGCTTCAACAACCAATTAATTCAACACCCATATTATTGCTTCTTGTGCAAATATTGGCCAGCATGCTCTATTTTGCTAGTAACGGAACACATCATAAAGAGTGGATAGAGGTCAGTTGCTACCTTTTACTTTCCTGACTAATTTTTACTTCCTCATATATGTTAAAGGCAATTAATTTTGCATGCTATGGTCCCAATAAATAGATAGCAGTTGTGTTCAACTTTTTTAAAGCAGGATAATTAGATCAAAGAAGCATGCTCTGCTAAAGGTGAGAAGATTCTTATTTTATAGTTTCATTTTACAGGATTAGTTTGTGCATTTTTTGGTGTTCATAGTTGTGATAGTTAGATTTTCAGGGCTCGTTGCCTCATTATGGAGTTCATAATGACTTTCTCCTTTGTGGGCTCTACACCATCCTTCACTTCTTTTCATTTCTTCACCCCCCCCCCCCCCTTTTCTCCCTCTGTGTTTTTGCAGTTTTCTTTGTAGAAGAAACTCTAAATTTGTTGAAACTTGAGAATCAAATATTAGAAATTAAGCTTGTACATACATGAACAGAGAACAAAGATTTTGCTTGAAAGCAGCTATCCTTGTTTAAAAATAAGTTGAAAAAGTGTGAAGTGCTTTTAAGAACTTGTGAAGTGATCTACAGTTTTCTGGTATTAATATCAGGATTTTGTTTTGTTTTCTTAGATTGCAGCATTGTACTACTTGGGAATGGCTGGTCATTTTGCTCTAGGAAATAGCAATACACTAGCTACTATTGATGTTGCTGGAGCTTTCATTGTATGTACTCTCTTTATCCTTTCTTGATGTTAATATATGCTTGAATGCAGTTTTTTTTTTTTTCTTTTTTCTTTTTTGAATGGAAGACTTGTAAGCAAACTTGATATTTGCTCCACAGTTGAATTGTCTAACTTTCTCAACATTGTTTTACTCATTGCAAGGGCCTATCAAGTCACTCAACGTTGCTTTCTGGCATTCTAATGTTTATTATCACCTATGCATCACCCATGTTTATTCTTCTTAGCCTGGTAATGTACATCTCTATGAAGAACATGGCCCATCTTGTAATTCCTGAGAAAGCAGATGCTGGAGATCTTCTCATGATGATGATTGGTTTTCCTTGCCTCGTTCCGCTGGTCGTAAATTCAATTCTGTTAACTGCATACACTGTCGTATTGCTCTTAATGAGGAATCATTTATTTGTTTGGAGTGTTTTCTCACCCAAGTAAGTTTAAATCTCATTCGCAAAACTTTGTTGCTCTTCGATGAGTTGAGATGATGCCAAATTGCATGGATAGCCAGTATACTTCTTACGAAATATTTATTTTATAAAAACCATAGAAGTATCTAATTCGCTGTAATCTCCGCTACTTTAATTATGGTAAAATTAATGATGTTTATTCATCTAGGTACCTATATGTCTGTGCAACAACCCTATGCACTTATATAGGGGTTTTCATTGTGGCTGCAACTGGAACTTATACACATTTGGTACTGGCCATGCGGAGGCGGAAGCAAGTTCCAATTACCAACAACACAAGATAGCATAGCACTTGTAGCAACTAGCAACCAATTTTGCGTTCTTCCAAACCAACTGCAATGGTTGAAGTTCATTTAATCCTTGGTTCTTTTTTAGTAGCTAAACTTCCTCTATGTACTCATATGGTACTGGCGTCTGTCTGGCCATGCAGAAAGGAAGCAGCTTCCCATCAGCCATAACACAAGATGGGTTCTTGGAGTAACTGGCGACTGAATATTGAATTCTAAATCTACTCCCATGGTGGGAGTCATTTTAATCGTTGTTTTATTTGATTCTCTAACTTCCTCTATGTGATCATGCATGCAGAGATCTTATGAAGAAGATAACTCCTCAAGCAGTTTCTGTTTTTATTTACATTAAAAAAAAAAAGCATCATTTTTTGGTCAAATGAAGTTGATATTTTGTTGATGACACTTGAATGACAGAATGAGTGTGGTTACATGATAGTACCACTGTAATATTCGTCTGATAGAGAAAATGACCAAAACACCCTCATATCCTAGCTTACCATACCATGTCTACATTTGGTATTTCAATATTTAATGTATTAAATTAAATTAAAGACCCTCCCGTTTCCTCTTCTGTTCCCTGTCTGGCTGCACTCTCGTCTTCCCAAACCAGTCAGAGTTTACTAAATCTACGGCCCGCCGACCGTTTCTACGTCCCCACGACTTTATCCTAAGAATCCGACTTCAAAACCCGCCCCATAATCCTAACCCAACCCTCCATTATCGTAAGGACTTAAACCCCCATGGTCGGTAACTTCTCTTTTACTCAGAAAGTTGCTGACTCTGGTTTCATTCCACTACAAAACAATATCCAAAAAAAGATTGCAAGCAACCGAAAACAGTAAACCCATTTTTTTAACATGGGTTGCGATGGCATTGAGTTCAAAAGGAGTGATCTAAAGGAAGAAAAAAGTGGAAAAAATAAGCCAAAGAAGGGTCTTTTAGAAACTGAAAATGAAAAGCGAACATTTTGGACTGCTTGTCCCTACTGTCATTACATGTACGAGTATGTAAAGAAGTATGAAGAGTGCTGCTTGCTTTGTCAGAATTGTAGAAAAGGGTTTCATGCACTGGCTGAAGTGGCGCCGCCGAAAGGTTTTTTGGTGAAAGGGAAAGGAGGAGAGTATTATTCTGGGTATGGGTTTTTTCGATTAGGTCATTCTTGGAAAAGCTTTTTGGGTGACAAGAAAGGGGGTGGTAGGGAAGATACTGGGAAAAACCATGATGTTGTGGATATTTCTGATGATAGTGATGATGAGAAAAAGGAAATGGATGTAAAAAACGAGGCTGTTAAAGTGAAACCAGAAGATTTGAACAATAGTGCAGGAAGGGGTGTAAAGAAAGTAAAATCCGTGCCCAGGAATACAAAGAAAATGATGGGGAGGGGGGTAAAGGTGAAGAAAGTTGAGAAGGTGAGTGTTGTGGAAATGAATGTGGAGTTTTGGAATGGAGTTGCAGATAGTGATTGTGGAATTGATGGTAGAATAAGGCTTGGAAGTGGAAGTGATCAGCATGATTCTGATGAGGAAGAGTTGGAGGTCTTTGAGGGAGATGATGATATATTTGTTGGTTTGAGGGATATCTGTTGATGGAAGTCCATGGAGAGGCTATAGTTTTTTGGCTGCTGGTAAAGGGATTCCTCTCTGTGCTTATATGGTTCTAACAGTAGACAGTTTAGCAGGAAAGCAAAATTTTTGCACAGAGAGCTGATAATGGGTTTTCTAATCTCATATAGTTGAGAACAAAATGCAGTAGTTATGGTACGGTTCTTGAATCTTTACATGTGTTATGTTTCTTGTTTATGTGCTTTGATCATATCTTTAACTATTTGTCCTTGAATCGAATGTTATTCTCTGTTTGGATGACTTGTATGTTAGAACCTAGTGTTCAAATAAGTTTAGCTTTTAATGAAGATCGAGAATGATGAAAGATTGGTAGTGCCAATTTAAGTAATAAGTAATTCCATCTGATTAAAAATGACTTTTTGTGATATAGAATGGATTTATGGATAGTTATGGGTGGTGTCCTAGCTACCGTCATTGTTTTCTCTTACATTCTTGGTTAAAATAATAAAAAGGTATATGAATTTGATCTCTTTATTTAGGGAAGCTTTTACACTTTTATTGTTTTGAACTCAAATAAATTTTTAATTTACACTTTAATAAGTTCTTAATCTTTAATTTATATTCAAATAAATTCTTAACTTTAATTTGTACTTAAATAAATTTTTAGCATGAATCAAATTTTTGTTTGAAATAATGATTAATTTTAGATATAAATCAAAATGTAAGGGTTTATAGGAATATTTTCTTAAATAATGATTAATTTAGATATAAATCAATATTGACAAAGCACGAGAATTCCATGTTAGAAGCAGCAGAAAAAAAATGTTTGCTAATTCAAATCATTCCCAATTAGGATGATCATGGAGATGCCACTAGCAGAACAATGAAACTCAACAATTTATTTCCCTACAAAACTCTTAGACTTCCTGTGTGTGGAGAAAGTCTTGATGTTTATACAATGAATTCCAGCTCTGTTCTCAAAAGTAGAATATGGAAATCCAGGCATTTCACAGGTCAAGAGGTAAATCATTCAAGACAAGGGAACAAAGAACAGGTGTTTGATCATTCCTTTTAACTTACCAAAATCCAGTCATGAGCCGTTACAAAGCTTGAATTCAACCGGATGATCCAACATATAGATGGATTTAAGCTTTAAACTTCTTTTTCATTGGTTTCCTGGTAAATCATGCAAAAATTCTTGGTATTTAGACACAATAATACGATTAAGAAAGAGCACAAATGGCCTTTGTATTATTTCCAAGATTGTTCAAAACCGTGGCAACTCTAATATTCGCTTTTATAAATTGTCTGTGATGAACGAAATAACAAAATTGTGGAACAAACTTCCGGATGTCAGATCATAATCAACAATTCCAGATTCCAGTATCTAAGAATTAAATGTCAGATTATATCAGATATTTCAGATTACAAGATCTTTAAAAAAATCTGCATATGTTTGATGCATTAATTCTCATTTATTAGGTTTGATGTCACTAATTCTTCCTCTGTTGCATGCATATGCCTATCCTATTAATTAGCTGCAAAAGGCAATAACCTTGTTACAATCTTTGGATCAGAATCTCCCTTCCAAACTTTCAATAGACAGTAAAAATTCGTTCTTCCATTGGTTTTACATACCAATATTCCAACTCTATTTTCCTCCATTTCTACTAGAGCCAAATCGGAGCTACCCCATGGTTCGTCTGAAACAGGTAATGGTTTTAACCTTTACACCATTTTCTGATTTCTTAATCAAGCAATATTCTTATAATTATCTGTTTTGTCTTTTGATTTTTTACTCGTAGTTAGAACAAGATGTAAAACAACCTCTTGGAGGTTACTACGGTTCAGCCTTATGCTCAAGGCCCCATAGCCTTTCTCAACAAATAGTTTCCACCATTGATTTCAGCTTCAAAAGTTTGGCAATGAAGACTAAATCAAAGGCTGAGGCCAACATAGCCAATGCCGAGAAACATAGAATTGCAGAGAGTCATCGAAGAAGGCGTATCAGCCAACAGTATGACATGCTCCGGACCATCCTACCAAACTTGATCAAAGTTTGTAATTAAGAGAATGGCATGCTTTTAAATTACCATTACATGGAAGATTAAAAATTTCTTGAATTTTACTTGTGAAAAAAAAAATGAAAAAACAGCTTGCATTAATGAAAGGGTATCATTTGATTTCATGCAACAGATGGACAAGGCATCTGTGCTGGGCGAGACAATCAGGCAGGTAAAGGAGTTGAAAAAGAGAGTAAAAGAAATGAAAGCAGTTCGTGGTGGAAGCTTAGAGCCTGCGCTCCCCGGTGAGCTAGACAACTTGAGTTTGGGTTACTGTGAAAAGGATGGAAGTTTGGTGAAGGCTACATTCAGCTGTGACGACAGGCCAGAGCTGATGTCCGATCTGACACAGGTAGTGAGGAAGGCGAAGGGGACAGTTGTGAGGGCTGAGATGGTGTTTATAGGGGGAAGGAATAAAAGTGAGTTGTGGGTAAAAGGGTTTAGTGGAAATGAAGAGATGAGGATGCTTAAGAGAGCATTAAAGATGGTCGTAGATACGCCTAAGAAAAAGAAAAATGGGAAACCTCGTTTCACTCTCTGATTATTCAGTTGTGTAAAAAAGTAGAAATTTCTTGCAGTTGTAGGGCTATGGAAAACAGGAAAATGGTAGTTTAAGACTATATATATAAAGAACAATAAATTAATCATGGCATACCCAACAGCAAACTATTACTTTTAAGCAGGAAAGAATTATTAATTTCTTATACTACCTTCAACTAATTTCACGTATTTTTCCCAATGAATAAATATATAATTCGGATCTCTACTCCTAAGAGAGGAAAAGGAGATTTATGGCACATACCAATGCTACATCTGTTGCTCCAAATTAGCAGGGAAAATTGTAGACAAACTATATCTTTATGGTAAAGAGCAAAGTCAGTTTCAATGCTTATAAAACACGAGTTCTCTGCTACAATTGGCTTTGATGGCCTCTTCTAATTTCTCAGCCCGATCAAAATCAACTTTGAAGGAAACCATGGTGATCCCATCTTTGCCTGTATCATAATCCTGTTTGGTGTCCTCGGCTTGATAAGATTTCAACTGCAGCAGAGAAGAGCAAGATGACCACACAGTCAAACATTCAATTCACCATGTTTTGAAGGTCCCATTTTGGGCAAAGAAGACAATAAAATTTATAAGCAAATGGGAACAACAGGATGATTCAAAGAATTTCTATAATGCCAACTTGAATTAATAATTCCATCAATGTAACTATATCCGATGATATATGTAAAACCTAGAGTAAAGATACAGGCAGCAGAGCATGTGAGAAAAGAAAAGAATTTTCCCATAACATCAATATTTTAACATTATCCTATACCTTAATAAAAAAAGCTTCTTTCCTTTAATATTGATGTGCTGACACAGAAACCGATTAATTTGAGAAATTCACAATAGTAATCACATAATGTCAGATAAACAGATAAAATCGATTAAAATTTTATAAAAAATGAGCCATTGTTAGAGGAAACAAGTAAGTGACATCTCAATGATGTTATTCAATCATACACATTCCAATGACGATAATCAAATGAGAAACTAAATTAAGCAAACTTATATCATACTAATAAAAGAAGAAATCTTTTTTTTTCTACTTTATATTTGTAAACATTATATGCAAACAACAGACACTAAAGACCAACCATAAAACATCAATTTACTTAGAAAAAGAGGCATAATTCGAATCGAAAACAATGCTCACTTGATGGTATAGAATTCCCAAAAGATCAAAAGGAACCTCCACACCCATTGGAACCTTGAAATATTCCAATTGAATATTAGTATTTCAAAATATTGAAATCATAAAATTTTAAATTTTAAATTTTTTTGTATGCAAAAGCACAAAATCATTTCCGTTCTCACTTTGGATTTTACAAGACAAGTGGGAGCATTTCTCAAGCATTCCGAAGCCGCTCCGCCATAAGCCCTAACAAGTCCTCCCGTTCCCAATTCAATTCCTCCAAAATACCTAAAATTTATTAAATAAATAAATTCCTTTTTTTCCTTTTTATTTTAATTATAGATAAAATCAAAGCAATTAAACTTACCTAATAACGACCACCATGACTCTGTCTAAACCTGAAGAGACAATGGCAGAATGAATCGGCTTCCCCGCCGTTCCAGAAGGTTCACCGTCATCATATGACCGGTACTGATCCCCGACCTACAATCCTTTTGACACGTCAATTTATGAGCCGAATTGAATCGGATAATACTAAACCGATGCGGCGAGGTATTAGATACCTTGTAAGCCCAACAATTGTGAGTGGCACGTGGATCCTTGACCTGATTCAGGAAAGAGTGAGCGGATTGTTCGCTGGAGATGGGGCCAGCGATGGCGATGAATTTGCTCTTTTTTATTTCTTTCTTGAATGTCACCGTTTCTTTGATTGTGGTGTATGCGCCTGCATTGGTGGTAGCGCCGGAGCTGCTGGCGATGGTGATCATTGGCTTTATGGCGGTGGAGAAGGAGGAAAGCGAGGCAGAGAGACGGTGGTTGACCTTGTGGCAATAGCGGTAGCCAGGTGTTATCGCCACTGGCATTTGCTCGTTTTTTGGAGGCTTCAGTTTTTTTTTTTTTTTCTCCTGTCTGTCGTTTCAGCAAATTAATAAGTTCTCCGGCTGCCGCTTCGAACTGAAAGTCCATTAGCATCTAGACAGAGACGACGACGTTTGAAGCCCATAGTAATTGGGGGCATTCTGGGTGCCACGCTAGGCTTGAGCTTAAATAGATATGTCCGGCCACAGATGCTTGGGCTTAAAACTTTTATCCCCAGACTGTCCCAAGCTAGACCTGCAGGCCACCGGCCCATGGACAGGACAGCAGGGAGATAAGTTTTTTGGTGAAAAATCCCCTTTTTGACTTGTAATCTCAAGTTAAAAACTGAAAGCTCAATTCTATGTTAACTCAAACCTCAATAAAACGTTTGAGCTGATCCATCTATACTTGCTCTCCTTAATGAAATACCTGATGATCTTACATCAACAGGGTTAGACCAGCTTCCTTGCTCAAAGTCAGAGACTACTGCTACTATTCCTACGGTGTCTACTTGATTCAGTTACAAAAATGTGGAGTTCCCATCACTCTCCAGCCACCGAGCACGGCCATCCATCTCCGCCCTTGAATCTGATGAAATCCCATATTGGCTGTACCATTCAGGGCCCATTTCAGCAAATAAATAATCAGAGAAGTCTTCACTCCTGGAAGAGTGTCCTTGGTGCTTCCTGTGCTGCAAAAGCTTGCATGCGAAGATGGAAGAACTCTCACTCGATGAGTCAGCTGGAGGAATTCTTTTGCATTGAATGAAATCTCCAATCTTCTGGATCAAACAAGTGCTTGCGGTTTGAAGCATTGGAAGGATACTTATACTTCCGTTGTGCTGAGGTATCCAACTTCGAAAAACTAGTGTCAGATATCGTCTTGGATGTATTATGACTAGAAGGAACAGCTTGCAAATTCCTTTTCTTGAACCTCAAACCATGAGACTCAAGATCGTTTCTTACCAAAGCCACTGGTATTACCTACAAAATACACTGCAAAAGTCAGGTTTACAGGCAGTAGTAGTACATTTCATGATTTCAGATAGGTAGATCCCCATATATATATATATATATATATATATTAAGTAGAAAGGAACATACTGTGCTGTCATCAATCCTGAACCACTCCCCACGGGAACTGTTTACGTAACATACATAATGGCCAGAGAAGGCCGCATTCATAACATCCAAGTGAACAACCACAGCATAGAGATTGTACACTGCAGCCTTATCACTTGTTCCATTCATATATGGGGCCAAATCAAGGACCTCAGGAAATTGAACTGACTTATTTAACTTCAAAAAGTTACCAGACTGCAAAAGCACACATGGTAAAGCCAGTGTTGACATTCAAATAAAGCACATGGAAGCTAAAAACTAGAAACTTGCCATCATAGAATTACCTGGAATCGCTTTAAAACAATGGTAAGAATATTAGGCGCCTCTAATACTGTCAAATTCTTTCTTGCTTTTAAGTAGGATTTACACCTGATTAAAAGAAGATGGAGAATTTACCACAAGAAGCTCAAACAGTTATAATGACTCATAAAATTTGCTTTAAACATTAGCAGCAATTGCATGCCTATCCAAGAAAAAAATCCCGCTGTAGGACCAAATGTGCCAACCAAAGTGAGATTTGAACAATCACCATAAAATATCACAGTCAAAGCCAAAGTCAGAGTTCATTCACACCAAAAGTGGGATGGAAAAGCTATAATATGTATCAAAAGATCATCTGGGACTTCAAAAATTACAGGCTAGAACAAAAGATATCTAACAATAAATAAGCCATAATGGCCAAGAAGCATGGTAATATGCAGAAAGAACCTTAACAACATTACTGACATGTTACATTAAAAAGAAACCAACCTAATGCAATGATATTTGTTCTCACCCAAGATATGTGTAGCTGTTAACTGTGCAAGTGCATCCTCAAAACTTCCAATGTCCCCATCAATCTCAACACTTAGATCCATCATCCTCTCATACCGCTCAGATTTACCATGGCACTTCATGCACTTTATCTGACAACCCAATCGTGGTTATTCAATAACAACATTGCAAAAATCATGATTACTTTGTGTCCATCTAATAAGAACAAATTAAATGAATATCTGCACATAAATGAAGCATCAAAATTGTGAACAACCTTAGAATGAAGATAACCTCCAAAAGTTAGGCTAACTAGACTTGTCTCTTCGGCCAGTGGACCTGCAGCCCTTGCTTCATTGAGAAAAACAGATTGCATTGCGTCAACAGCATACCTGCCATCTAACTAATGTGATGTCTAATTCACATTTGAGAAAGTAATACCGAAATAGTATATGAAAAGAAAGTATTTTTAACAGTTGGTTCACCTCAAAAATTCATGGGCATCCTCTTCCTTCCCAGGACCAAGATTACTTCCAATTTTTTTGGATTTTGGATAATATCAGGATTGAGGACAAAGGGGACTCCCCTTCCTTTGCCTTCAAAATCAAACATTCAAACTCACAGATGAAGCACCACCCCTTTTTTGACCTGCACGGAACAATAAACATCATATTAAAGGAGAGACATGAATCAGGAATAAAATCACGAAAAGGTTATGACCAGAAACTTGCATGCTTTAGAGTGGAGTCCTATGACAAGGTATGAAGTAAGTGGCCGCGTAAAAGCCAAACATTGAAGGACAGCATTAGCATAACAACTGCAGTAATTTTCAAAAGAAATGTATAAATTCACAATCTAAAAACCGACAAAAAAGAAAAAAACCTCATTAAATCATTGTAGAGGAGAAAATAATAAGTCAAACATAAGAGGTAACTATTTGGGGGAAAAAAGAAGAGTAAATAGCATTCATGGTCCTCAAACTTTGGGGCACATACTATTTTGGTCACTAAACTTTAAAAAGTAACTTGTTGGTCCCTAATTGTCAAGTATTATCACAAATTAGTCCTTCTATACATGGTTCGCTATTTCTGACCTTAAATGCCCGACGTGTTACCAGCTCGCTGCTGACATGTCTCTAATGTGTATAAGAAAAATATGTGGATTTGTTTTCAATAAAATTATTTTCTGATTTGAAAAATGAAAAACAAATAATAATTTTTATTATAATTTAAATTAATTTTTCTGATTTGTTATAATACTTGACAATCAGGGACCAACAGGTTACTTTTTGATGTTTAAGGATTAAAACAGTATGCATCCCAAAGTTTGGGAACCATAGGTGCTATTTACTCAAAAAAAGGAATACATGACATGTCATATCTTAGCACCATGTCTATGATTTTACCTGTCTTGTACTCCAAAGAAGAAGAGCTGTGCACAAGTTTACCAAATTAGCACCAACTAAAAGTTTCACAAAATGCAAACTACTCAAAATCATTCTCTGGACAACAAATACTTGTTACGAGCTGAAATAAGTATAAATATCAAGATTACCTGTTTCCACAATTATTAAGGCCAAATAAGCATAGTTCCACTGCATTATAAGAGTAAAGTTCCATGAATAGTTCATATGGAAAGACTTATCCGTCAAATAAAAAAAAAAAAGCTCAAAAGTCAGAATATGACATAGCAAAACTATGAGACTATCAACAAAAAACACATTTTAATTTGGAAACTACCTTGTGATTGTGTTTTCCATTAACCTCATTACCAAAACAAAAAGATAAGACTTAGACTGTCTGGAGGCTTTCAACTGCTGTAAAACCTTCCGCATTGATGTTTTCAAGCCATTACTAGCAGTCTGTGGCAAGGTAGGTGCAGCCTTAATTTTTGCAGGCAAGCCAGAGTTCAAACTGGGAACAGAATGCCCTCCAGCAACTGAAGATGAATGATTATCACAAGCACTACATGAGGAAGTTGTAACATTTTTGCTTTCACATAGTTGCAAACCATCTTCTCTATCATTAGTTACAGTTTTAGGTCTTACAGAGCTCAAGGATGTCAAGTTATTTTTCTTGGATGCATCAGTAACTAACAATTCAGATGAAACGGCTCTGGTTGACTTCATATAGACAGCTTTTGTATGAACATTGCCGGACATGAGATTATTGTCCTTAGCAAACTGCATTCTGAATTCAACCTCTTCATCATTATGAGTAGATTTCTTTTTATTTAATTTACTCAGATTTTTTACAGAGTTGGTCAAATTAGACTCTGATGAAGGTAAGATAGCTTCTTCCATCTTCTCAGCAGCAGCCCTGCTCCTAGGTATAGCAGTGGCAATACCATCAGAAAGTTGCCTCCCTGACTTGTCATTAGGGCTAGAAAGAAGTTTCCTGCTGGGAGAAACATCAACCAATGATTCATTAATGACACCAGATGGACTCACGCCAGCTAATGATGAGGAGTGGATGGTGCAAAAGCATTATGTATTGCTTTGGCGTCTTCATGACGCTTAAGATTACCATCATCATCATCATCACCATCTTCTACCACAGATGAAGTGTCAGATGATGTCTTAAATGTACTTTCCATTTCAGAATCATTACTGTGAATTCCAGACTGTTTTGTTGCTGCAAAATCAGTTGGGAGGCAACATTCATCTTTGTGGCCCTGTCTCCAGTGAAATATTTGACACCTACCAGAACTACATGAGGACAAACAAATAAGTAAATACAAAAAAAAAAAAAAATGATGAAAATAGCACAACAAACATACCCGAATATCCAGTAAAATTACTAAAGACAGAAAAGGCACACATCTTCTATTTTATGTTGCAAAGCAATCCAAGAGAGACAAAAAAAACAATGTAATCTTTTTTTCAAGCCACCATGATATACAACACCGGCTCACATCCCACTTGTAAAAGAGAAGGGTGTAGCACTCTAAATATGAGTTATATGTTATAAACAAAATATTTAGCACATAACAACACCATAAAGCACAGCCAAAACCTTAAAACAATGGCAGATGAATTTTGATTAAGAAGAGCCAAGGCAACATATAGCCAACCCACTCGTTGAAAGAAAATTCACTTAAGCTGCACTGAAAATGAGCTCCATGCTTTCTCTTCTACATCTTTAAATTTTAAAGCAC